ATCACACCCCCATGTTAGCATGATATGTTAAAGGGCCAAAGAGAATAGAAACTATAAAACAGGTTAAACCACAGACCTTTTGAGAAGGTTGTTAGAAATTTCTTCCTGCCTCTCATTTGTATGAGTTTCAAGTGGATTGAACTGGGCTTTCATTCTCGCCCACAAGTAAGAGCACCTACTGATGCAGTGAGCAAGATACTGGTGTGTTGAAACAGCTAAGTGATGCTGCTAGTGTGGATCCCTGTGTGGCAGTGAAAGCTTCTCTCTCTTTTCAAGAATCATGGGGCAGGGAAAGGGATCAGCAAGCCCTGGAAGTAACTGCTGCTGGAAGACACCCTGTTGCTTTCTTCTAGATTCCAAGTCAGGCAGAGGGATACCATAATGAACATATTTCTTTTAAGAGGCTAATTTGTAAATCAACCACAGTGGATGCCATTCTCAAAGTTGCAGCCTCATATGTGGAGGCAGGAAAAACTTTCTTATTCCTATTTCAGAATTTACAAAAGATCACAGTAGAAGTGATATGCTTACTTGTAGATCAGATGCTTTCCACCTTCATTTGGGTTGCGTTTTCCCCTCCCCCATGTAACTTTTGCAGAGAAAACTGCTTCTGTTTGGATGGAGCTGTCTACTGCCATGGAAACAGAACAATCTTCTGCAAAGGACCAATGCTGAGATTTCTCTGCCTATTTTCCGGCAGCATTTCCCACTAAAGTGTCTAGGAAGAGCTTCAGTGGCTTCCTGTTATAGCTTGTAAATTGAATGTGTTGCTTCCCTACATAGAAAGGGCTAATGGTCAAGTACTATTATTAATTGTTTCTATCTATATAGTAAAAAAATGGGAATGTCACTGTGCAGCCTCCATTCAGGAGTCATAGTGCCACATCATATTCCTGGATTTGTACATGAAACCAGTTCCTCAAACCAATATTTGCTTCCTGGATCAAATTGTATGATGTATAGTAAGACTACTTCAAGTCAAGTATGCTTTAAATCAGGCATAGGCAAACTCGGCCCTCTGGATGTTTTGGGACTACAACTCCCATCATCCCTAGCTAAGAGGACCAGTGGTCAGGGATTATGGGAGTTGTAGTCCCAAAACATCTGGAGGGCTGAGTTTGTCTATGCCTGCTTTAAATGCTTCTGGTCTTCTTCCTCGTTGCTTTGTAGCTTTGAAGCACAGAAGCTCAATAGTTTGGGCTCTCACTTCTGCTGTCTGTTGTTTCTCTTTTCAATCTACAAAGATAAATGACACTCTAAAATAACTAACACAGGGTGACATTGAGCCACAATAAATATAGGGACCAGCCATTCTAGCAGAGTAGACCCAAAGGCACATGAAGCCACTATGCTGTAGTAGATTATATAACTGTTCTTAGGTTATGGAATAATTTGCATATTTCTGACTTAGTGTGCTAATTAAAAAGAAGCCAATAGTTTGTCCCTGTAGCAATTCTAAACCTTTTAACTCCAAGATTCATTTGTAAACCTTGATTAACCAGCCAAATAACTTTAGTGCAGAAGACATCTGGCTTGGTAGCCCTTTAATGCTTTCCTTTAATCCTATTTAGAGTACCTTTAATTTATACCATGAAAACTAAGTATTATATTTTGTCTCCATCGTAAGGTTATGCTACAACTGTCCATATCCTTGTTTCTTTGTGACTGAATGTCATCCTAAGAGACTGAAAAGTCTAAAGCTTATGCAGAATGTCATGCTTTGCAGATTAATTAGAGCACCAGTTCAGGAGCATGTTGCAGGATCTGAATTAGCTTCTGATAAGTTTCCAGCTGGAATTCAAAGTGGTGGTTTTATAGCTTTCTCAGTTGTAAATGACATGGGATTAGTCAGATGGAAAGCCACCTCAATCTTATTTTCCTATCTGGTGCAGCTGCAGTAGGGGATGGATTTGCAGTTGATACAAACTGAAGGGGGCTGTTTTGTGTCACAAGGATTTTTCCTCCTGAAAGAAGATTCATTAGTTTCCTTTTAAGACAACAGCAAATATATGTTAAGACAGGCTTTACAACACAATCACATGTTCCTCCCCCCCTCCGCCGTCTCTAGAATTGTATAGGTTGAAAGCTTTCAGGCCATTCCAAAATGTTATTTTTAAAAGAGTGAAATTGGAGCACGGGCTTGACATTCCAGCACCTTAAATCCTCTTATCCTTAGAACACTACGTAAAATCAGCCATTTAAGCTTCAAGTTTCCAAATCTCAGGTACTTTTTTCTGGTTTCTGAAACACTGTGGGAAGGGGTAGGGATTAACTGAACCCCAGTGCGGGCATGTTTACTGGATTCACATATACCACATGCAGTTGTCTCTAGTGCTCCTATGTAAACATGGTCACAAAACAAAAATAATTCAGTAGCAAAAACCTTTGTATCAGCTTGATTACAGGATTTAATTTGTGTCAAGGAAAATAGCAGGATCTCAGAATTAGATTGAGCTCTAAAGAGTATTAAGGATTCACTTAATAAAGTTTGAAACAGAATAAAATATCGCTGCCTCAGCCAATTAAGTACAGCTAACTCATACTTTACTACAATGGAATCTTCTCCTCACATCACAATGGATATTTGTTGAAAAGTGACTAAGCTGTGCCATGTGATGGGGTCCTTCAGATAGTCCTTATCCCTCTCTGTACCGTTCCACACCCTATGGGTCACAAGGCAAGAAAATTAGCACATGTCTTCACCATTTTCACTGGAATTAAACCAAACATGGATTGGCAGCTGCCATCACCCACTGATTTCTGAGTAGCAAGACCCTCCAATATTGCTGGGAGGAAAGAAAACATTTGAATAGAAAACAGAGTCACAGAATCATAGAATCTTAAGAGTTGGAAGGGACCACAAAAGTCATCTAGTCCAATCCCCTGCAATGCAGGAATCTCAACGAAAGCATCCATGACAGATGGCCATTCAACCTCTGCTTAAGAATCTCTAAGGAAGGACAGTCCACAACCTCGGTTCCACTGTCAAACAGCTCTTACTGTCAGAAAGTTCTTCCTGATGTTTAGTCGGAATCTCATTTCTTGCAACTTGAATCCATTGCTTTGAGCCACACTCCCCAGAGCAGGAGAAAACAGGCTTGCTCCATCTTCTATGTGCCAGCCCTTTAGATATTTGAAGGTGGCTATCATAGCTCCTCTCATCAGTCTCCTCTTTTCCAGCTAAATATACCCAGCTCTCTCAACCGTTCCTTATAAGGCTTGGTTTCCAGACCCTTTATCATCTTGGTTGCTCTCCTCTGTAAAATGCTGGAGGGGCTGCACTTCAGTTGGAACACATTTCCACATGTGGTGGGACTGTAAGGAACCAGAGGATTTATGGAACATAACTTTCTTGGAAATTTTATCACTGCAGCTGGGGTAATCATAGCCAGGACCTGGAAAGAGCTATCAGGAGGCACATTAGAGGCATGGTACCACCACGTGTGGCATATAGTGTTTAAGAAAATATTTCCCAGATCTCCCGAATTGAATATCCTGCTTTCATTTTAGTTTTAATGGTTTTTAACTGTTTTAACTGTTATGCTGTTTTAATAAGCTTCCGTATTTTATATTTTAATTATGGATATTTTAATGTAGTTGTATTTTAATTACAGGTAATTGTATTCTTGGTTTTATTCTTGTTATTTTGTTCTTGGATTTTATTTGTTTGTGAACCGCCTTGATATTTGTTCTTGAAATGAAAGGTGGGATAACATAATAAAACAGGCCAACACTTGCATGCATAGTAAAAATCCATAGTTTAATGCTATAGTTTAATATATAATAGTTTAATGCTACATAATTAAAAATGAAATTTGGTTATGAAAAGTCTCTAACATTAAATTGCATATTTCACATAACAAGCTTACCAAGGTTTTTTACTGAATAAAAATAATAAATCTCTTCAGCATCAATATAATCTGTATTTCAAAGGCACAATTTAAAGACATAATATTAGTGGGATGATTAAAAAATATGTGCGCATTAAGATCAAATAAGCTGTTCTCTACCTTTTTAGTAAAAGCAAACCAACGCCCAACCAAAATAATGGCAGATCATAGCAATGGAATATATGAAAACCATATACCCATCAACCAAGGCATTTATATATATATCTCAAAGTGGTATACAACTCAGTTAAAACATAACAGATGAGACCATATAAAATTACAACCATTTCGAGTAATCACAATAAAACAAATCTTCAGCAGGTGTTGTCATGTGCTGTCAATGTAACAACCACTACCACAATCAGGAAAGCACATGGGTGAAGAAGTAAAATATACAATGAGTTCTAGAAATAGCTAAGAAATCGATGTGTTTTCAAAACATCATTTTATAAAAGTACAATGCTTCAATTAGAACTCACTTTTCAGATAAAATTTGCAGTTAACAAGAAATGTAGCTGCTGCTGCTATAAGATGCATGTCAGTCTTACCATGGGCAACTTCTAAAATGTTGTAAGAGCACATCTGCATATAACTTTCCATGCTATTGGGTTTGTACTTAAAGAAAAACATAGGAAACACCTGGGAAAACCACTGAAAGAGTTGTTGATACATTTTGTAGTGCGATCTGTCAGAAACTGGTAGGGAATTGCAATAGTATCAGCCTTTCTGGTAATAAGCCTTTTAAAAGCAGTCATTATATAGTGGTTGCATACAATCACTTAAAAAAATTAACTATATTGATCAAACCTGTAACTTCCTCTCTCATATCTCCTTTTACTCAGTTCCAATTTAACAAAACACACTTATCTAGGATGTAGGCTTAATAATAGTTTTCAGAGGCAGGAAAATATTCTGAATTTGTACCAAAACACAGCTTTCATATTAAGAATATTCAGAGTGTAAAAGTGTAAAGTTCAAAAGAGATGAACAAACAACATTCTAAAAAATTACTGAAATATCTTCAGACTATTCAGGCTAATTTGAAACACTTTCATGCAAGACGTTAACATGTTTCAAATTCTGGTAGTGCTTCCCACCTAGACGTTTACACTAAATACCCCAGGGGTTCCTTAATGTGTTAACAAAATCTTCATCATCCAAAATTCCAATACTTAATCCTTCATAATAGTCCTCAAACTCACAGAATGACACTTCATTAGCATTGCTGCAGGCATCCTCCAGAGTTTCCAGAAATGAAGATCTAATTTCTTCTTCTGTTGCATCACCTGTTAAAATATTGCTTATTATTAAAGACATTAGCAGGGATGCCAAGAGAGCAAAAAAAATTAAACAAAATCAAAATCCATGTGTCATTGTTATTAAAAGTACGATAAGAATTTAACATAAAGGGATTTCTTAAGTGAAAATTGCAGGAGGCAAACCAAGGCAGGAGAAGGTCAAAGGGAATTTTATCTCAGATTTTTTAGTCTTTCATTATCCCAATCTATAGATATGAATGAGGAAATTAAACAAAGCAATCTTGTTCTATAGTATGGATTTGAAGAATTCTTGATAAATATACACAGAATAGTGGCTTGGAAGTTACCAGCCTTCATTGCTATGTCCATGATATAACCATTTTTCAAACCCATTTTACACCATATTGTTTCTAAATTAAATAAACCAAGAAAGTAAGAAAGAATCACTAGCCTGTTTTCAATATCACAATGATTATAATCAATACTCGTATTCATATTTCAGACAATATTTTCAAGTTCAATTATCACAAATTAAACCTTAGTTGCTGTTAAAAGCACTGGAGCAGCATAGTCTATTTTTTGAGTCAGTTGGTAACTTTATTATCAAAATGTAAGGCAAGCCATTCATATAAGATGTGAATTGTTGACAAGAAGATGCTAGCTCCCCTCTTTCCCACATTCCCAAAGTGTGACTAAAATGGGTCAGAAAGCAATGTGCAAGGCATCTACTCCTTTCAATCACTATCAACCCAAAGCAAAAAGCTTTGAGCCCTTCTCCCTGAGTTGTTACATCAGTATTGAGGGGGCTGGGAATTCGATCACAGAGTTTCTGTATACTTTGTGAGTCTTCTTCATACCTTTTCAGACTATACGATGGACACAGTATTGACCACTCGCCTTGGGATAAATGAGCACATGTTAATTTTTTGTCACGTGTTCAGCAGTGTTCATTACAGCTTATTGTGGTACCAAAAGGTTGTAATGGTATCTGTTCAAAGATATGTACGTGGAAATCTGGTACTTAATCAAAACAAGTATTTTCCCTCCCCTAATGGACAAACTTAGGAATCCACAAATAGCCTTTGTGACCAGTCATTAATTGTTGTAACCTCAGTCCCTCCCATCCTGTGGCACATCTTAGAAGTCCTAAGGGAGCACCAGCCTCTTATTCCAGTTAGGCCAAGAGAATGCAGTTGTGGCAAAAAAACCAACAACCACCTTTTGCCATTTACACCAAAACAGGGCACACAATATGAGTGACTCGCCCTGCCTTCCCCACAAGTTCAGAGAGGTCAGAATAGACATCGTCCTTTCACTTTGTGTTGTTGGGCCAGTCAGAAGAAGTGGGATAGATAATACGATGTTGATAACAAGACAAATCAACAATTACTTTCTTGTACATTAATTACCTGCTACGACTTGAGGATGTTTTATAGCACAATAACATTTCTTGATATCTGTCATAGGAACACTGCCAGTTTTGTTATAATCCAGCTTCATATAAGCCTGAAACAAAGACAACGGTCAGAAAAGAGCAAGGAAGAGAAACACAAATTATGCTCACATACACCTGGCATCTTGAATGATAAGAATTAATTGGTTGGTCTGACCTTAAAAAGACAGAATGTGCATTTAAAAAAAACAAAACCATAAGTAAAGAAATCATCTTAGTTATGAACCTACACCCCCATGTTGGGTTTGGAGAAAGATAAAAAATGGAATAGTAAAGTAAATAGCTGGGTGTGCTTAACTACACACACTTCACTGGAAGCAAGCATTTTATTTATTTATTTATTTATTGAAGTATTTATATACCACTTTTAAAAAAATATATTGAAGTGGCATACAATTTAAAACTGTAACTTTTGTAACTGGTATCAGGAAAGCAGGCTGTTTAATGACTTTTACGTCAAAATATAAATTGTCTCCAATGTTATTCCTACTCAAAGACTAAGCCCACTGAAATTAATAGACCTGACTAACTTAAGTACATCAATTTCATACTGTGAGTGTAACTTACATGGATCCAAGTCAGGTATTTCATGCCCACAAGTCTGTTTAGGGTGAAGGGTTTTGTTTTGTTTTTTAGATTTTTTTTTTTTTTTGGTCAACACTGCCAATTCATTAACACTTTTTTCTGCCTGATGCATAAAGCATTTTCTCACTGACTCACTCATTTTCTCACCAACTGACAAATTTTATTCAAATGACCTAGAAATAAAATTCCTCTCTCTTTCTGCACATCCGTTGCCAAAGGAAGAAAAAAAGGATTGGTACTGTTCAAAACAGGAGTTATATTTTCACAAAGTGAAATGCCTAACGGGTTCAAGGACCATAGGATTAAATACCCGGAATGATACCTTTATTCTAGCATGCAAAACAGACCTGCAGGTGAAAGACTATTTTGCAGTGCATGCCTTTAATTTGTTTTGATATTTGCAGTGCATTATTGTGGCACACATAACCAATTTCTGGCCTTAAGGAGTCACATTTTGTGGGGTTATGCATGCAAAAAGTGCAAAAGAGAGGAAGAGGGACTGAAAGAGAGAAAAGACAGAGAAACAAATTACAAACTGAAATGCTTATAATAAATATTAAGAAGGGTGGTATAGAAACGCTTTAAGTAAATGAAATCATGATTAGTTTTTTAATAATGACACAATCTGGAAATATTTATCAGAAAACTGATACAGTATTCCTCTTTTACAGATGGTAAGAAACAAATTTTAGAAACTTGTCCAGTCTCAATCACCCATCCCTGCCCCCAAAAGGAGTACAGAATCAAATCATATGAGTAAAATTTGTATCAACACTTGCAGAATTCTGGTTGCAGTTTCAAAGGTATTGATTTGTTGTTCCAGAAAAGTCAACAGGGCAAGTCAATTATTATAAAGGCAACAAGAACTGTTCAATGACAAACCAGAGGAAGCAAACTTTTCTTCAAAACATATAGTGATTAATGATCTTAAAGTATATATATTGAATACTAGATAGCATTTAACAATAAAGCATTAAGCAGATCAGTACTTCTTAGTTATCTGTATTTAAACTTGTTGTTTAGTCGTTTAGTCGTGTCCGACTCTTCGTGACCCCATGGACCAGAGCACGCCAGGCACTCCTGTCTTCCACTGCCTCCCGGAGTCTTTTCCAGGGAGTCTTCTCTTCTCATGAGGTGGCCAAAGTATTGGAGCCTCAGCTTCAGGATCTGTCCTTCCAGTGAGCACTCAGGGCTGATTTCCTTCAGGATGGATTGGTTTGATCTTTTTGCAGTCCATGGGACTCTCAAGAGTCTCCTCCAGCACCACAATTCAAAAGCATCAATTCTTCGGCGATCAGCCTTTTTTATGGTCCAGCTCTCACTTCCATACATAACTACTGGGAAAACCATAGCTTTAACTATACAGACCTTTGTTGCAAGGTGATGTCTCTGCTTTTTAGCTGTCTAGGTTTGTCATCGATTTTCTCCCAAGAAGCAGGCGTCTTTTAATTTCATGACTGCTGTCACCATCTGCAGTGATCATGGAGCCCAAGAAGGTAAAATCTCTCACTACTTCCATTTCTTCCCCTTCTATTTGCCAGGATGTGATGGGACCAGTGGCCATGATCTTAGATTTTTTGATGTTGAGCTTCAGACCATATTTTGCACTCTCCTCTTTCACTCTCATTAAGAGATTCTTTAATTCCTCCTCACTTTCTGCCATCAAAGTTGTGTCATCTGCATATCTGAGGTTGTTGATATTTCTTCCAGCCATCTTAATTCTGGCTTGGGATTCATCCAGCCCAGCCTTTCGCATGATGAATTCTGCATATAAGTTAAATAAGCAGGGGGAGAATATACAGCCTTGTCGTACTCCTTTCCCAATTTTGAACCAATCAGTTGCTCCATATCCAGTTCTAACTGTAGCTTCTTGTCCCACATAGAGATTTCTCAGGAGACAGATGAGGTGATCAGGCACTCCCATTTCTTTAAGAACTTGCCATAGTTTGCTGTGGTCAACACAGTCAAAGGCTTTTGCATAGTCAATGAAGCAGAAGTAGATGTCTTTCTGGAACTCTCTAGCTTTTTCCATAATCCAGCACATGTTTGCAATTTGGTCTCTGGTTCCTCTGCCTCTTCTAAATCCAGCTTGAACTTCTGGGAGTTCTCGGTCCACATACTGCTTAAACCTGCCTTGTAGAATTTTAAGCATAACCTTGCTAGCGTGTGAAATGAGTGCAATTGTGCGGTAGTTGGAGCATTCTTTGGCACTGCCCTTCTTTGGGATTGGGATGTAGACTGATCTTCTCCAATCCTCTGGCCACTGCTGAGTTTTCCAAATTTGCTGGCATATTGAGTGTAGCACCTTGACAGCATCATCGTTTAAAATTTTAAATAGTTCAGCTGGAATGTCATCACTTCCACTGGCCTTGTTATTAGCAGTGCTTTCTAAGGCCCATTTGACTTCACTCTCCAGGATGTCTGCCTCAAGGTCAGGAACCACACTACCTGGGGTGTACGAGACATCCATTTCTTTCTGGTATAATTCCTCTGTGTATTCTTGCCACCTCTTCTTGATGTCTTCTGCTTCTGTTAGGTCCTTTCCACTTTTGTCTTTTATTATGGTAATCTTTGTACGAAATGTTCCTTTCATATCTCCAATTTTCTTGAACAGATCTCTGGTTTTCCCCATTCTATTGTTTTCCTCTATTTCTTTGCATTTCTCGTTTAAGAAGGCCTTCTTGTCTCTCCTTGCGTTTTTTTTTGGAAATCTGCATTCAATTTCCTGTGTGGAGCCCGGGAGGGCAGGCAGCTCTGCGCGACCCTCCGGAGGCCGGCGCGGCTTGGCGCCGGGATCCGGAGGGTCACGCAGAGCTGCGCGGAGCCCGGGAGCGCAGGCAGCTCTGCGCGACCTTCCGGAGGCCGGCACGGCTTGGCGCCGGGCTCCGGAGGGTTCTGCAGAGCCTCTCGCTCTCCAGGCTTCAGCGAAAGCCTGTATTCGCCCCATAGGACGCACACACGTTTCCCCTTCATTTTTGGAGGGGAAAAAGTGCGTCCTATAGGGCGAAAAATACGGTAATATGTGAAAACATCACAAACCCATATTCCAACACAGCTAAATTATGATAAAACAGATTTTAAAAAACAGATACTGGAGTCCAGCAGTTGGAACAGGAGGAGAAGCAGGTGTACTCTGCGTCTTTGCTGCCAAGCAATTCATCTCATCAAGGCTCTCAAATTAATAATCTGTTCCATATCCAGTTCTAAGTGTTGCTTCTTGTCCCACATAGAGATTTCTCAGGAGACAGATAAGGTGGTCAGGCATTCCCATTTCTTTAAGAACCCCCCACAGTCTGCTGTGATCCACACAGATATGTAGATAAACTACATATATGTATATATTTAAAACCCACTTACTTTTCTCACAAATGCTTTCCTATATTCATTCATTTCACCAAGGATGGCACGAGTAAACTCAGCATAATCAACTTCATCATTTCTGTTGTCATTAAGCATTAACCACAAAGATTCAAACTCCTAAAATTAAAGAGTTTTGTGTCAAATAAGTTGCAATTCAGCACATAGCCTAACACTACCACATAACGCAACAATGGCAGAGGCCAAGTTTTTATTTATTAAACTTCTATCCTACTCCTCATCCCAAAGAAGTACAGGGCAGCAAACAGGTGACAAAACAATAAAAAACATATTTAAAACAATTTCAATATAGATGCAGACTTCCAAGATTAAGTGTTTTAATATTAACATGGCACAGTAGAAGCAAATTGTATTTTCCAAGTAAACCAGATGTAAGGTGCAGACTATTTGTCCTAGGTTATAATGGAAGATATATTTTGACCTTAACATGATGTCAAGCATATTAATGATGTCCAGGCAACAGCGCTGTTGGGGTGGGAGAGAGAAGAGACCAACCAGTCTTTCTGTCACCTTAGAAGCCTCTACAGTAGCAATGAGGGAAGTGGGTGGGAGGGAGATTGTCTCTGACTTGTATTGAGCTAGATAAACTATGAGGTTTGGAATAGATTACTACTGACAACCAGCCTGACTTCTCATACTTGCTTGAAACAAGAATTCCAAAAGAACTCTGCCTCCCAGAAGTAAAATTTTGAAAAGGAGGATGTGTATGTCAGCATAAAAATCGCTGTCCATGTTCCATACAAATATGTTAAATGTTGATTCCAAGCAACTTATTTTATACAGAGCTAGAGAAGGCAAGTTTTTATATTTTCCTTTTCCTTTCTAAGTTACCTGTTCTGCTGATGCCAACTCCGTGTTCTCTAAATAAAAATACATTTAACTGTTCTAGACTGGTACAGGGAAGCTGCTTTCTACCCTGGGAAAGAAACAATCCATAGAGGGTTGGTGGCAGCAATTTACTCTGAGATATACCCAGAGTAGTTTTTTAGATGGAACATACTAGGTTGTTTGCAGATGGGGATCAGCAGATTCCCTCAGAAGAGTGGGTTCATGACAGCATACCTTTTCAGAAATGTCTAAATGAAACACTTTCAGTGCTTGTTTGAAGTCTGCTTGTGTAAGAATTCCATGTTGTTTCTTTTCCAGCTCCCGAAAATACTTTCCTAATCTTGTAATTGTACGAACTCCTCTTTTACTTAATTTTTCTCTTAGCCTGTCTGGGGGGAAAAGGTAAAAGCAGGGAACATTTTAATATTGTCTATTCTGACTTATAATTATTCTCCAAGGTCTTAGGCAGAGGACTTTGAAAGTCCTGCTACATGAGATATTTTTCACTGGCGTTGCTGCGTATTTAACCTCAGACCTTGTGCACGCAAAAATATTTTCTTCCTCTGTGCTAAGAGATAACCTTAAATAAATAAAGTAAACAAATAAATGGATACATAGAGCTTTTGTTTTGCATCAGTAAATAACTATATTTCTTAGTAACAACCTAAAGTCCATTTATTCTGGACATGTAATAATGTTAATAAACTATTAACATTATTACATGTCGCAGAATAAAAGGACTTCAGGTTGTAACTAAGAATTATAGTTATTTACTGACACAAATGGAATAAAATAGAATAAATATCATCAGAAACATTTTTTTTTAAAATCCAAGAACATGGAGAACATTATGAAATGAAAGTTACACAAGTTAATGTCGTTACGTTATAAAAACTGTTTGAATTGTAAATAGTTTGCTGAATGTGATGGTCGATTTACCTCTAACAGAGGCCTGGAAGATATAATGTATACAAAACCAATAGACAGCTATGTTTGTATAGTTACTAAAGAGGTGACTGTGTCTTGTGAAATTTTCCATTATGTCTGCTGGCACCAGAGACTGTTACATTTACATGGGTCAAGAGAATCAAAAAGGCCAAGCTGTAACAGACCATTTAATGGACGTTCCATTTGAACTCACTGGTCCTTAATTAAAGGCCAATGGCATGTCAGAGACACCCTTTTGATTGGTTAAAGGAGTCTGACAGGAAAGAATAAAAGGGCAGACACAGCGCTACTGTGGGAGAGTCTGGAATCAGAGTCTGAGAGAAGACAAAAAAGAGAGTATGACAAGAATGGGAGCTGAAGAAGCCCCTGCTGTCAAGAGGAAGCAGCTGGAGGCGTGAGAGGTCCTAGTGGCAGCATGTAGTTGTGCAGGGAGAAGCAGCCAGGACACCATGGCTGAAATTCTTAGAAAGTCTGCAGAGAAAGAAAGAGTAAAACAGCAGCTCTAAAATAACAGAACCCAGATCTGTCAGCTGTGGACAATTGTCTGTGTTGGATACACTGGGTTTCCACAGCTTCACTTGTATATAAACACAGAGGTTTAGCTATCAACCCTTTTAAAAACTGAATGCCACCCATTCAGTCAGAATGCTTTACAAATCTTCTAAGAGCATGTACTGTAGGCTTAGGCATGAGAAGGGACAGCACCACTAGATGAACTTTAAACTAAGATTGTTGGTTTATTCAAGGGATGCTATTTACAGAAAGGGATACACTGGGGTCTTAAAGGCATTTGTTAACAGTTTCTGAAGACTCAAGAGATGCCGTTGTTGACAACAACCTCCAAGCGCCTTTCACTGGAGACAAAATTCCTTAAGATTCCACCCCAATCAAATACGCACAAAACCCAGTCCAGGTATTGGGGACAATCTGCATCTACAACCAAAAGCTCCTCTAGTTGTACAATCAACTAGCAATTTACGCACAATTAACTTGTGCAAATTCATCTTTATGTGCTTGGCTGAAAAAAAATTAAAGGGTATGGACATCTGGGTGGAGAAAAACGTTGGCAATCATACCCACCATTGCACTCACCTTGGGAGAGTGTTTGGCAGTGCAGAGAGAGGGTGTTTTGACTAAACATGAATTTGGCTTTATGCACCAACCCCAGAACATAACCCCAGCACAAGTTGAGAGTCGGTTGTATTTCTAGCTGTTTGGACAGTTTGGCCAACTTTACAAATTCACCTGTGCAACCTTCCTCTGGCAAAATCTATATACAGGACAGCGTCTTAGAACAAGTCAGCACCTGGCTTACTACTGCTGATCTTTATTGGATAAGCATAACAACACACTTGAGTATTACATTATGGGCCTCAGTTTCCCCTCTTTATTGTCTGGTCTTATACCTCACACTGCCCTCATGAAATCACTATCGCCCCACTCCTCAACTGTCAAAACCTAGTTAACACCCATATGAATGGAACCTCAATCATTCTGCTGTCACCTAGATCAATCAGACTGGATTTACCTGATCCTGGCCCCACTTAATAAAACCTTGGAAGCAATAGGTCTCTTATCTCCTCTGCCAGAATCTGTCACCAAGATCTACTGTTACACAGGCTTACAACATCGTAACAGTACAAGGCCTCAAATCAGTTACAAACTATTTTCATTTCAAAACATGAACATAAACAAGCATATATACAGCTTTTCTCCACAGTGCTCAAGACACAGTGATTCCTGACCAGGTTGAATCCTTTATAAAGCCCATGAGTTAACTAAGGAAAAGAACCTTGACCAAAGAGAAAACTTCAGGCAAAGTCCTCTGTAAAGCCTGAGTTAGCTAGAGAAAAAAGAAGATAAAGGTAATTGGCTACTGGATTAGAATACAGAAGAGAACCAGGGCAAGAAAAGAGATACCTCTTTAAAGCTAATATCTTTTAAATCTAGCATCTGACCTACAAATAATCCAGTTATATAATACTATAAACAAGTTTCAATAAGTAGTTGCTTGACTTTTAAAATTAAGTCTCTGGCCTTTTCATCCCATGACTAAATCCAGTATTGTGTGTCATATGAATAGGAATTTTTAAATAATTTAATGGTGGCAGGCAGTGCTTTAATTTTTTCCAGGGGTACTCAAGGGTACATAGTACCGGCACCTCTTTTGTTGTTGTTAAAAAGTGTGGCACGTACTATAACAACTTCACGTTGAGTACCAGCATTTTCCTAGGGAAAAAAATCACTGGTGGTAGCATAAATAAAAGGGATAAGATAAGTAGGTACATTCAGTTTATATGTAAAAGCAGTAGCGATTCTAGCTGGCATTCTGCTCTTAATTGCTGTTTCCACTTTAGTTGGGTGGGGTAGTATGTATCCTTTTTATGTTATTGCAGGATGAGCACTTTAAGTCAATAACCTTTTGATATATTTTAATTTGGAATTATATGCTTTTTGAAAGAAATTGTAAGTTGCTATGAGACAAGTTTTTTGTAGCCAGCAGCAAATAAATATTAACCATCAGGGCTTTTTCTGTGAAAGCACTCACTGGTACAAAGTACCACCACCTCCTTTTTTAATGGAAAACATAATAATAATAATAGTAATAGTAATAATAGTAATAGTAATAAAGGTGGGATTTTATGCCTAGATATTTTAATATAGTTAAAAAGCAAAAACCATCCTTCCACGAAGGCACATGGTATGGGATATACAAACCTTGAACATTCCGTAAAATAATATTGTCTTCACCTTCTTGTTTGATAGCATGTTCCTCATTTTCCACATTAAAATTCCTATAATATATTAATTCATTAGAACCACGCTACACATAACAGAAGTTAACTTTCATAGATCTACCTACAAGTATGCTAGGAAAAGGCAGTTATTTGTAATTTATAAAATGCTTTATAGTAACTGATCAAAATTCAGTATTTTTTGAAACCAATTTATTTAAATGCCATAAAGCACCATTTCTTAGGTTGGCAAACAAGCCAAAGCTAGTATAAATGCTCTTAAGTTACCTACACAACCTGGTCAACCAGAGCTTGATCCTTCAGAGGGAGTTCAACCCAATTCAAAATAAGTTGCATATTTCCACCCAGTTTAGAAGATTATCCAACCACCACCCATCTTGTCATTTTAGCATCTTTACAATCCTTGCTTCTAATTACTACCTCTCTTCTAATTTGTCTTGCTAAAGAGTTCTTTCCCTCACTCACCTCCAAAAAATCCCACTATGATTTTACTGATGATCTCTAAACCTTAGGCCTGCTATGCTATCAGGGAAGTCCTAGAAGTACAGATCAAGGATTACAGGAATGCATGTGGCATTTGTGGCAGCAGAAACCCTGGGTGGATCTACACTCGTGGTTTATAACATTAATAATGTTTTATTAAAATGTGACACCAGAGGGCACTGCAGAGCAACAAGTCACCAGCCATAGGGAAACAGTATGTTAAAGGTAAGGTGACATTTTATAACAATTGTTATAATAACGTTTAAAAGATCAATGTAGATCCAGCCCCTAATATTTTCTCCGTTCTTGTTCTGCTCCCTACTTCAGGGTTCCCTTTATCTTCAACAGAATAACTGCTGATTAATTCCCACCTTTTGAGGATATAATGCATTGCTTTTTTTTTTTTTGCAGAAAGTGTTTTGTTTTATAAAATGGATATGCTACAGCTGCAGTTTGAAGAAAAAATTGTGCTGTTTCTTTTCTCTTGCAGGGTCCAAGCAGCTAAAGGAGGGAAATGGCCTGAGGAGAAAGTATTAAGGAGCCCCTCACCACCCACAACACTAGATTCCCCCTTCAGATAAAATTTCACAGTTGCATTTTCTGAAAGAAAACATAATAATGTATTAATGTAATATTACAATGCTGCCTGTATGTTTCCTCCATTTATCTGGAGCTTCATAAAGGGAAGGATTATGACCCTCCCACTTCCCCATCTTAGTAATTTCAGCTTCACAGTATCTGTCTAATCAGATATAACACTTATGCCCATCAAGATCCAGCAAAAACCCCAAATCTCCCAAGTCAACATAAACCTTTATTTGTGAACATATTTTCAAGACAAGAAATAAAATCTGACCCGTTGGACTAAATTCACTTACTTTAGAAAAGCTCTAGCAGTTTCATCAATATTTGTGACACGGATTGTAAATACTGGTTTCTGTTTCATACTTTCTGGAAGGGCAGGGTGTTGCACACTCAAAAAAGTTAGGTCTGCTCCCTGTCAGCAATAAAAGTGATTTACAATATTCCATAAAATATAACTCACTCATCACTACTATCTTCATAAAAATGAACAATTTCACATATGTTTGTCTTATGCAAGCACAGACACCAGTATTTTCTTTTTTCTTCTAAGCAGTTTATCTAATGTTCTCTAGCAATACTAGCAACAATAGCTACTATTCAGTTAGAACTCTCAATCCTCAGCTATCCTTGCTCATTCTGCCAACCAGCCACGCACAAGCTCCATTCCACCCAAATACCTTGTCTATTTCCACAATGCCCCAAGTGCCTGCAGTAAGTTAGCTCTATTTCCTAACAATGCCCTCATTTAGTAACATGATTTTATCTGCTCCCTGCCTTTGTTGATTGCTCCCATTGTCATAGAACCTCTCTACTTGCATAGCCTGGAAAAGTTCTAGTCACTAGAACAATTACAAGTACAGTGACATGAACAAATGCATTCAAAGTGGTGCACTCAATTAAAGACATGTCTAGTTATGGGAATTGGATGGGGGAAGAGAAAAGCAGTATTTAGTGATTCATAGCAATATGAATTAAGAGTGTTCACCTGTTCAAGGTGATGCGCCCCCCATGATGTGACATCTTTAACAATGACTAGTTACGAAGAATCTATGTAAACTTAAGAGCTTCAATTGTTTATTTCCAAAATATAATACTACAGAAGTCTCTTTCAATACATGTACTGAGGAACAGAGGAGCAGCTAACAAAACTATCCTGACTGCTGTGATAGCCCAATGACCACGGAAGAAATACAGAGGAGCTTGCAATACCCTTTTATCCAGCTAGAAACTTGTTACTAGAGACTCAATTGTGGCAGAATCAAAGACTGCTCCAAATAATTTGGGTCACAGATTCTCAAAAGCCCAAGTTTGCTTTATCCCTCTGTTCACAGAATGATTGCAAAAGCCTCACAATAGGAGTATTCTCTTTGTTTTAACTGCCCGGTATAATTTGGCACCTCTTCAAATTAATTTACACATTTAGTTCACACCCAAGGTTCTGGACCATCTAATAAAAAGTGAACACAATTCTTCTGTCACCTATTATTCAGCAATTAGTTGTTTTCCTTGAATGCTAAAAAGAATAGCAATATCTAAAACAATACACCTAAAAATGACAGCTGTGGTGTCTTAAAATTTTGCAATAAATCCTTTTAGATTCTAATAAATTATGATCAATTTGCAAAAAGCATGCCATTGCATTTTGCAGTTAGTCAATAAAAGGAAATGCCCATTAAGAAACAAAGCTGTTGTAATTTGATTATAAAAGTTAGCAATTAATAACCCCTTCCTGACTGCTACTGAGTGCCCTCTTGTGGGAAAAGTAAGACATGCAGTCTTATTCCACTAATACAGTACTATTTACAATTGATATACTGTATTCAACAGAATAATTCATGAAACCAAGATTTAGGCACAGAATGCAAATCCACTGACATGTGACAGGTGGAGGGTCACACTCCCAAGTCCGCACTCTGGAAAGTGCCTACACAAATGCCTGTTTTAAAACTATCCTTATTATTAATGAGGGAAGGAATAGCTTTACCTTTCTTGTACGATGAACAGACACTGCACCACTTTCCCCCAGTTGAGTCCCTTATGGTAGTGTGGTGTTCCTGAGAAGGGACACTCATACTTTGCTCCAGACTGCCGTGGATAACCAGTCCTGTTCCCCAACACTGCTTCGTTCTGTCTCTACCCCCACAGCTGCTTTCAGCACTTGATCATTCTCCCCCCACCAGATGCTCACAACACTTTTTCCTTCCTCACTAGCCCTCCATACCTTCTTTTCCTCTCCCTAGTCTAACAGTTCAAACAGCTACTTTCCCAATATTCTGATTCCTTTAGCAGCAGTTGCCAAGCTGGCCCAGGCTGCTGCAGCATCCCCCATTTCTCACATTAGTACTCATCCCTGTTTTTCCTAGGCAACTGGCCTTATGAAATATATTAAAACCAAAATAGGAACATTAAACTAACATCTCATCACAAAACTACACAAATATACATATATCATCTGCCACATTACATACCCTCCAGTTTTCTTTAGTCAATCTTCAGGTGCTTCTCCTGATTAAGTAGATTTTTACCGCTTACTTACGCTTTTGCACTGAGGTGTTATGGAAGCCCCCACCTCCACCCATGAATTCAACAACAGACTTCAGATTATTCAGTTTGCAAATGTACGTCTCCTTTCCATAATACTCCCAGATTAACATTCTTCAAACCAACTTTGTAGTGACACAGCTTTGTTTCAACTTAGAGAAATTTACTTTGCTTGTGGAACCAATATTTTATCCAACCAACTTTGGATAAAATTCAATTCATAGGACTGCTGAGCAGTCTTCGTCCCTGCTTGCCAACTTGTGCCGCTATCTTCCAACCTCTGAGCCCAATCTTGCAAAACTTCCTGTGGTACACATTCAGTCTTTCTCCAACCTGTCAAAACACCTCCCTGCAAATTTGGCAGCTCCCATTGTGCCCACTAAATAACACACACACCCCTGATGCCGCCCCAATTTTGAGATGTTGTTCCTGGCTCATTTTTCCTTGGCCACAGAAATCAAGATAACTTAATTTGTCTAGTTTAGTACTGAGGAACTAGAGTAAAATATTATAGAAAGATCAAATCACCACACCTAACAAATGCAGATCCACAAGCCCTTAGGTAAGCATTGTCACAGAGGTTCACCATACTTACAACATAGACATCACTTAGACAGTATTGCTTTCCTTTTCTCTGTCCACGCTGATGAGTATAAACTCCCTTCTGAATGAAAGGTAGAGCATTTGTTCTGTGCAAAATTAAAAAGCAAAACCAAACCTTTAAGTTCATTTCCTGAGCAGTAATGATTTGATAAAATTCTGAAGTTATTCCTTGTTCTACGTACCTATTTTTACCAAATTGCCGATATTCGTATACAGTTAGAGATTTGTCATATGCAAAGAAAAATCCAATCAGTTCTCGACAAGCATCGCGACCATTTCTATAATGGTAACAGAAGCTATCGTAAGTTTTTAAAAAAAATAGTGGAAACCCTATCAACCGAACAGACAAGAACTTGGCACGTTAGGTACATCAACATCTACCATAAGAATAATTTTCTAGATACAAAGTAAATGAACAAATGAATTACTTCCTATGCTTGCAGGCAAATCCCTACCTCTTACCTCCTCTAAGCAAATGAAAGAGTTTTGTCAACAATTTCGGGCTACATTCACAAAACTCTTATTTATGAATGGAGCTTTTCAATCCATTAAAATGTGCATACAGCAGCCCCCTGTTTTGTTCATGCAATGTTAGACTAAGGCCACAGCACACAGGTTGTGCAATATTTCACACGTAGCTTTTTTAGTTTATTATCCTGTCCTTCCTTTGAACTGCAGCTCAGGGTGGTTAACAACCAACAGATAAACAATCATACAAAGTAACACATAAGTCATCAGCAACAATTCAACAGTGAATAACCTCAATAAAAGAGCATCTAAAGATAATTACCCCATTACGCCAATACCAGGGCAGTGTGATATATATATAGCCTCCTTGCAAAAAAATAGTATTCCGTGCCTCCTCTCCTCTATCTACCACTGCCCAGATGCATATTGTCTCAAGTAAACAATTGAAACCTTACAAAGCACAATACTTAATATGTCAGACAATAATTTTTAACCAATCAGTAATGGTCTAGCTAGCTAGCTGGATCCTCAGACAATAACAAAGCAGTAAAATAAAAACTAATAAAAACCACAAAAGACAGTATCATACCTGACCCTCTTCTCTTTCCTTCAATAGCAGCAGCAGTTTGATTTTACACAGAAAGAGCGCGCAAAGGAGCTAAACTATCACCATTTCCACAGTGGCTTATGGTGACTCCAATCTTACCCACTGTATCTCAGTGATCAGATAATCTTCCAGTGACACCAAGGGCTGCCCTTCCTTCCAACCCTCCCAGCTCTTATACAGAAGGATTCCTCACCTAGTCTGCCACCCTGGGTTGCCTTTCTTCCAAGACTTCCTCAGGGAAAAACATGCAATATTATTTCATTATCTTATTAGAAACTATTGGAGTAAGATATAGACATGAAAGGAGCATCCTCAGTTAAAACATACTTGCGTTACAAAATACTTAAAAAGTTTTAGACATACCTTGACAGTATTCTACCATCAAAGCGTAATTTGTTGGAAAGCACATTTTCAGTTAATGCTGACCTTGTCCTTATTCTGTAAAAATAATTCACAGTATTAGTTAAGATCTACACAAGCAAAATTAGACATTCCTCATGCAAGCTACTTTTGAACCTAAAAACGCTCATGAATTGCGAGGAGAACAAATCATGAAAGCAGTGGGCAAAGTCAACATGTGAATTCCAATTGCTAACAAACCAACAACAAATACAACAGGAAATATGTTCTCACTATTTATGCTATCAGCCACATTCCTTTTTCACAGCTCTCTAGTGGAGATCGACACTGTGAAGAAATTCCTTAATGATCTAAACTGCCCACTTCAGTTCAGCGTTACAATGATGTAGGTAACACTATTTATTTATCAAAATATTTATATCCCATTGTTCTGCAAAACACTTGAGGCAGCTTACAATTACGTAAATAGAAAATATGTAATAAATAAAAAAATCAATTGTAACATTGATTGATGTTCAACCAAGTCATACACAGGGTAGGCCCAATGAGTAGAGAGTGGAGCTGCACCGCTGGCCCTGGCATCAGGCACACAGCTGGGTCACCCCAGGTGTTCAAGAGTTGGCATGGATGTCTCCACTAAAAAGGCCTAGGGATGAATAGCTGCTGCTTGTGCACAGGCTTCCATGCATTAGGCTTCCACATGGTTAGTAATCCCTATGTGTGAGCACACATACAGACTTCTTAAGTGCAGATAGGGCCCACAGTCACTGGCAGAGGAAGGGGGGTGCGGTGGGTACGGTCTGTCCCAGGTGTCATCCCTGAGGGGGGTGACATCGCCACGCCGCCACCCCCCGGGACACTCACCCCGCCCCTGCGCATGGCTAGCCCCTTCCCTATGCGGCTAGCCCAACCCCCGGGTGCACAGCATGTACACCGCTTCAGGTGTTGGAGCAGCTAGCTCCACCTCTGCCCACTGCATGTAAGACACTGGTCTTTCCATGATGCCTCCATGAGATTTACACATGAAAGGGGCTACAATTTCCATTTTATCTAGATTATTGACATATGGTAAGACACACTAAGCACTAGATAGGACAACTCTGGGGATGTTACCAAACTGGCTGAGGGTTATGAAACTGTAGTGAAATGTTATTATGCACCCTTCACTCTAAGGCCCCAGTATGGTTTTCATACTGAAACACAATTTAAAGCAGTTTTTAAAAACTTAAAATAAAAAATACAATTAAAAATAAGGTGGGTCCTAAAAATATATATCTCATTTGCCAACGGGCAGGTCAAAGAGGCACATCTTCAGCATTCATCAAGGACTGTATAATAAGGTTGCCAGATGCGCCTCTGTGGAGCAGGAGTTCCACACAATTTAGGGACTGCCATAGAGCATGCCCTCTCCTGGGCTGCCACTCCTTAGCTTCTGAACAACCAAGAGGGCCCCCTCTGCTGATCTTAGCATCCTAGAGGGTCTGTAGGGAAAGAGGCGGTCTTTCAGATATTTGGGGGCTAAGTGATTTATGTCTTTAAACACTAAAGTGAACACCTTGAATTGGACCTGCAGGTAAATTAGCAACTAATGCAGATATTTTAAAACTGGAGTTATATGTGATCCAAAGGGAACCACAGTTAGTAATCTTACTACTGCAAACTGGACCAATTGAAGTTTCCAAGTCATCTTCAATGGCAACCCCACATTGCAATAATCCCAGGAAAGGCCCAGGGAAGAACAGTTGCCACATGAGGTCCAACAGGCTGTGCTCCAGTTCAATAGCTTTGTTTACTAGAATGAAATCAACCAGAATACTGCTGTCTGGTTGGACACCTAATAATGAACGGTATGTTTATGTTCATTCATTTTAATGGGTCTAGTCTTAGAAAAATTTAGTTGAATATCACCCTTAGTCTCAATCTATAGTGAAGATTGTTGGATTGGTCCCATAAAAATATATGGGCATATAATATGTTCCTGTCAAAATATACTGATGAAATCTTTTAGGGTCCTGTCTCCAAAGCAGAGTTTTTGTAAGGAGCATAGTACAACTTGAGAGCAGTACATGTGAAAAGGATCTAGGAGTCTTGGTTGACCACAAACTTGACATGAGCCAACAGTGTGACGCGGCAGCTAAAAAAGCCAATGCAATTCTGGGCTGCATCAATAGGAGTATAGCATCTAGATCAAGGGAAATAATAGTGCCACTGTATTCTGCTCTGGTCAGACCTCACCTGGAGTACTGTGTCCAGTTCTGGGCACCACAGTTCAAGAAGGACACTGACAAACTGGAACGTGTCCAGAGGAGGGCAACCAAAATGGTCAAAGGCCTGGAAACGATGCCTTATGAGGAACGGCTAAGGGAGCTGGGCATGTTTAGCCTGGAGAAGAGGAGGTTAAGGGGTGATATGATAGCCATGTTCAAATATATAAAAGGATGTCACATAGAGGAGGGAGAAAGGTTGTTTTCTGCTGCTCCAGAGAAGCGGACACGGAGCAATGGATCCAAACCACAAGAAAGAAGATTCCACCTAAACATTAGGAAGAACTTCCTGACAGTAAGAGCTGTTTGACAGTGGAATTTGCTGCCAAGGAGTGTGGTGGAGTCTCCTTCTTTGGACGTCTTCAAGCAGAGGCTTGGCAACCATATGTCAGGAGTGCTCTGATGGTGTTTCCTGCTTGGCAGGGAGTTGGACTCGATGGCCCTTGTGGTCTCTTCCAACTCTATGATTCTATGATTCTAACTGATCAGTGATCTGTTTTGAATAATCTTATTTATAAGTGTAATTAGAAATGATCATCCAAGGGTGTATATTGCATTTGTTGATCTTTCATCTGCTTAATTCCATTTGTGAAAAAAAGCTAGCTGTTACTTTGTTACAAAAAATAACTCATGTTTCTTATACCTGGGCTCTTTCAGATTTAATGATCCAGTTAAAACATCACAATAAGCCACAGTTTGTCTTAAACCATGACTAAATTGTGAATATGAAGAAAAAACAAAACATTTATTTCAAAGACAAAACAGGTCTGAGTGATTGGCTCTCTTTTAGATGAAACAAAGAAACGCAGATACACTGTCTTAGATCAACCAAAGCTTCATCTTGAAATAATTTTAAGGCTATATTCAGTAAGACAAGCAAACACAACAGCATATACTTACCTTGTTTCATGTAATGTTCTTTTTCTAAAGCGCAGAGGTGCTGTCCTTAATCCTGGAAGCATAAGATCCTTCTCATAAGTATCAGCATTCCCATTTTGTTCTGGATCACTTATCACAGCTCTAACAAACAAACAAACAAAACCCCAAAAACCCCACATGATTTCATGGAACTAGTTTTATAGAATTAAAATATAAAGTCAAATTCTTACACTGGAACTAGCTACTACATAGAAGACATCAAGAGACAGCTGAAGAATCTATGCATTCAAATTTATGCATACAATTTTAAAATAATGAATGTTTTATCTAAATTACACAGTATAACTAAGTTAGCAATGCTTTAACCATTTAACCCTATTCACAACAAAAGATTTGGTCACAATTCTGTCGCAGAGGCAGGATGCACTGGAAACAAGCACAGGGACTGATGAGCGGAGGGGGAAGTGGGAGAGAAAAAGGACAGGCACACCTGGTGTAGTCTACCTCCTCCCTAAACTCTTTCTCCCATCCTTCTTGCCACTCAGCTCACAGTGCCTCACAACATGATTCTCTTCTGGGTTCTTTTAAATACATGCAACTCCCCATTTACACAGGGACTACGTTCCGAGGCACCTTGTGTTTAAGTGAAATCACGTATATTGGGAACACCATTGCAAAAACCCCTAAACTTCTGGCAACCCTTGAAAAACACTTTTTAAAAAACCAAAAATCCACCAAACTCCACCACAATTGTTCCCTCCAAACATCCTTGCTCAAACTCCAACTCTTCACAGGCCTCAAAGGTGATTGCAAAGGATTCTGGGATTTCACTTGCAAAGCTTCATGGGATTGCTAGACACTATTTTCACACCATTTTTGCCGTTTTCATACTCTTTTAGGGCTGGTTTTGCACTGTTTTGTGCCACTTACGGGTTTGTAGAAATGCATGTGTGTGTGGTTGCACATGCCTGGAATATGTGTAAATGGGGAGTTGCCTGTCCTCCTTCCCTAACACCAGGAATAGGAATACTGTAGCTCCATGTGCAGACCTGAGATGATGGATGTGAACAAGAAAGGAGTATTCTGTCAGCCACAAAGAGGAAAAGTAAGGTGGCAGTCCTATCTTGTTCCACATTAGACCTTGCTTGCCAGATTCTTTTACATTTGTTCTACATCCTGTTCAGAGGTACTAAATAATGACCATTGCATATTTACAAAATCAATTTCGATAGATCTTATGCACAAATCAGTATGCCTAACATAATAATCTTACGGCATAATCTTATATTTACTCAGCAGTATGCCACTGAACATAAGGAGACCTTCTAAGTATGCATGCTTAATAAGAGTAGATTAAGTTTATCATTATCAATATATTTTTTGTTTTCATGTTTTATGATGCAAATTACTATGTGGATATAGGAAAGTTGGGTTATAGAATCAATAATAAACAGTGTCATAATCCAATTGAGTTTAGAAATTTCGGCTGCAATCCTGATCCCATTTACTTGGGAATAACCTCATTGAATTCAATACGACTTAATTCACAGTAGACATGGTTAGCATTGGAACCTTAGGCACATTTTTTCTGGAAAAAATACATATATCTACATTGTATTTATTATCTTTTATATACATCAACATTTATATATCAACATTTGTATTTATTATCTTACCTAGATAACTGATCTATCATTACTTGTTCCACTACAGTTTGTTTTTTTCTTTCAGCTGCTACATCCTCCTGCAAGCAAACATTAAAGAGAAAAATATATAATTACAACAGTTAAGAAAATATTGTTAAAATGTTAGGATCATTTGGATCTCTTAAAAATTAAAAGTGGATTTGGGTTGTAAAACTAGGACACACATAAAATGTCACCCACTAAAAAGCTTACACAGATTATTCATAAACTCAGTTATGGTTATTAGAGACACATTTTTATTCAACCAGATAAGAAAAGATAATTTGAGTGTCTGTCATATGTGCAAATTTCATTCTAACAGAAAGAAAAACTGTTTCCATTACTTCTGCTTCCATTCAGAGCATCACAGCATAATAGACTAGTTGAAGCTATGTGACTACAGTGATATGAATTAATTTTAATACGTTTTATACGCTGCTCAGAAATGAAACACAGTCAATCATATGAATCTTGGATCCTATGTCACTGAGATAAAGCTAAACCCAAGGTTTTGGGTAAGTAGGAAAGCCTCATTTAAAAATACTTGGAACAGAAACTAGTATATAGAGAATTTTATAACAAGTTAACATTTCCCAGAAGACTTACAGCTTCCAATTTTCTTATGCTGTGCTGTATTGTGTAGGGTTTGCTTGTATAGCATTGCTGCAGAAGGGCCTTTTCATCAAAAACTGTCAATTCATCATATGTTTTGTTTTCAGGCTGTAAATCCTATGTGGGAATAAAACACGTTATCTAGATATTATCACTGATAATCAGTGGCCAAGACCAGCACTCTTGTTGCATTTGATTTGTGTTCCTCACCATCCAGAATGTGCAAGAAACATTTGTAGGTTCTAACCTATGCTAGTGTCCTGCACATAACTCTTTTTTTTTAACTTTCCAGAATTATGAGCTGGTTTAAACTTGCACTGTTCACCTATATATATGCTGATAAATTGAAATGATGTAGATTTTGAGCACCTGGTGATCCACCTATGAGAACTTATTTCTGCAATGCTAATTCTGTTCTCTGAATCAAGGCAGTATGCAACTTATAAAAATAGTATGTTATATGAATCCTACATGCATAAATTCTATATACCACCACTTGTCTGAGCACAGTACTTTCACATAAAGGTTAGTAGAGTTCCCAGTGTCAAATGAAGTATGAATGTTACCTTTTCCTCAGCCATTCTTTCTGGAGGTTTGTGTTGTTGGTTATCCTTTGCTTTTTTTTCTGCAACTCTCTGAGAATACTGTTTATATCCCTCTTTCATTTCTGCTTCATACTGCTGATACTTGAGTTTGTATTTATCTGTTGGGGGTGGCAGATTTTCTGGTACTGTCTTTTGCTCCCACAAAGAAAGCTGAAAATGAATCATTGGGAGCAGTCAAAACAGCAACTGCAATTGTGAAAGTTTAATAGCGAACACTTCGTTTTTTAAAAGTTGCCAAAAACTATCATGGTACAATTGTAAAATGAAAGTCGAGTTATTTGTCAATAGGGCAGTTTATTATTGTACCAATTAACTACACAATGGGTGAAATGGACAAAGATTTCTACAAACTTCCATTATTATCTTGAATATAGCAATCCACATTTCACATGCAAATCATAAATGGGAAATATGAAAATATAAACTGGCAAACTTTTTCTAAAATAGTTGGGGGGTTTTCAGCATCTGGATGCTTTATTTTTCTATTATTGAACCGAAGCAGAAATATTAATGATTTCATTATTATTTTGAAACACACACACACAAAGTTTTGTTTAATATGTTTCTTTAACTATATTACCTCAGCTTTCTCCAGCTCTGTTTTTCTTGCTGTCTGGGTAAGAGAAAGAGCAGAAACATACGTCAAATATTTTTTTTAAAGATTTATAGTTAATCAATATAATTCAAAGAGAAATTAATTTCAGATATGACTTTAGGGGGAAATTAAATGAGTTATAAATATTTAAGTGCAACCCAATGCTTAATCAGAAGTTGCCTCTAATGAACTCTGTAAGTCTAATGAACTCTGTAAGTCTTACTCCCATCTACACCAACAGTGCTTATACATAACCCAGAGCCACACATGCATATTCTATACACTTTGGTGTTATCAGACAGGACATGCATGAAAGGGTCTACTACAGACCCTTTAATCATGGCCATTCAGTTGAATGTTCCACTGAAACAACTGACTACCATAATTAGTAATGTCATGCAAATGGCTGTTGCAGCTACATGAATGAATAAGACTCTTTTCCTCTATAAATGGGTATGGTAGAGCCATACTGAATACAATCATGACCAGTGTATTTAGGGTGGTGATGCATGTTAAACAGTGAATAAGATCACAACATAAAAATGTAATATGTATTTAAAAGTAGAAGTCAAACAGTTACCCTTTTACACTTTTCCAGCACATTTTACGTGCTATAAAATATTTAATTTCTTTTGACAAATATTGGCATTTGCTAAAGTACAAATATCATTTTTCCAAAATTAGGGCATTGAAATATATGCTATCAATACCCTAAAAATAAACATTATTTCATCAAAATGTTAGACACCAGCAAGGTTGTACTGTACTTAATGACCAGAGTAATCCTACTGGGGGCGGGAAGAGAGGAGTGTCCATGATAAACAAACTGCCGCATCCAATCCATCCTGAGCTTGCACCAGTTGGGACAGAAGCTGGGTAGAAGCAGCTCTTTTCCTGGTAATTCTGGTGCTTTTCCACCCCTCCAGTTTCCCTCCCATTGGTTCCCATGGAAGGGCAATTCACTAAAGCAGCTTCAGGACTGGCATAGTTTTATTTCTGGTTTGGGGGTTTAACAAGAGAAAAATTTGGATCATGGGGATTCAATGCCTCCCTCTGTCTGCTCTGGCACTCCCTGCTGCAGCACTCACCTATCCAATGCATCTCTGAATTCAGTTGCGGTACATTGGCCCTCATTCAGTCCACCACTTGGTCATGCACCGCTTATGAATGATCATGCCATGGATGAGTGATGTTTTAGTATGGACTGGCATGAAGCAGAAGCAGCAGGTGAGTAGGTCCACATAGCCACCCTAGCCTTGCTGGATGAGAAGAGCAGGCTTTGCTTATACTTTATGTTCTTCCTTCCAAGATAGTACACCCCACTCCTTGTGCCTCATCTCCTATAACCCTGAAGATGATATAGGTTGAAGATATTCCTGTTAACAAACTAACCTGTTGAATATCATAATGTTGTGCATAAGGGCTCTGTAATGGAGTACCCCAGCTGATATTTGAAGATGAAAGTAGTAGACCAGTATGAGGCTGTCCACCACTGTATGGAGTGTAGGGATCACCATCCTAAAATAAAAGGACTTTTTAAATGGCAAAGTGTTATGCTTTGTTAAACTGTTGCAGAATATCAATTGCCCAAGAATTCAGGAAGCAAATTCATAAAATTTATGGACACTGGAACTACACAAGGATGAGCTATCTGACCACATTAGTCAGCCACAAGTATCATGTGTGTTGTGGCAAGAGTTTTATCACACACAAGTAACAATACGAATTTCAGAGAGAAGTGTTGTTTTTTACATAAACCTAATCCAAATAATGTCAATTAGGAGCTGCAAAACAGTTTTCTATTCTGAAATATCACACACAGCTGCATATTCTGCCCAACTTATTAAAAGAATGTTCTAATGAATTCAGAAAATTAGTTAAGATGACTGGTAAGTGACAACTAGGGCAGCATATTCAAGCTAGCACTATGAGATCTAGATATTATATTGTTTTTTACTTCCAGCAACTGCCACATCTAAAAGTTGGTTAATTTTCTGAAATTAATAGATAATTGTTACCTCATCCTCTGAATCTCCCAGCTTTCCCAAATCAAGGCATGGAACTCTGTAGAAAATCAGAAATTAGAAAATGTAGCAAGCTTTCAAAACTTCCTTTGGTTTTCAGATGCCACAATGTTTTCTTTTCAAGAAGTTTCATTGATTTCTAAAGGGGTCTAATTAAAAAGTTCCAACCCTCCTTTTCCTTATGGAATCAGGTAAAATAAGAAAATAAAGAAAATAAATGCACTTCGGACTATTTCCATCCCCATTTGCAAAGGACCCTTGAAGTTCTGTGAGGAAGTTCTGGAAGGCAATTTGTTGTTACCATCTCATAAAGCTTGAGCCAGTGAAGTTTAATTCTTTTTCACTCTCCACTCAGATAAGTAGCAATTCAACATTGCATTTCTATTACCTTTCTTAATAAATTTATTCTAATTATTTCTCTTATAACCATCCAGTAATCAAGTGAGATATTAATCGTAGTGAAAGTGGGTAATGCATTTGTGAATATTTACGATTTAGAAAGAGGCATTCGGTCTGCTATTAATATTTAGCATCTGAGACCACTCTAGTTCTCAGTGAAATAATTGAAATGTTGAAATGTGTAAAGATTTGCAAGAAGAAAACAGTGCTCAGCAAGGCTCCACTGCCACTAAACGTTATCTATAAAACACTTCTACTTACTTCACCCAGTGTACATAGATGCATGCTCAGCAGCAATCCCTATCTTTCTGCCTTCATAGCCTTCCTAAATCGTCTCTAGCTCACAAAGTCTTGATGTCCCCAAACATTCCTTTCACATCAGTAGGCTAGTTTTTCTCTTTTGTCTACATCTTTCATTCCTGAACCCAACAGCCCTCTGTACTTAGATAACTCTAATCCCTATGTAAAAATTAATTTTCAAGTACAAAACTTGTTTAAAAAGCACATGAAACTCTGGAATAATTGTAGTAAAAAGAATGATACATTTCTCTCTACATAGTTTTCTTCAACGTATGAACTTGTTCATTGAGAAATACACGAAAGCAAAGTAACAAAGTAACTTATAAAAAACAAGAACATGGACCCTATAGATACATACACACATGCACACACACACACACACAATAAATAAAATTTGATGAGAATTACTATTTCTCTTTGTAGAATTATGTAGGAAAAGCCTGGTACTAAGCAATTCTTATTTTCAGAGAGTTAGAGCTAGAGATCCTAAGGCTGAAGTTCTACTCACAAGGTAGGATTTTCGGGGGATTCCCCCTTCCCCTGCAAATCTGCTCTGGAGGACTGGAATGCCCTCAAGAACAATGTGGGAGGTGGGGAAGGAAGAGACAGGAGGAATCTGAGAAAATAGCCATTATCCTTCCAAGAGGAACAGCATCCACTGGACCAGCTGACCTTCCATTAACAGAAGGAAGGACTGCTTTGGATTCATATGAAATGAAAAACGTGACAGTGCTGTGAAAGGGTAGCAGGGAGGGAGACAGTAAACAAAACATAGGCAGTAAAAAAAAAATGAAAACATTGACTTACTCAGCTGGTCGAGGGCCATGTTTTGTTTTTGTATGTGGCCTCCATCCCTAAGCGAAGAAAAAAATAGAACCATGTTTAATTCCAGGGTTTTTTTCCATATTTCTAAACCCTAAGATTTGAAATCTTTTAAATGAGTATCAATCAGGGTCAAAATACATTTAAATCATGGGCACAGTAGGGGAGAAACCAAGGTTTGTTCTTGGGTTTACAGCATGTGATTTGTCTGGAGGAGACAAACCATAGCCCCAGGATTGGATAACACATTAAACCTTGCAGCAGCAGGAAGACCAGGGTTGCAGTGCAGCAACTGAAATCTCCTCTCCAGGAACCTTCGTGTTTGCACGAAGGCTAAACAATGATTTGACTTAGTGTTACACACTAAGCAGCTCTTCCAGTATTTAGTGACATGTCAGTTTAGTGACATGGTATTTTTCATACCACAACAGGATAGGACAGACGAGGTGTCTGACAGTATGTTATACTAAAATTATAACGTTAGCAATGAGTGACAAATATGAAAGAGGATCCAATATTGAACTTCACCTACCGTATGTACCAAGGACTTTCCAGAGAATGGTTAATGATTTTTTTAAAAAAAAATATTAATCTTTAATATGCTCAACTTACTTGAGCAAGTTTGTAGTTCCTTGAGGACAGGGCTGCTTGCTTTCTTGGAGATGCAGCAACTCCTTTAATCTCTAAATCCATTTGAATTCAGGTATTGTACTACCTGTACAAAAAAAAAGGAAAGGAAAAAAAGGTTATTCTCACAGGATTGGAGAAAGAATGACTTGTGCTAAGAAGGATATTTACAAAACTGTATTTCCCATATTAACTAATTCCCTCCTGAACTGCAGTTCTCTCCATAAGCATTCAATTCAGTTACTGCAGGTCTCAATTTATTGTTTAAAATGAGAGCATCTATAAGCTTTAATAAATTTCATACTTCAGGCTCAACCAGATGCAGCTTGAGACCAGAGTTTCAAAGTCCAATCTTGGATACTGTAAGTTCTAGATTTTCGTTTCAACATAGAAGCACAAACTAGCCATTACACTAAGGTTACCATATTTTTTTCAATGAATCTGGGGACATTTTTCAACTTCAATGGATTTTGTATGGGGACTGTCCCCAGGAAACGGGGACGTCTAGTAACCTTACATTACACCATGAAGGACTTTTCTGCAGTTTTATTCAATTTTCTCATATTCATACAACAAATAAATTAACTCAGGGATACATGATCAATACATAGAACCAACCAGTTAAATGCACTAAAAATAATGAAACCTCTATTTATATGGGTACCAGTGCAAAGTAGGCACCCAGTCAGAAGGGTAGAAATATATTTTAAAAATAAAAAAATTGTCCAGTAGCACCTTAGAGACCAACTAAGTTTGTTCTTGGTATGAGCTTTTGTGTGCATGCACACTTCTTCAGATACGAAAGCTCATACCAAGAACAAACTTAGTTGGCCTCTAAGGTGCTACTGGACAATTTTTTTATTTTTATATATATATTTCTATTGCGTCAGACCAACATGGCTACCTACTTGAGTCAGAAGGGTGATTTGTTTCAACTATGATGTAGTATGCTTGCAAGCATGCATAGAACAGAAGAAAAGAGGGAATATGACATTTGAAAATAAGAAATATTGTATGGGGAGGTGCCAAATATTGTCCTCTCTCAGGGCCCCATACTGTATTACCAAAGTCCACCCCTGAGCATAGTTTCCTTGATGGCTAGTAGCCACTGAATCACTCGGAAGACTCAGTTAGGGTCAGGGTTGTGCTGTCCTTTGAGGACAGTGATTCATCTCTCATTACTGGTGGCAGAGCCAGTACCTATGGGAGGGCTAGCCAGGCTTTTTGTCCGGGGGTTAAGCTTCCCGAGGGGCGCCATTGAGGCTCCCAGCCTCTGTGTGTGTGTGTGTGTGTACACGTGTACACAAAAGAGCATTTGTGCGTGGGGGGGTGCCAAACTAGTCTTTGACTGGGGTGAAATAAAGCCTAGTTTTGCCCCCGCTGGTGGGAAACGCTGTAACCCTGCCTGAGTCCATAGAACAGGGCGCGTAATAAAATATATTGACTAAAATCATCGACAGAACCACAGAATGGCAGAGTTGGAAGGGACCCTCCTCTGATAATCTACTTCCCTCCCGCAACAACATTAATATCTACAAATAAATGTATTGGGGAGGGGGCTGCCCTGCAGGACAGTTTCTAAAGTAACTTGGGAGTTAAAAATGATCTAAAACTATGGTTTTCCCAGTCGTGATGTATGGAAGTGAGAGCTGGACCATAAAGAAGGCTGATCCCCGAAGATTGATGCTTTTGAATTATGGTGCTGGAGGAGACTCTTGAGAGTCCCATGGACTGCAAGAAGATCAAACCTATCCATTCTGAAGGAAATCAGCTCTGAGTGCTCACTGGAATGTCAGATCCTGAGGCTGAGGTTCCAATACTTTGGCCACCTCATGAGAAGAGAAGACTCCCTGGAAAAGACCCTGATGCTGGGAAAGATTGAGGGCACAAGGAGAAGGGGACGACAGAGGACGAGATGGTTGGACAGTGTTCTCGAAGCTACTGACATGAGTTTGACCAAACTGCGGGAGGCAGTGGAAGACAGGAGTGCCTGGCGTGCTCTGGTCCACGGGGTCACGAAGAGTCGGACACGACTAAACGACTAAACAACAACAACAAAGGCAGGGGGGCCCCCTGGGACTTCCTTTGGGCTCTGCTACATATTTAGTTAGCCTCGATGGCGGCGCCTTCGGGCACTTCGACCCCTCGCGCGCAAGGGAGCCCTCGGGACTCCTTCGCGCACGGTCCCGTTTCCTCGCCAGCAGAAGCGCGCGCGGCCGCGGAGCTCTCACCGCCGCCTGCCGCCGGGCTGGGGATCCGCGGCCAAGCACGGCGGCCGCCTCTCGGTTAACGCGGCTCCGTCCATGGCTCAACAAATCTTTTCTCTCTCACACACGCGCGCGCGAACTCTGTGGAGGTCCGACTTTGATGCTAAGCGCGGCGGAGAAACGGCGGTTGGAATTTGAAAGGCCCCGCTAGTTTCTCCGTTAACGGCTCCCGGGAAGGGATGCGTGGGGCGCGCGCCCCCGCGGTTGCCTAGGCGACCGGTAAACAAGACGGAACGCTCCCGCTCCTTCAACCGCCACTTGGGCGCGTTAAGTTGAAAAGACGCCTCGAGAGGCGAACGGGGAGGCCGGGCGAGCGCCCCGATGGTCTGCCGCTCTCACCTCAGCGACGACGTCCCTTCCTTCCTCGGCCTATTCCCGCCTGGGCGCTTCCTTGTCCAGCCTCCTTCCCAGCCCCACCTCTGCTCTCTCTTCTGGGCTTGTTCCGAGGGAACAATCCGCGAGCTCCTCCCTAGGAAGCGAGCCTAAAGCAGCTGGTGCTGCCCTAGGAGGGGCGCATAGAGACCGGGGGGGGGGCGTGTAAGGAAGCGGGCACCCACCCACCGACCTTCCCCCTATAATCGCAGAGAGAGCGTTGCATTTGTCAAAATGTGGCCTCACCTGGAGCTTGCGCACTTTTTTTTACCAGGCATACCTACAAGCGGGAAGGAGGGGCGACTACTAAAGGCCACCGTTGCAACAACCTCTCTACTCCATACGCTGCTACCATAACAACATCGCGGTGCTCAGGTCAAGTTCCGGGGGGCAATTCCACAAATCGGATTACGAGGTATATAGGAGCCAACTTTTGCTACTATGATTGCCTTAAGCTGCCCACCTGTTACAGCGAGCGGCCCTGGTTTGTGTGTTTTTATAAAGTTCCTGCACGGGCCAGCTTTCTCCTAATGCAAGAAACTACTATTTGGCTCATGAACCCAAGCAAGCATGGTGTTGTAAGATGGAACCATATATTTTTTTCCGAACACCCAGGCTGCAGGGCAATCCGTGTCAGGTTTTTCTATCCTGACAAAAGTTTTCCCCCTCATAATGTATTTTATGCTGCTCTCGGTAATGGATACAGTATTTTGAAATTAAGTTTACTGTATGTAGAATACCCAAGTGTGAATTCAAAGATAGCTTTATTTCTGGTCAATAAATCATGACACAGTGTAATATGTCATGTTTGGTTGCTCATCTAAGGATGCATTTACCTGATTTTAAGACCTGCTAAGGAAAAGATTATTATTATGTCCTCATACGTAAAACCACTTATGATTAATACTTCTTCAATCCTATTGAAGCCCTATTTAAAAACATCTGTCATAGAATTCTGTCTTCATAGTATTTGCAGGGATCAAATAAGTAAGAAATATTTGTCCTCAAATTTCAAACTTAGGGAACATTTTTCATCTGTTTTTGTCCACTTACACCTAATATGAGTTATATGACACCTCATCAGGTAAGTTATTACATTTCACTATTGTTAGCTAGTCAGTTTTTCAATACTTCTGCTGCTCTATACAATTTTCAGGAAGGCTGGCAAAAATTATTAAGATTGAGGTAACAGAATCATAGAATTATAGAGTTGGAAGGGACCAACTCCCTGCAATGCAGGAATCTGTCACCCAACATGAGGCTCATGCTCTACCAACTAAACTATCCCAGTACAGTACCTTTTCACAGTGAATTGTATAAACTGTCCAGAGTATTTCAATTGTTTCAGAACAAAAGTAAAAACAAAAAACAAAACAGGACTCACTGCTTGTCAGTACACAGTATTTGCTCCAAATCCTTGTGACATTAACATATATGAGAGAGTGCTGGAGGAGAAATAGTTAAATAGGTTGCACAGACAGGACCCTGGGGGGTGGAGTCAGTGGGTCTATAAAACTAGTTCTGGGAGGAGTTCGTTGGGAGTTGTGGGTGGGTAGTTGGTTGGATTTCATGGGTTGGCTGGTTGGGAAAGGCAGTTGGTAATAGAGAGATAGTTAGGGCAGTTGGTCCTTGAGTGTGGGGGAGGTAGCAGAGATAGAGAGAGGAACACCGTTTGGTATGCTGTAAAAGTTTTGTTTATGTCTGAAATAAAATACACTTCTTTATTATTAATTGAAAAGTGACTGAGACGGAAGTGATTTTACCAGGGAGGACTTGGTTGGTGGCAGCGGATTATGGTGTACGGGTCAATAGTCCGTGAGACGACCGGGGGCTCCGTACACAATCCTTTCTGTGGAGACATTCATGTGAAACATGTAGACTTTAAAAGTAAGAAATTGGAAAAAAAATGTATACAACATAATCTGTTACCATTCCTTGACTTTAATAGTTGTAAAAAATACATTGCATCTTTACAGTGTAGTGGAATACTATATAGAGCTTTTAGGCTAATATATACAGAAATACCTTTATACAGAATAAATAGAAAAGTTTCATAAATATATTGTTTCAATGCATATTGCAGCAAATGTGAACCTGTTCCATAATAATTTAAAAGTGCATTATAATATGTGCAATAATTCATTACAAGTTTTTAAATATAACTTATCTACCTAATTCATTTTTAATACGTCGTCTTAACCCAGTCTCTGGTTCTGCTGTTTCTTGATCAATTACTTCATCATCTTCCATCTTCTTTGGGTCTTCCATTGGACTAAGCAAGAACTCATGATCATAGTGCTTATGCACCTCTTCATCACAGTGTTCCTCAATATCTTCAAACTGCTCTTTATGCCCACAATTTTCATTATCACCCTCACCCATCTCTGCCTCAGGATGTGAAATGAATGACTGAATAAGATCTTCAAGCCTCTCTTGGCACGTGTGGTTAACATCTGAATTTCAAAATAATAATAATAAATAAATAAATAAAAGAGGGGAGGGAAGAAAATGGAAGATTTAAAATTATAATTAAGTCCACTGTCTGTATAATAATTAAAACAAAGCTGCTATCAGAAAATTGCAAATGAGCAACCAGCTTTATTATAGATGGCAGTATACACTACATTAAAGTACAGTGGTACCTCGGGTTAAGTACTTAATTCGTTCTGGAGGTCCATTCTTAACCTGAAACTGTTCTTAACCTGAAGCACCACTTTAGCTAATAGGGCCTCCTGCTGCCGCTGCGCCGCCGCTGCACGATTTCTGCTCTCATCCTGAAGCAAGTTCTTAACCCAAGGTAATATTTCTGGGTTAGTGGAGTCTGTGACCTGAAGCGTATGTAACCCAAGGTACCACTGTATACAGTTCTGTAACTTGTCTATTAAATCATAAGTAATGTTTCTTTTGTTCTGTAGCTTAAACAAATATATAGATATATAGAGTCTCAAGCAGGGGTTACAGTGTCATTTTAACATACTAAAGATAAAAGTACCTTCTGGTTTCATTGTCGATTTGTCCAATCCACTTTCTTTCATCAGCTTCCTAATGGACTCAAGCTGTACCATAATTTCATCTTTCTGTTCCGAAGCCAAGGCATTAATGCTGACATGAAATTAATTGAAAAGTCAGCAGGTAGTAATAGAGAGCAGCTGTTAATATGCCACCAAAATACTTTTTCTAGCCCTCTTATAAGAAAACTCTCAGTGATATATTCTTATGGCAGCACTTAAGAATCAGACAGGCTGTGGAACCATCTTTCAACTATGCCAGTCACTAGGGACCACCTTTCATCACATCAAGGAAGCAACAGGAATTCTCCTGCTGTCCGGATTCTGCAATCCAGATTAAAACTACAGGACACAAACTGGCAAGTGCAAAAAAGAAGAAGAAGAAGAGTTTGGATTTGATATCCCGCTTTATCACTACCCGAAGGAGTCTCAAAGCGGCTAACACTCTCCTTTCCCTTCCTCCCCCACAAAAAACACCCTGTGAGGTGAGTGGGGCTGAGAGACTTCAAAGAAGTGTGACTAGCCCAAGGTCACCCAGCAGCTGCATGTGGAGGAGCGGAGACACGAACCCGGTTCCCCAGATTACGAATCTACCACTCTTAACCACTACACCACACTGTATTGATAATACAGGCACAAAACCTAACTGCATCTGCCATGATGTGGGCAGAAGCCAATAAATGGACCCATGTAATATTGCTCAAGACACATGCAAAAGAAGAGATCCAAGATATACTCAAACTCTCATCTACGTATCTACCACTATTAGTCTAATAAATGTTTAAATGGGTCGTTCAAGTGATACTGGTGTAATTTATTTTTCAATCATAAAATATTCAGACCTATAAATACTCCAAATGCATGAAAAGCCTGTATGAAGAAAACTTAATATTGGCACCTTGAAATCTGAATTACTCATCTAGTCTTGTGTAGCCTACATTACCAAAATGCTATTTAGGGTCTAGGAAGGGAATGTAAAGATTGTTCCAGTAATTTTTTTAATATATTGTCAATTATTGTTAATGCAGAAAATATGGAGACAGCACAACAATTCACATGCTAATATTCTTGTGATGTTTAATCACATTTACCAACTCACAATTGCCTCAAGAGCTGAAATATTACTAAATCAAATCCCCACCAAAATACTCACCAGCTTGAAAGTGGATCTAACTGATTCAATAAAGAATTTAACATTTTCTCTGTCTGTGCTAGATGTTGCTCCAACTCCATAAGCTGGCGTTCTACAAGTGAGAACAAATACTTTTAAAGCAGTGTTGCTAATAGGTATTTAAAAACCAATAATCTATTTTTCTACTTTTCCAGAGGAGCTATGGAACTGAACTAAAGCATTCAAGGGCTGTAATCCTAAACCTATTTTTATAGTAAAAAAACCAAGTGTTACTGAATTTACTTCAGGATAAACATGATTGGGATTGCATTATAAATAATACAATGCAGAGAAAATTTGTAAAGGTCATTTTACCAGCAAAATGGCTAGGAAAAAACAGCTTCACTTATTTGATTAAATGAGCAGCATTTGATCTGACAGACATTTTTTCTAAAAACCAAATACATACATTATCAATACTCGCAAGAATTCTGTTCTCCAAAGTAGATTGCTGTAGTCTGTGCTAAGGAATAATGATACAAAGTAGCTTTGCCATAACTATCAGTAAGCAGTCAGTGGAATGCATTTTCATGAATGCACTCGACTCATAAAACAGCAGCCCAAAAAGCAATTAAGATTATACAATTCCACCAATTTGATTGCTGCTTACACAAACAGGGGAACAGAAGGGCTGTTGAAAAAATATATCAAGCTTCTTAAGCTGAGGTGTGGTTGCCTGAACTACTATATGCAAACTGTATGATAAAGATCTCTAGCCAGAGATTTCTGAATCAACTTCTACCTGTTTCTTTTGTCTTAACTTCTGTAGTTTTTTCTTGCTTGGATAAGCTTTCTTCTTGAGATTTCATCTATGAAAGAGTAAACAAAATTTACCACAAAAGCTTTTAATATTGAAAATAACTAAACCTCAAGAAAATGTTTCACTCATTTAGATTAATGTGAAGACACGAGGCAGGTAATAATACTTTACCTTGGAAATATAGTGTAATCCAAAACATATTTCCCCATCTGCTTAATTTATGTTTCAGCCTCTTTATTCTCACTGACTTCACTATGACAAAACCAGCTTCAATCCAAAGTTTCCAGTTGAACTACGCTGAAGACTAGCCCCTTCCTAGTCATAATGTTTTAACTTACAGTTCAGTTTTCCTGATTTAGTCATACCGATTTTAGTATAATTTATTTCAGATACAATCCTAAGAATGATTAAAATTCCCACTACTGCCTTTTGTCATCTGAATTCTGTATACAACACAGATATTTCTGTAATATCACAAAAGCCTTTCTAATAGAAGAACCTTTGGGAGACACAATTGTTGCTTATACTCCTAACCGCATTTATTGGACTATAAGAGCATTTACAAGTCCAGCCTAAGGCATTTATATTTCATTCTTTCCTGAGAAAGCAAAGGGCTCCAATACTGGAAATACATATATTTATGACCAGGTTGCAAACTTGTTGTGGAGAACCTAGTATGCCAATGCATATTTCAAGTGTTGCTGGAGAAATACACTTCTCCACTTGGTTATCGTTTCCACTTCCACTATCAGACTAGGTGACTGCCTATCTGTAGACACCCTTTCCTGTGATGCAGGCCCAACCACCTCCAACTCCAATTGGCTTTGCTGTTGACTTCTCTCCTTTTTGGAGTCAATCATTTGTCTAGGCAGGGGTTGTGCTTCCTGCTATGTTTGTTTTGCTGCCTGCTGGAGCATAGAGCAGGAAGCTACTTGAGGGTCTCAGCTGAATATGATGGTGAGGGGAGGATGTGGCATCCTAATAATAATAATAATAATAATAATAATAATAATTTATTTCTACCCAGCCACTCTGGGTGGCTTCCAACAAAAGATTAAAAATACAGTAAAACATCAGTCATTCAAAACTTCCCTAAACAGGGCTGCCTTCAGATGTCTTCTAAACGTCAGATAGTTGTTTATTCCTTTGACATCTGATGGGAGGACGTTCCACAGGGCCAACGCCACTACTGAGAGGGCCCTCTGCCTGGTTCCCTGTAACTTCACCTCTCGCAGTGAGCAAATCTTGTCTTGTTTCTGCTTTGAGTCAGAACAGAGACTGTTCTAAAAGCTATGTGCAGAGGCATCATTATCATCACCTTTTCCTGCATTGTTCCAAAGTTGTTTGGGAGTGGGGCATGGTAGTGGCATTATCATTACATACACGACTGAACAAATCCCAGTTCTGTACAACTACGTGGATCATAAATTCTCTTGCTAATAGTTACCTTTAAGAACTTGTATAAAGCAAATACACCCACACCAACAGCATACAAGGGCATGAGTGTTAAAGCAAAGTCTTTGCCATTCCCTCTAGTCCGCTCAGTCTTGATCTCTTTCTCCATTGCATTTCTCATTTGTTGGATGCTTTGGTATGTTTTGCTTTCAGAACCCTCTGAATTCATCTGTGACTGCAAGATTCTCTCAGATCCACCTGAAAAACAAATAATACATATATACATACATGCACATACAAACAGACTGAAATAAAAAAATATGAAAGCACTCAAGTCTGTGAAGAAGAGAATTGTTCTGCAGCATGGAGAAATCAGCTTCACTGTGGAAAGCAATTCCAGGTACAGTCTCAATGTGATAGTGTGAGATTGGCTGATGCTAATGAACATGACAAGAGGCTTCTCCACTCCACACTTAAAATTAGCCCCTCTTAAAAACTCTTATGAGTCTCCTCTTTGCAGATGGAGCTCCGCGATCAAAGTCACATCAGACACAGGAATTGGCTGGAAATGTTTTAATTTTATTTTGTGCTATATGTTGACATTTTGTTTGATTTTATGTCATGCTGGAGCTTGAAAGACTGCTATACTTTAGCCATGTTACAATGGAAAAGCAACATTAAAGTATAAACAAATAAAGCAAGTTATGAGCAACATTCAGTTAAAGCACAAAACACATTCCCCATTCCCCACAGCTCTGACACACTGGCAGAATAACAAGAGAAGTATGGAGCCTACTAGTATATTAAAGGCCAAAAAAACAAATAAATAAAAATAGGATAGCTTAAATCTGAACTAGAGAGACATACCTAATGCTGCTATAAGAATGGCTGAAATTTTAATTTCTAATTTTCTTGATAGATTTTAGGCCAAAAGGAAGTTAGCTAGGTTTCCCCCTTGAGAATATTGATCTTCCAAGACTTTATCAATTTTAAGAACATAGAAACAAAAGTGGGTTTTTCTCATTCTGCCCTAGAAGTTCTTTCCCAGTATGCATAAAACGCAGAAAACACCAGTTTTTCACCTTCCTTGGGACTAATTCAATACTACAACTCAAAATATTATTATTCCAAAAAGAAAAAGAAGAAAGAATTAATGAGTTAAAGGGGGAAGGCAACATGCAAAAGTTGGAGCTGTTTCATAGCACACATAACATAAATGACACCGATGACAGTTAATGCCCAGCATCACCTTTCTCCTCCAATATCACCCATACCTTTGCGGCAAAAAAAAATAAAAAATAAAATGGGGCGGGACTTAAGATTGCTTGGAAAAAGGACCCTGTTGAAAGAAAAACACTGTTCGCTATGAAGCTCCCTCGTTTCCCTCTATAACCGGACTGCAGGGATGGGAAGGGGAAGGTGGCCCACCCCATATACCGTGGCGCTGCTGATGGGGATCGTGGCGACCAGGGGAGGCCTTGGCCCCCCGCGGGGACCTGCCACTTCCGCCGAACATCCTCGGCATCACCACGAAAACGCAGAGCACCAGCAAGACGGAGATGAACACCTGCTGCACCGACGACAGCACCATGGCGGCAGCGGGGAAAGGAACAGCAAGAACGGCAGCAGCGGAGGAAACGGCCAAAAGGAGAAACGGAGCGCGGCAAACAGCCCTGGGCCAGCCGGGATCGTCGAGCGGCTCGTGTCGGGTCCGTCCACCGGCAAGACGCCTGGGGAGAGCGAGAGTCAGCAGCGCAGGAGCGAGGGAAGTTGGGCGAGGAAACCATTAACGTGGGAAGGGCGACTTCCGGCCCCGCGACGCCTCGGCTTTTCCTTTCTTGCGCCCCCTGTCGGGCTCCAGGCGACACGGGAAACCGAAGCGCCTTTTGCCTTCGTGACGCTCTTCATAGGAAATTAGAGAGCGACGTTAGCTAGTTCAGCTCGGGAGAGACCCATTGACGCGAATGGGCCTAATCGGCTCTCTGAGGAAAACTTAGCGGAGGGAAAACCCGCGCGGCTTCTGCCGGTTGCCTATATAGAAACGGAGCCCGAAGTGGCCGGAGCCTTCCTCCGCCTCCTGAGGGCGGGAACACATCATCCCGAGGCGGCTTGGGGGGCGGGGCCAGGAGGCGGAGACCGTTAGAGCAACGGTCGCTGCGTTCTCCCGCGCGTTCCTGTCAGGGCGCGGCGGCCATGAGGCGGTTGTGGCCGTGGCTCGTCTTGGGGCTGGTCGTCCCCGAGGAGGAGCCCGACAAGCAGAACTTCCAAGCCTACCCCCAGATTACTAACCAGAACTTTATCCGTCAGTACGTGGACGCCCACAACAACTTCCGCACCAAAGTCCAGCCCACCGCTTCCAACATGCTGTACATGGTGTGTCCTCGGCGCGGGGTAGAAGGAGGAAAGGGAGCCGAGGGCGTAGCCGGGGTGTGCGTGTGCAGGTAGCGGGCAGTGCCGGATCTACCTATAAGCGAAACAAGCTACATATAGTAGCAAGCATAGGCAAACTCGGCCCTCTGGATGTTCTGGTACTACAACTCCCATCATCCCTAGCTAACAGGAGCAGTGGCCAGGGATGATGGGAGTTGTAGTCCGAAAACATCTGGAGGGCCAAGTTTGCCTATGCCTGAGCTATAGCTTAGGGCCCTGCTCTCTTGGGGGCCCCAAAAAAAATTAAAGGGGGAAAAACATTTCCAAAATATATGATAAAAAACTAAATAAAACCTACATACAGCAACAGTGTTTTGTGTTGTGTAGGCTCCTATGATGTAAGTAATGCACCTGCTAGCCTGCTCCCTAAAACATCACTGCTTTTAGAAACTTATTAGGTCCATAAATTACCATATAGCATCAAAAAAACAGTGACAATTTGTTGTTGACAAAGGACAGCTGGACATATAAACGGCCCCATTACCTTCAGTAGCTGAGGGCCTCATCACACCTAAATCCGGCCCTGGGGAAATGTGAATACTTCACTCCAACCAATTGTGTCGCAAATAGCTCGGTTCTGTTCCCCACCACCACCCAAAAAAATAAAGCCTGCCCCTCCCAAAAAATAATTCCTGGCTACACCCATGAAGGGAGCTGAGACAATTTGCGGTGGCGCTGGAGAGGCGAATCCCTCCCCCTGGCTTCTCCTTGGGCCCTAAAAGGGAGAAACTCCCACTGTCATCCACTACATCTTAAGGACAGTCAATGAACATTGGATGTTTTTGAGAAGCAAACCATGGCTGCCCTACAAGAGGGGTAGTGGGGGTGCCTGCCTCAGGCAGCCAGTGTTGGCTGTATCGAGGGCGGTGAGAGAGTAGCAGAGATGGGTAGAACACAGAAGTGAATAATATCACTGTACTCAAACCTTGGTTTCAACTGCTAATTTCCCACCTGGGCAGGGTCATTGTTTAAAACTGCCATTTTCCTTTGTGCACCTCCATCCCTGCTTTATTCAAACCTCTGTTGTTTTTCAAACTATTTTCCTCTCAGTTCTCTTCATCTCCACTTCACTTTAACTTCTGCTATTTTAAACCACCAGTTTTCCCTTGCCAGGTCATTCATTGGTGATGTGCTCCACCTACCTTACTTTGATTCCAGGATTGTGCTAAGGCACTACAAATCCACCAATGAGGGCTGTGCCATATGTCTTTTTTTTATGTGTAAAGGAAGACATTGTTTGAGAGCTGGGTGGAAAAGGTATTGAAAGTGAAATATACTCGGAGTCGAGTGTGAATTTTATGCTCTTTATTCAGCTCGTAGTAGCAATGAATGAAATTTTCCCCAAAACGTCTAGCTATATATACATTATTTTCACAATGGGCCCCATGTGATTGGCTAATTCCGGGCTGCTCCTGTAGGCCAATCAGGTTGCAGATTCACTTCTTCAAGAAGCCTGATTGGCTGCTTCTGCAGGCCAATCAGGTTGCAGATTCACTTCCACCTGGAGCTGGATTGGGTGGCTCCTGCAGACCAATCAGACTGCTACATTCTGGATCCTATTGTTCTAGGATTCAGCTCAGTACATAACAGAAAGAAAGACTTGTAATCTGAATTTTGACTGAACTGAAAATGTGACATCATTACATTTACTAGAGCTGTATAACAAAAATAATTATTAGCTGTGTGTGATACTTTTGTATTTTGCAGACATTTGATCTCGCCTTAGCTAAAATAGCCAGAGAATGGGGAAAGAAATGCATATTTGAATATAACCCAGTTAAGAATATTCACCCTGAATATGCATTTAGGCCGTTTGGAGAAAATATGTACAGGACACCTGCCAGAAGTAAACCATTTGATCCTGCTATTCCTATTTCAGTATTTCATGATGAAGTAATATACTACAACTATAGCAGCAACACATGTGAAATGATATGTAGACATTATCTTCAGGTAAGTTGTATTTTTCACTGGTCAGATTGTCAACCATTTTTGTATCTTCAGAAACAGAAGCACCTTAAGGTTAGGCATTTTCCTGGCACATGCAAATAATGAATACAGCTCTTAATCAGACACCAAAGATTTAACAGTTATCACCCCCAAATTAACAGAAATAGTATTCCATTTACATGTCAACCAGGATGATTGAATACTAACATAAAACATAAAGGTACCTTTAGCCAAATGACAATAAAGAGAGGAGGAGTCTGAAGAAAAACTGAATATTACATAACGTAGTTTATATTATATAATCTACTTTTTTCCAGGTTGTTTGGGCTAATACTTATAAAGTTGGCTGTGCTGTTATCCTCTGTCGTCAATCAAAAGATGGAAGGAGGAATAGTGCGACATTTGTTTGCAATTATGGTCCATCGTAAGTTAACGAATGTTAAAGAGATCCAAACTTGTGTTTACACAAAGTGTTCTAACTTGCAGAATTGCATGAGTATTCACAGTTGAATTAAGGAGCAATCTTAACTGCTCTTTACAGAGCTACAGAGCCATTGGTGCACCTGCAGTTCTGCCATGCACAATGACTGGGACAGAAAGTACAGGACAGGCATATCACTGTGCCAGCCTCTGCCAGCGTGTAGGTGGCAGCTCAGTCCCTCCCCACCCATTTAAAACTGCTATCAGTGGGAACCCCATAGGCATCACCCCACTGGCAGCAACTAGAAGGAAGCTGACAGGCCTGTAGGGCTGGGCAAAGGTACACCCTTGCCTAATCCAAACCTCCCTAGCCTGGTGTAAAGGAGGTTGTATTGCTTTCGTACTGTATGTATGTATTGCGACTTTTACTGTTGATTGCAAAGCAAACAGAATACTCAACTGCTGTTTCCCAGCCATTTCTATGATTAATAATTATTTCTGTTATCCAAATGGTTAGACATACAAAATGTGATTAAAAAGACATTCACAATTTTAGTTCTGTTACAACTGTAGTTTAAAATTTTATTCTATTGTAAGTACCGTACTCTTCCATGTATAAGATGAGGTTTTTTTTACTCTAAAATTATGTTCAAAAACATGCCTCGTCTTATACAAGGATAGTGAATGGGGAGGACGGGTGACTGACTGACTGCAGCTGCACGCAGGAGCTTGTCAGCGACGTTTGTTGGCTGCTAGAAGGGCTGCTTTGGATTGGCTGCTGCTTCTCTAATTGGGTTGGTGATTGGCTTCTGCAGCAAACACTGCTGTTGATTGGCTGTCGCTGCCATGATTGGTGGCTGCTGTTCTGGGACACACGTGATTGCCAGTGGACAGCTTTTCTCAGTCGGGTAAGAAATTTTTTGCTGGGGAAGGGTCTGTTTGCAATTGGCTGTCACTCAACAACTCTGAGCCATCTCCCCCCCCCTTTTCTTAAATTTGAGTCCCCAAAAATAGGGGGCGTCTTATAGATGGGGGAGTCTTATAGACGGAAAAGTAGTGTGTTGTCTCCTTAGCAGGGAGGAGCCATCGGTCATAAAATGCATCCTTCTATGAAGAAGCTTCTTGGTTCAGTCCTCAGTATCTCCGCTTAAATAATCATGTACCAGGTGCTGGCGAAATACCTGACATTCCAGGAGAATCACCAAATCAGCTTCATGCACCCAAGAAGTGGGCTCTGGTCCATGAAAACTTAGATTAAAATATTTTTTTTACAATGGCACTTTTTGTAGTTTTGACTACTACAGGAGACCATTTTTTGTGTTTTTAACAGTATTGCAAGTCACTTGGAGACCTTTAGGTAACAAGCGACTAAAGTTAATAAATAATAATACCACAGATACCCTTTTGCAACTTTACTACACAAACCTTGTAGGTCACCAATCCAACCCCCTACATGAGGGCTGCACTCGCTCACAGGTGAACTTCTAGGGCATTATACCTACAGTGAGTGGGGCCAGAGGCAAAAGAGGGCATGGCAGTAGATGAAACATTTACCTTTGCACAGTAGGCCATGTTCCAGTGACCAAGAGAGACCCAAGCAAATAGATCAGTGTTGCAGAGCCAATACTGGTGACACTGGCACTTTGACAGGGCAGCAGCAAGATTTTGGTTAAATGGGTGCACCAGCAAAAACACCGGATTTACTCCACTGCTGTTCCCTCACAACCCAATCTTGCCTTTGCTTCATCCTCTTAAGCGGCAGTGATGTCAGTACTGTATCAGAAGGGTAGGTCTGCAGCACCATACTGGTCTCTCCTGCCAGCCATGAAAAGCCAGAGGTCTCTATAACCTGTTCATATCCACATTTCTTAGTCTTTCGGCCAGTGCAAAGCTGGAAGGGAGTGTGGCCCAGGCAGAATTGTAAAGCCAGGAAAGGATTAGAGGGATGCATTCAGCACCCAGGACTGAGGTTGTCCACTCTTCACAATTTGTTAGCATCTGTAACTTTTATTATATTTATCATAGCCTTCATTTTAATTTTCAGTAACTTTGTGTACTTAATTTGTTATTACTTTAATAAACTTTTGTTCTTCAGGATGGAAGTTGGAATTCAACCATATAAACCAGGAAGGCCATGTAGTAACTGCCCAGGAGACAGGTGTCAAAATAGACTCTGTAGTAAGTATAGTGAATGATGCAAATGTTCATGAAAAAGATTATTTAAACCATCAAATATGTTGGTTTTTGAGTTCCATTTGTATCACCTCTAGTAGGACATTCTAATGTGCTTAAGGCATGGAACGCAGGAAAGGCGAGTAGTGTTCTGGTATTCACCTCTTTGCTTTGTCCCATGTCAGTCAATCCTTTGGGAAAAGGGGAATAATTGTGCTTTGGTGCACTGTTGCAGTAGAGAGACAACAGTTGCTTCCTTCCTTAATCTAGGTGACCTAGGTTCTTTTGAGAGGGATCTCATAGGAGGTCAGTGTCTCTGGGTGCTATAGAGTACAAAGCTGCATTTTCAGTCATTCCTGAAGTGGTCCTTAAAATATTGTTGTCAATACTAGTACTGAGCTAGTGTAGAGAAACAAAAGGGAACATTCCATTATACTTATTAGTAGTTCTGTTCATGATTCAAGAAATCACATTCAGATATTTTACTAATTAATTGGTGTTCAGGTTTAAAGCTTTACACATGACTATATCTTATAAAAGTATATGATTGCAAGGATACATAGAGTGCCTTTTGATTAGAGCAAAAGATAAGTGAGAAAACACAGTGCTCCCTGTTGCTAGCTCATCAAAAATTATTACGTATCTGTTGGTTACTGCATACACAAATTATTGTCTGTTATTACCTGTACTTTGCCCATGTCTCTGTGGTTTTGAAAGGTGTCTAATGATTGTGGTGGTAGCCACCACTGTGTACCTCTGGACAAGGTATTACTGAAAACCAAATAAAATACAGTGGTACCTCGAGATGCGAACGGGATCCGTTCCGGAGCCCCGTTCGCATCCCGAATGGAACGCAAGATGCAACGGCGTGCATGCACGGGTCACATTTTGCCGCTACCGCACGTGCGTGTGACGTCATTTTGAGCGTCTGCGCATGCGCGAGCAGTGAAACCCGGAAGTAACGCACTCCGTTACTTCCTGGTTATCGTGGAGCTCAACTCGAAGGGGCTCAACCAGAAGCACATTTAACTCGAGGTATGACTGTACCTTCTTCCTTTCAGCTTCCAGATTATAGAAAAAAGGTTATAGGCAGGACAGCAGGTAGACTACAGTCTGAGCCTTCAAGTCATCAGTATTGGCGGGCAGTGGTGGTGGCAGAATTTCACTGTAATTTTGTTATTAAAATTGGTTACTCACCTTACTCTTAACGTAAAACCTAATAGACTTGGGGTAAGGAGGGGGGCTTTCAACTTACCAGGTATTTATCAAATAAATCACTGTACATTTTGGATGCTGAAATTTAATGGAAATGCTTTCACGTTTCCTGTCATATGGCTGAAAATAAAAACTCATAGCAAAATGCTAACATTTTTAAAGCCTTTTTTCACTTGTTACAACTATTTCCCTTTTGCAGGAAATTCTGCACGCGAAAAAGTAAACAACCGTATGTATTACATTTGTTTTATACTTTAATTTACTTAAAGAACAAAATTCAAATTCAGTGAAACTTTTTTATTTTTTAAAAAATAGGCTATTCACGATGGCATCCAACCTCTAAATTCAAGTTTATATGTGATGACTTCTGCATCGCTGTTGCAGTTTTAAGGCCATTATTAATGTTTGTAGCATTTGTAGCTGTTTACATCTTAAAACTCCATTATCCAGGTTTAGTTTTTAATACTAGGGTAGGTTACTGAGCATATTTACATGAATGATAAAGATTATATTCCTGCATTTTATATTAAAGTAGATTTGCTTTGCTGCATTGTTTCACATGTTATTTTGTGTTTTCTCAAACTGTATAAATTTACCTGTTACATATTAATGTAATATTAAATATTTTTAAACTGGAAAGATCAATTTAAAATAAAATATATGGTTATCTTGAATATTTAGTACAAATAAAAATTAAGTGTATTAAATTGGTTGGCAGTGTGCCTTTGGGGGTGAGGTCAAGCTGTTGGAAGGTTGCATCACCTGCTGTGGCTGTAAAGACATATGTGGGAAAGACCAATTTTGTTGCAGCTGGGGCAAATTAAGGTGTTCAGTTGTGCTGCTGCAGATGCACATACATTTCTCCACTCACTCTTACCTCCAGTTCTATTCAATATGTATTACACTATATGAGGGAGTATTCTGTGGTGGCTTCCCATCTTTGGAAGGTTGTCCCCAAGGAAGCCTGCCTGGAAATTGCATTTAATACCATTTCAGCAACAGGGAAAATATTTGTTTTCCCAGGCTTTCAAAAACTGCTAGTATAAACATTTTAACTTAAAAGAGTTTGATTTTACTGTCTATTTGAATGGGCTGTGGCCGCTTTAGTTGTTTTAACTTTATTATTATCAGTTGTTAAATTGAAGGGTTTTTAAAAATAGTTTAGTACTGTTAGCCGCCCTGGGGCCATGAATTTATGTTGAAAGAGCAGGATATAAATTATGTAAAAAAATTATTCTGTATATAATATCCATAACAAGATGTAAACTCCTTCCACTTAGATCTCCTTATAACAGCACAATTTTGGATGTATATTAAGGTAGATCAAAAATGCTTTCTCTCTTTTAGCAATGTCTCTTTTCAGAGTCTAGTTTTAAACTTTTAATTTATTTGAATGTGTTTCTCTTGGGGAGGAGTGGAGAGAGAGTGGAGCACTGGCTACCTTCTAGTCCAGGGTTTCTCAAACTTGGGTCCCCAGCTGTTGTTGGACTACAACTCCCATCATCCTTCCCTACCAGGACCTGTGCTCAGGGATAATGGAAGTTGTACATGTTGCACATGTTGACTGAACAACAAATGCTCCCCACACCAAGAGCATGAGTATTAAAGCAAAGGATTTACTATTCCACTGCGCTGAGTCTTCAAGTTCAACTCCTCCATTGCAATCCTTTTTTGGATGCTTTGGCAGGTTTTGCTGTCCGAATTCTCTGAATTCATCTGCGACTGCAGCATTCTGTCATAGCCACCTGAAAAACACTTTTAAAAAATATATATTAAGACCTGATAAGAGTCCAGCTGATGAAGACCAGCACTGAAAGCATGACTTAGGCTCAAGTAGCTTTTGAATGGAATTGCTTGGGATTCGCCAGTAAAGAGTACCCACTTCCCCCGCAGCATTTCAGCTGAACCACAGTTCAGATGGATTTAACACAACCACAGTAGCCAATTCGCATATGTATGGACTGAAATGGCGGGGGAGACAGAGAGGAGAGATAGAAAAGGACCCGCAAATGTCCCCTTTAAAAAGAGAGGAGAGCGGGAAGAGGCCCAGTGCACAAACCGGGAAAGAGAATCGTTCCGGAAATGGAGGTAGAGCCTCGAGACTGGCTGGTGCTGTTTAAAGCAGCAAGAGGTTTCTGAGCTCCGCACTTAACATCTCGGTGCGAGTCTCGTCCGTGCAGGTGGAGCTCTGCAGCCGGTGGGGTCACAACCAAGCAAAGGAACGGCGGAAGCGTTCTAAGTGGAGGGCGGGGGTTCGGCACGGGGGCCGGAGGTAGTAGCGCCGCCTGAGGCCGTTAGGGAGCAACGGTCTCTCCGCGCGCGTCCCTAACTCCTCGCCGCAGCCATGAGGCGCTTCTGGCCGTGCGCCGTCGTGTTGGGGCTGCTCGCCGTCGAGGGCGTGCGCGGCGCGCAGAAATTCGCCACCTATCCCCAAATCACCAACAAGACCTTCATCGACGAGTATATCAACGCGCACAACAAGCACCGCAGCGAAGTCCAGCCCCCCGCTTCCAACATGCTGTACATGGTGGGTGTCCCGGGCGCGGGGTGGGAGGAGGAAAGGAGAGCCCTCGCTTCCAGCTGCGCGCTTAGGAGAAGGAACTTCCCACTGAACCCGCCGCCACCTTTTCTTCCGGAGGGCTCCTTGCCTCCGCTTTAAAAAGGCAGATCCTTCAGGTCACGCCTTTGGGCATTGTAAGATGATGGTCTCAGGCAGAACAACAACAAAAAAGTTCCTTTCAGTAGCACCTTAAAAGGTAAAGGGACCCCTGACCATTAGGTCCAGTCCTGGCCGACTCTGGGGTTGCGGCGCTCATCTCGCTTTATTGGCCAAGGGAGCCGGTGTACAGCTTCTGGGTCATGTGGCCAGCATGACTAAGCCGCTTCTGGCGAACCAGAGCAGCGCATGGAAACGCCGTTTACTTTCCCGCCGGAGTGGTACCTATTTATCTGCTTGCACTTTGATGTGCTTTCAAACTGCTAGGTTGGCAGGAGCAGGGACCGAGCAACGGGAGCTCACCCCGTTGCGGGGATTCGAACCACCGACCTTGTGATCGGCAAGTGCTAGGCTCTGTGGTTTAACCCACAGCGCCACCCGCCAGCTAAGTTTGTTTTTACTATGAGCTTTCGTGTGCATGCACACCTCTCCAGTAACTAAGTCTCAGGCAGCTAATTGTGGTGGTTATATCTGGGAAGAGATGGAGATTTTCTGCCTCAGATTGCGAAGTAACCGCAGCAGCTCGAGGCTGAAAATAGTCACTGGTGATTTTCTTTTATTTTGGCGTTAACGCCCTTTGACCCGCCTCTGAAAGCTGTATGCGTAATTCACATGGTAGAATGAGAATAGATAGCTGGTTCTTTAAAAGCCCGGCAGGAATTATACTTACTGGTGCCAGTGAGTAATATTTAAGTAAAGGATCTACCAGTGTGAGAGACAAGATCATAAAGGGAAGGCAAAGTGACTAACATTAAAACCAATTAAGCACATTCAATAAAACCATCTAAAAACATAACTAAACAATTAAAAGGGGGCAGAACTTGTTTGTTTTAGTGAGACTGAAGACGTGTTATCCATTAGAAGTGGGAAATGTTATTAAAAGCTGTGTGCGTGATACTTTTCTGTTTTGCAGAGTTTTGATCTAGGTTTAGCTAAAATAGCGAGAGCATGGGGACGGAAATGTATTTTTGGACATAATCCAAACAGAAAAGTCCACCCTGAAACTAAATATCAGCCATTTGGAGAAAATGTATGGCGGGGATCTGCCTCCAGCCAACCATTTAATGCTGCTGCTGCCATTAATGCATTTAACAGTGAAGTAAGATACTATACCTATGATGACCACAAATGTTCCAAAGTATGTGGTCATTATACTCAGGTAAGTTTCATCCTCATCTACTTAGAAAATTTTAATCAAAACCTAAAGAACTTGAATAATTTGAGACTCTGAGTGCTTCCAGACTGTCATATTTTGATGTGATTCAGTCACATCCTGGCAAATTCAAGCTGTGCAATTAAAGTTAATTTGGAGCTCTTGCAAAACAAACCTGCTTCTCCAAAAAACAGGACTTTTTACAATCAGAAAAGTGATGGGGAAATGACCTGGAAAGTGAGGCATAAAATTTGCTTCACACCATGCTGTCTAATAATCTCTCCACAAATAAATCAGGATGAATGCTAATTAAATAGCCAACACTATCAAATCTTCAAACAAACCAGGTTGAATATTCATTAAACAGGCCGTCTGGAAGTGACCTCTGTAATCATACTTTGTGAAATAATCATATTCCTACCATCACAATAGAAACTGCTTACTTATAAAATGCATTGAATGCTTGAAATTAATTAATTGACAACTTTCGGAAAAGGTCCCCACTTCAGTTTCAGTTCTGTAGGGTTTTTTGAATTGCTAGAAGTTCTGATATCTATAGAAACTCTGAGCTACTAGCAATGGGCCAGCACTAAACGTTGCAGGGCTTATGCATGGCAACAAAGTTCTTAAAGGCAAATTGTCTTAAGACAGCCCTTCTTTTAATGTCCTGTTCTGCTCTTTGCAGGTGTGTAGTTTACCCATACAAAAAGCAACAAAGGTATAATTTACAAAGAAATGACCCCCTTGGTCATGACACAAGGCAGACAAACAACTCCAAAATAAATATTAAACGTATGTTTGTAGTACTTTTGTATGCCTTGTTTGTTAAAGTTGCACAAAGCAGTATGATAATACTGATTAACAACTGTAACAGCCCAAATTCAGTAGAAATAATTGCTAAGCTGTCAGCACAAATTACTGACAACTAGGCCTGGAAACCCAAAGGTGTTTTATTCAATAGCCATGCTATTATACTAAAACAAAACATTAAAAGTTAGTGTGTGGATCTGTTGAAGTTTGGTAGGCCATGATATTTCCTAACAAATGTTTCTTTGTAACACAACATACTGAGTTTGTAGTATCCTTCTCTATCAATTGAATCAAATCAATAATCATTAAATATTTAATTGGGGGTAGTGTTCTGTTGCTTTATATTGAACAACCATTGTTTTATCCTCACAGATATTTTGGTTATGTATTTCCCTGGCACAGGCAATGATCAACACAGTTGCTCACCTTGAGCAATGAATGAGCAATGAATACTTAATTTTAGATATTATACTGTATTTCCATTGCTCAAGATGAGCAGAAATCATACGCCATTTTACATATATATTTTAAGAACATAAGACAAACACCCGTGGCCCATCTAGTTAAGCATTTTCACAGTGACCAACCAGATTAGGGTACTTGAATATAAGCTTTGAATTCTTATATAATATAAAGATGCCTGTAGCCAAATGCCAAGTGAGGGCAGGAATGTGGAGAGAAGCTGATTGTTAGAAATGATAACTATTAACACAACTTGTACCTTTATCTTATATAATAAAACATATCCTTTCCAGGTTGTTTGGGCTGATTCTTACAAGGTTGGCTGTGCTATTGTTTACTGCTCTCGAGCGGCAGATGGAGAGAGAAATGTTTTGCATTTCGTGTGCAATTATGCTCCAGCGTAAGTTAACAAATGCTAAAGAGATTGTGTTGACACTTAACAGTCTAAAATTCATGTGATGGGCAGCTACAGGTGATTTGTAGGAAATCAGGCCTGTTAGGTGGAGGTTCCCCTCCGCTGCCATCACAGGACAGTACATATGACATCAAACGTCTTTATAAGCTTTTTTTTGGACAACTTTTCACCAGGGGTTTCAAATCTTCTCCAAACAACAAATGGGGCCTGCAGGTGAAAAGAAGGCAGGAGTAGCACTGCTACCACACATAGCAGGTTGGGACATAAAATTCAGCAGGCGTCATTGTGCGGGACATCAGCTAGATTGTGCTGACAGCCCTCTGAAGTCAGAGCCTTCCAGCATTAGCATATATGTGTCTTTATACATGGTGTCTCTCTCCAAATGTCTTTGGCATCTGCATTTTGCCCTAATGTGCTTTGTCCTCTGAATTGCTGTCATGTTCCCCTGTACTTCCCCTGTACAATTCCTAGCTCCAGTCCATTCCCATTTGGACGTTCATAAAGTTTTTCATCATTCCTGGGAGGTGAGCTGTCCTGAACTGGATATTCCTTATAAAAACTGGTTAGTCAGCCTTTTGATTTTAAATGCCAACTGCCTGCTTCCATTCTGGTTAGAGTGGTCCCTTTTTAAGCATGTCTGGCTTGTCCTGAAACATTAACAAATCCACCATTGTTTACAGATGTATGTCTTGCTTTTATTTATTGCTACTGTTGATTTTTATAACACAAAAGTACAATTTTGAGACATGTCTGTTTGTCAGGACATTGACAGCATCAAACACAAGTCATTTGTATCTGATCAAATGAAAGAATCGATCCCTTACATCTGTTTCCTTAAGATTATTTCAGAAAGCTTTAACCTTTGTTCAAGCGCAGGTGTTTCTATAGCTAGCTGACCCTTGCAAGAGTGTTCAAGTGAATAGTGTGAATGGTGATAAGGTAACTTACAGTAAATAACTTCACAATGTATACCGTACCACTCATTTGAGCAGTTACCAGGGTGACTTGGACCACTTCAGTATTCTCTGTATGAGATCCAGATAGTAGTGACCAAAAGCAATGGTGTGTATGAACTAGGCATAATACCTAAATATATTTGGCAGCTCTATTCTGTGTAAGTCACATTCCTTCACATTCAAAGACTTGTCACCTCTTTCAGCTCAACATACTCCACTGTGATATTTGGTCTTGTGTGTTGATGCCTTTATAGCTAGGACTGCATTCCCTCTCAGACAATTTTACGGGAACTGTATGACAGTGACGGTTAGGGCCAGAGACAAAAATAGGAAGAATAATGGATGTGACTTTTACCTTTGTACAGTAGGCTTCCATCCAGACAAAAGCCAGACAAACACCCGTCACCATCACCATAAGTAAGAGGCATGATCACAGTTCAAGGATTCATTACAGCCAGAAAAATCATTCAAGAGTGCAGAGTAGGCCCTTGGAAAATTTCAAGGACCAGATGGAGAGGCCTGGAAGGCTGCATTTGACCCCCAGACCTAGACAACTTATTCGTTACATCTAAAATCTTTAATTATATGACCAGTAGCTTGCATTTTAATTTTCAATTTAGCTTTGTGTACTGAATACATAATGTTACATAATATTTTGTTCTTTAGGGGCAATTACCGGGGCATTCGTCCTTATAAAAAAGGATCTTCATGTAGCGAGTGCCCAGAAGGAGACACTTGTCAAAATCAACTCTGTAGTAAGTGTGATGATAAACTATCATATTTTTAAAAAACGTATTTATTTAGATAATTTCTATATTGCTTAACACATCTGGGGGGGGGGAATAAGTGACTTGCAGCGTACCTTTAAAAACTACAAATACAGTATAGTGGTACCTCGGGTTAAGTACTTAATTCGTTCTGGAGGTCTGTTCTTAACCTGAAACACCACTTTAGCTAATGGGGCCTCCTGCTGCTGCTGCGTCACCACTGCACGATTTCTGTTCTCATCCTGAAGCGAAGTTCTTAACCTGAGGTACTATTTCTGGGTTAGCGGAGTCTGTAACCTGAAGTGTATGTAACCTGAAGCGTATGTAACCCGAGGAAATACTCTTCCATTATATAACAGAAAATAAAATAAACCCAAGGTAAAATAGTAACATTTTTAAAGCTTTCTTTTGCTTGTTATATGTATTTTCTCTATTTTCCAGGAAATTCTGAACGTGATAAAGAAAGGAGTGAGAGTATGTATTCCTTTTTTATTTTGTTGTTTAAATTTAGAGCAAAATTCACATTCAGTAAAAATTACCTTCTTTTTTTAAAATATAGATTATAAACAATGGAATCCACCGTATGATTTCCACATTACCTGTGATGAATCCTGTATTGCTGTTGCAGTTTTAAGGCCATTATTAATGTTTGTAGCATTTGCAGTTGTTTACTACTTAAAATTACGTTATCCAGGTTTAAATTTAAAACATTAATCTCCAATATGCACATAAAACACACAACCATTTTCTTTGAGTATCTTAGCTAACAGAGCACATTAACACAAATGCTAATAATATTTTCTTGTGTTTTATATTGTAAAACTAAATTTGGCTTGTTTTATTGCTTCATATCATATTTTGTTTTTTTTCAAAATTGTAAAAAGTTCTGTTTCATATTGATACATTGTGAACATTTTTAAATCTGTAAGATATTAATATAATATAAAATATATGGTCATATCTTGTATGTTAAATACCATGTAAAAAATAAAGATCAAGCATATTAAAATAAGCTTAATTATTTGACATGATTAAGCTATACACGAGTCCTTTTTTCTTCTTCCAAAATCACGAACCGACAATTTTTAGTGTTCTACTTTAGTTTTATACATGCTTTTATAAATTTAATATGATTTTTTAAAAATGCTGTGGAATAGAAGCTTGAGACAGTTATTATTGCTAAGTAGCTGAGTCCTGTGATTGTTAGCTAGCCAGGTTTTGTTTCTGCTAAAATAAGTTAATGATAAAATTACACAATGGAATGGGTGCGCACTAAGATAAAGTTTGTTTGATTCTTAAGCTATTAATGCTTTTTAAGAAAGGTATTTATTGAAGAGATTTATACAAAAAAGAAAAATTAAGTTGTTCTAACAACAAAATATGAAACTTTTACAAACTTTTGCAATAAGGCTTACATGGTTCCATGGATCTCCTTGACTTTAGTACAGTGGTGCCCCGCAAGACGAATGCCTCGCAAGACGGAAAACCCGCTAGACGAAAGGGTTTTCCGTTTTCAATGCGCTTCGCAGGACGAATTTCCCTATGGGCTTGCTTCGCAAGACGAAAATGTCTTGCAAGTCTTGAGATTTTTTTTCGCTCCCCCCCCCCCTTTTTCTAAGCCGCTAAGCCTTTAATAGCCTTTTAGCAGCTAATCCGCTAAGCCAATAAGCCTTTAATAGCCGCTAAACCGCTAATAGCGCTAATCCGTTAAGCCGCTAATAGGGTTGCTTCGCAAGACGAAAAAACCGCTAGGCGAAGACACTCGCGGAACGGATTAATTTCGTCTTGCGAGGCACCACTGTATTATGATTCTGCATCCAGATTGCTGGCTGTCTTAGGTTAAGGTTACCAGACGTCCCCAGATTTACAAATCTGTCCTGGACAGATTCCGTCCCCGGAATGTCCCCAGATTTGCAAATCTGTCCCCGGGAAACGTGGCAGCCTCAGCAGCCTGGAGCCAATCTGGTAGCTCAGTTGGCTCTGGCTGGCTTCAGGAGCTGCTCGCTGCCGCCGCCACTGCCAAAGGTGAACCGGGGACGTCTGTTGGTACAGATCTCCTGCCCCCTTCCCCCTTTGTTTTGACAGATCGGGGGAGGCTCAGGAGTCGCGGGCAGACCGCCGTTTTCCAGGAGGGGCTAAAGGCGCATGGTTTCTCTGCCAGGCAAGGTGCAAAGGCCTTCTTTTGCACCCTACAAAACATAAGTGCTCAGTTTTTTAAAAACTGGGCAACAGCTGCCTGCCCGCAACTCCTGCACCTCCCCTGATCTGTCAAAACAAAGGGGGAAGGGGGCAGGAGATCAGGGAAGGCTTGGGAGTCATGGGCAGGCGGCATGCCATTGCCCCACTACTGATTCCCTGTTGCTACTCAGCTTTAAAAAAAAAAAAAAAAGTGTCCCCAGATTCATTGAGAGAAATCTGGTAACCTAACCATATCTTAGGTTATAATTCTTAAATTCTTTTTATGAGAAGAGCAATCCTTTTTAGGTCAGTGGAACTGAGTATATAGTAGTTTCAGGACTGCAGGTATCTTTTGAAAGAGCTATACAAAATCAGGCATGTATAAAAAGTGAAGTGAAAGCATGAAAGATCTTTGAACTGTTCCGTGTTGTCCTTCCTCTTTAAAAATATTTTATTATGCATTTCCCTGGTGGAGAAAACAGTTCACCAACAGATACTGAACAAGTGGCTGGATGCTCAGACTCTAGAGACTGAGTAAGCAGCTTTAAAAAGAAGGCTGTGCACATAAATTTGCAGAAAGTTTTCCGCATGGAAATGTGCATGAGGTTCTCTGTGTGATACTGATTACTAGATGTGGTCTTTCCCTCCCATCCAGTAAGATTTTGAAAATCTGGTATAGTTGATCCACCTATGGGAATTTGTCTCTACTGTGTTGATTTTGTTCTTTGAATCAAGGCAGTATGCTATTTATGAAAGCAGTATACAGTCCAGATAGTGCTGCTTTCTATATATCTTGCTTTCCCCAGTAGGCCTTGTCTTAGCATAGTACTTTTAAGAAATAGAATTGGTATAGTTTCCAGTTCGTTATCTTTTCCTCAGCCATTTTTCCTGGACACTTGTGAGGTTGACTGCTGTTTGCTATCTTTTCCGCTGCTTTTTGAGAATCCTTGCATAACCCTCTTTCATTTCTACTTCATACTGCTAGTACTGTAGTTTGTATCTGTTGGGGGTAGCGCATTTTCTGGTACTGTCTTTTGTTCCCACAAAGCAAGCCAGAAGTTGATAATCCAGAGCTATCAAGGAATCACCTATTGCAAAAGAGAATTTTAGATTTGATAAAAAATGTATACTTGAACAGTTTTAAAGTTAATATTTTGATACAGTTATAAAAATTACCTGGCACGTTTGAAATATTTGTAAATAGGCAAGTGCAGTTTGCTGTACCAATTAACCAGATTTTAGAAGTCTGTTTCATCCATCTTGAATTAAAACAATCTACACTTCAATTGCAAATGAGAAAGAGTAAATATGAAAAGCCAAGTTGCTATAGATTTTGTAAAACCATAGGCTTTTGGGTTGGGAGACTATTTTCTGTTATTGGAGAGAAATAGAAACATTTATTATTTCATTTTTTTCAAGCTCATTTTGGTGCACAAAAACACACAAAACCTATTTTTTCAGCTACTTTGCTTCAGCTTTCTGCAAACCAGTTTTAATGTTATAATTTATAAATTATTTAAATCATTGTTTTACTCTTCAGCCAAAAAGACTCCCAGAATGGCTTACATATGTCAATAAGACAGTCCCTGCCCTCAGACTTACAATCTAAAATACATGTCACAAAAGGAATAGATACAGGAAATCAGGAGAAAACAGAAATAGTAAGAAAATTCGGCCTAGAAATAGTAAAAAAAGTCAAATGCTTGGGAATAGAGATTACAATGAAAAATATAAATCTATTTGAGGATAATTACAAAAAAAATGGACTGCAGTAAAAAGTGATATGGAAATTTGGACAAAACTGAAATTAACATAATGGGGCAGAATATCAGTAATAAAAATGAATCTCTTACCAAAATTACTGTTTCTGTTTCAAATGATTCCCATAATAGGCAAAGTAGAAAGCTTCAACAAATGGAAATCGGACTTGACAAAATTTATATGGCAAGGCAGAAAGCCACTTATTAAATACAAATTATTAACAGATAAGAAACAGATAAGAAAGAAAGAGGTAAGTTTGGGCTCCCTGATTTGAGAACTTATTATGAAGCTGCATGTTTGTGCTGGATCCGAGAATGGATTGTAGCCTTATGAGGCTTTGCCCTCGGGTGGGAAAAAGTAATGCACCCGGGAGAGGGAAATGGGAGTCAACAGACACTCAAGAAATAGTTTCGGAGAAAAAGCTTTATTTCTACCATCCGGGCTGGTAGAAGGAGCAAGTGGGATAACTCACAAACAAGCACGAGTTCACAGAGCATATATTCCCCTTCCAGTTCCCTCCCCTTTCTCCTCTTCAAGAGTCCTGCCCCATGAGTTCCCCTGAGCATGAACAGAAAGCTCCTGTCTTGGGACTCTTTTGGAAGAAGAAGAAGAAGAAGAGTTTGGATTTGATATCCCGCCTTTCACTCCCTTTAAGGAGTCTCTTCCTCCCCCACAACAAACACTCTGTGAGGTGAGTGGGGCTGAGAGACTTCAAAGAAGTGTGACAAGCCCAAGATCACCCAGCAGCTGCATGTGGAGGAGCGGAGATGCGAACCCGGTTCCCCAGATTACGAGACTACCACTCTTAACCACCACACCACACTGGACTCTTCCCAGGAAAGGGGGATGAGAAGCCTTGCGTGTCCAAGATATGTTTCTTTTCTCTTGCTCTAGTGGCACAGTCCCTGGAAAGAAAGTTGCAATCTGGTTAGCAAGGCCAACTAGCCTGGGAAACATACATGCAGAGCAAGATAGCAAGATGCTTAGCTAAATGCTTTTTAGCCTTAGAGAAAAAGTGCAATTTGAAAAGTGCTTGAGGCTTTGAGGCCTGGTTGGGGGGGTGTGACTTACACAGGTTTTAGGGTATCCTAACCTGTGCTCTCCTCCTTCATTCCCCCCTCTTAATTTGGATAGCCTTTCCAGGCTCATCCCAAATGGGCCACTATCCTTTCACTGGATGCTTGCTCCAATTTGGGGAGCTGCCTCCTGCAATTGTTGCTAGGTCAGCTGAATGCCTGTTCTTGAGCCGATACGGCTACAGGATCATGCTAGAAAACATTGATGTTTTGGATCTCGAGGGATGGAACAATAGATTCGGCTGGCATGCCTATTTAGCGTACCATAAAGTAGCTGTACATAAAGAATTTTTAAATCATGTTATCAGAAGATCGTTATATAAAGTCTGGGGAAGACATCGGAAATTGTTAGAGCCCAAAACACCATGGTGGATATCACCATTAGAGGTATTATCTGTTAAAAAGAAAAATACATTTTCAGAGATCCTCTCCACTTTGGTATCATTTCATAGCCCAAAGTTGGATTCTGACTCAAATGAAGCCTTCGCTGTCTTGACCTGTCTCCCGGCTTTGGTTTAACAATAATAATAAATAATAGCAGCAGCAGCACTGAGATGTCCAACTGCGCTTTTCCCAACGGTAAGGATTTTATAAAAAAATATAAATGCTCATCGTAGGACCCCGCTTCTCCTCAGACTGCTTGCCAAAGTAACTGGGAACCACGCGGAACGCCTCCCCTAAACAAAGTTAGATGTCGCTGCACCCAAACGGGCATTGCAGGGGGTTGGACTAGATGACTTCTAGGGGTCCCTTCCACTTCCTACTCTACAATTCTACGATTCTATGACCTCATAGCCTCCTTCCTGTGTTTCCCGGACGCTTCCTAGTGGGGCGGCCCCACCTTGCGGCGCTGATGCAAGTCAGCGCGCTCTGGATATGGCAGGGATACATACAGCAACGGACTTAGAACGGGCGGGAGCGAGGGAGGAGGAAGAACCGTGCGCCACGCGCGCGCTAAAAGTGGCGCGAGAACGCAGGAGTGCGCGCGCAAAGTTCTAGCCGTTTAATCATCCAGGCTCCTGACCGTCCCCTGCAGTTTGAGCGGCCCGCCGCGCAAGGAGCAGGAGGCGGCGCCGGCGGAGACTGTTAGAGGGCAGCTATGCTCGCTGCGCGCGCCGCCGCCCGACGCGCGCTTTCCCCCCAAGCAAGCCATGGGTCTGCTGTGGTGGCCGCGGGTGGGGCTGGCGCTCGTCGCCTTGGAGGCCGCGAGCGGGCGCAGCTACCCCAGCATCAGGAACAGGACCTTCATCAACCAGTATCTCGACAGCCACAACAACTACCGCAGCGGGGTCAATCCCCCCGCTTCCAACATGCTGTACATGGTGTGTGTCCGCGGGGTGGAAGGAGGAAAGGGAGCCGAGGGCGGGGAGTGCTTGGGGAGAAGCTGCCCCTGTCATGTGCCCCTGCCTCAGGCAGTCAGTGTTGGCTGCTGTGGGGGTGCTGGGAGAAGGCTTCGCCAAGGGGGGCAAGGGGAAGCTGCCCCTCTAAATCAAGTAAATCAATAAAAATAGTTAACTAGCTGAGGGGCTGGCCCCCATATTATTATTATTATTATTATTATTAGAGCTTAATACACCGCCCTGTACCCGGAGGTCTCAGGGCGGTTCACAGAAAAGATCACAACATATATAATCAGAATAAAAACAACAACCCCACCTCAGAAAAGAGCTATATTTTAAAAGGGTATATGAAACCTGTCTCTCCCCCCCCCCCCATAAATCCTGACTACACCCATGGGAGAAGCCTTTGTGAATGGCTGGGGGGGGGGTTGCCACAGATTACAGAATAACAGACCAGCCTTGGTTTACTACATACCTTGATGCGTTGTTGCCAGCGGCGACGACAATCTTTTCTCTTTTTTAGGGTTTTCTGTCCATTTAGAGTTACACCTCATGTCTTGCTTCTGAACTATATGCATAATTTTTACATAGTCGAATGAGGAAAACTTGTTGGTTCTTAAAAAACCTAGCAGTTATATTTACTGCTGCTAAGTGTGTAATGCTTTATTTAAAATAATGTTTAAGTATAGAAGTACCAGGCTCAGGCCCCGATTCTCTATGAGTCATGGGTCATGGCATACCTTCCTTAAATAAATAAATAAATATTGCCTTCAGGTTCCTGGGCGATGATTACATTTTCCAGGGTTTAATTGATTCCAGAACTCAATCCCTGCATAAATTGAACCCTGACTAATGGCTGTTTTAGGTTGAGCCAAGACTGACTATCACCTGTCCTACATCCAAGTTAGCTTGTTACCCACAGGGCGGTTACCCACAGAAACCAAGAATAATAGGTTGCTTACTTGTAACTGATTAAGTCATCTTGTTAGTGAGTATTTCAAAGAACTGTTTATGTAACAAAAAGAATGACGATCAGAGAAGAAGAAGAAACCCATCCTTTTTATAATTCTTTAATAGGATGCTACGATTTTTACTATAACTGCAACCCTCTCTTTTATTGCACCAAATATGCGTATAGTTCTAGATGCTTTTCTTTGCCTTTCTTTTTATGCTTTTCTTTCAAACTATATATGCTTTTTCTTATTGATATAAGTTATTGATATAACTTTGCATATTTTTCCTTCTGTAAAGAAAGTCCAGACTGTTCATTAAGTGGAATATAAAATTAATTCATTATTTTATTGTTTTAAAATGACCAAAACAAAACAAAACAAGATAGTCTGAATCACTTCCACCTTTGGGAGTATTTGTTTAAATTGTTGATTATCTAAGGCAGCCACTTGTTTTGCATCTCTTGATTGTTTTTACCCAGACCTATTCATTATTAATATAGATTTTTAATTTGAATGACACACTCCAGTTGTAGAGGATCCCATATTTGCAGTTTCTCTAGTAAGAACTGAAAATCATTTTTTCTTGACAGTATTTCAGCATGAACATAAAGACTAAGGTTTCTGTAGTTTCAACAATCAGTTTCCTTTTGGCCACACATTCCACTAAATAACAGCATGAAAGTAATGAAAATGTATTTTAATTCATTCAGTTTCTTTGACATTTTAGTTCCTATACAATTCGCTGTCCCCCCAATCAAGAAAAGCAATAAAATACTTAACTGAGGCTCTGCCCCCCAACATGAAGCCTGTCCCAACACAAATTCTGGCTATACCCATGCCTGTGGGTAGATTCCCTTGAACTCAATGGGGCTTTCTTCTGAGTAGACGTATAGAATTTCATCATTCGACAGCTTGATGCAAGTACGGTAAATATTTCTGAAGAAATACTTGCTAGAACTCAAGATGTATTATCAGCACGTTTACTATACATGTATAATGTTGTGATAATGTCATAATTTTTTATATTTTGCAGACATTTGATCTAGCTTTGGCTAGAATAGCTAGAGCATGGGCACAAAAATGCATTGTTATGCATAATCCAACTGATATGGTCCACCCTGATCCTAAATTTAGGCCTTTTGGAGAAAATATATGGGCTGTAACTGGCTATAAATACCCATTTGATCCTGCTGGCCCTATTGCAGATTTTTATGACGAGGTAAAATACTACACCTACAATACCCACAAATGTACACGTGTTTGTGGTCATTATACTCAGGTAAGTTCTTCTCTTCTCTGCTTACATAGTCCACAGAATTTGAAGCAAAATGCAATAACTTTAATTATTTCAGACAATAAAAGTATGAAGAAAATATTGTAGTTGCTCTGTGATCATAAACTGTGAAGTAATAATCTGCATTCTGTTATTATCAAGGATACTTAGTTATAAAGTATATGGAGTGTTTACAATTAATTTAGAGGCAACTGACAAAACAAACCACTACTTTATTTCAGTTCCAATATTAAGTTAACATGTATTGCTGATGGTTGTAAGATTCGTAAAAACTGAGCTACTAGCACCTGGCCAGCACTAAATGTTACAGGGCATATACATAACAGCAGAGTTCTTACTAAGAAAAGGAAGGGCATTGAGTTTTGTTTGTAGCCCACTTCTGTTTAGTTTCAATTATGTCAGATACAATAAGACTTAAATATGGGACAAAAAGTTGGGATACTTATTGGGGAGAATCTGGTGTTTTTCTATCTTTTTTTGTTATTTGTGGGGGCTGGCATGTCTTTTATTGTGGAAAATTTTAACACACACACATGCATATACAGTGGTACCTTGGTTTACAACCATAATCCATTCCGGAGGTCCGGTTGTAAACCAAAACAGGTTGTAACCCAAGGCTAGCAATTTCGCCAATGGCCCCCCCCCTCCCAATTGGTTGTAATCCAAAAAAAGGGATACGCACTTCCGGGTTTGACGTTGTTGTAATCCAAAACGGTTGTAATCCAAAACGGTTATAATCCAAAATGGTTGCAAACCAAGGTACCACTGTATATAACATGCATCACCTTGGCCCCATGATTGAGGGACCCTAGGGCCCTATTCGATCAATGTGGTGTGTGCGCATGACATCATCATGCCCCGCGGCATGCTAACATATGCCGCAGGGCATGCTGTCGCACACACCACAGTGCATGCTGATGCGTCGTTTGGATGCCCTGCGGCATGTGCCTGCTGCCACTGTCGAAGTTGGGGGGGCACAGCCCCCTGATTTGGAATATATGAATGACTTAAAATACTTGTAGTTCTCAGCAGAATGCTAGCTCTGTCTTCAAAAACTGAATCACCATGAATTTATACATTTTCCTGACAGGAAAAATAATCAGTGAAGCTTGAAATAAGACATCTAAGACAGATCATTCATCAGCCAGGATTAGCAGAAATACTACTCCATTTACATGGTTCAGTGGTAGAGCACTTGCTTTGCATGCAGAAGGTCTCAGGTTCAGTCCCCAGCATCTCCAGGTAGCGCTGGGAGATGCCTTTCTGAAAACTTTAGGAGTACAGAATAGGATACTTGAATAGTAATCTAAGGTATAAATGTGCCTTTAGCTAAATGCCAATAAAAGTGGAGGGAGGGAGAGCAAAATCTGGAGAAAAAAATGAATGTAAGAAATGATACTGTTGAACGAAGCTTGGACTTTATATTGTATAATCAAACATGTTTTTTTCAGGTTGTTTGGGCTAATACTTATAAGATTGGCTGTGCTATTGTTCACTGTCCTGCGTCAACTAATAGCAAAGGAGCCAAGACCAAGAATTTTTCATATTTCGTTTGTACTTATGGTCCACCGTAAGTTAACAAATCTTAAAGCGATCTAAACTTGTGTTACACTTAGTAATCATAAAACACCAAACTGTACAGTGGTGCCTCGCAAGACGAAATTAATCCGTTCCACGAGTCTCTTCGTCTAGCGGTTTTCTCGTCTTGCAAAGCAACCCTATTAGCGGATTAGCGCTATTAGCGGTTTAGCGGCTATTAAAGGCTTAGCGGCTAAAAGGCTATCAGTGGCTTAGCGGCTTAGAAAAAGGGGGGGAAAGCGAAAAAAAATCTCAAGACTCGCAAGACATTTTCGTCTTGCGAAGCAAGCCCATAGGGAAATTTGTCCTGCGAAGCGCATCGAAAAACGGAAAACCCTTTCGTCTAGCGGGTTTTCCGTCTTGCGAGGCATTCGTCTTGCGGGGCACCACTGTATGCCTGTTTGAAACTGAATGTATTAATTTTGGATTTTGTAAGCTAATTTACATTTCAATTATTTTTTAATTGAAAAGCAACCAGAAAACTTAACAGCTATGCTTTTCAGCCTTTACAATTTTAAACGTTATATTCTGTGAACTAAAATATCAAGAACTGTAAAAAGTTCTCAGAACAGTTAGGAAAACAAGAAAATGATCAGAAATAGCTTTAGTTCTGTCCCACCTGTATCTTGAACTTAAATAATGTACAGCTTTATACAAAAAACAATATTGCAAATTACGGTAGGCTGCATGATAGGCGGCATTATACTCAATTTACCGTATTTTTCTAAGACTTGGTTTTTTTACCCAAAAATTAGGTTTAAAATTGGGGGTTGTCTTATACATGGGTAGTGCTGAGGGGTGTTTTCTAAATTTGGAGTCCCCAAAAATACCTGGCATCTTATACATGGGGAAGGGAGAGAGAGAAAGGCAGCGACCATTTTGCACAGGGGTTCTGTTCCTGGCCCCCATGCACTTTGGTGGAGCATGTATAAGCCTGCTTCGCCCTTTTCCTGATCCAAAAGGACCCACGCATTGGCGATCGTGCATCAATTGGTTGCGCACAAAATTGTCACCGCCTCTGTGTGTGTGTGTGTGTGTGTGTACACACACACACTTTTTACTTTGTAACACTGAATTTGTCTTTCCTTCCAGAGTTGCCTCAGCTAGTTAGCCCTCATTAACTATATGAAGCTACAACAGTTTAGTCCTGTTAGTTAGAATAGTTTAGTCCTGATGCAGCACTTTATTCTTACATAGAATCTCATATAACGTGCTGCCGCTTCATCCGTCTGGGAAGCAGTGGCGGAACTTCATGCTCCAGCACCAGGGGGTGGAGAGCAGGCGGGGGCGGGGCTGGAGATGTCTTGTATATATATCTTAATGGTGATGTCTTGTACAGTGGTGCCTCGCAAGACGAAATTAATCCGTTCCGCGAGAGTCTTCGTCTAGCGGTTTTTTCGTCTTGCGAAGCAAGCCCATTGACGGATTAGCGCTATTAGCGCTATTAGCGGTTTAGCGGCTATTAAAGGCTTAAAGGCTTAGGGGATTAGCTGCTAAAAGGCTATTAAAGGCTATTAAAGGCTTAGCAGATTAGATAAAGGGGAAAAGCGAAAAAAAAATCTCAAGACTCGCAAGGTATTTTCGTCTTGTGAAGCAAGCCCATAGGGGAATTCGTCCTGCGAAGCAACTTCAAAACGGAAAACCCTTTCGTCTAGCGGTTTTTCCGTCTTGCGAGGCATTCGTCTTGCGGGGCACCACTGTATATTAGAAGTACAGACATCTTCTCAAGATCTCAGTATTAGAATATGAATACAAAGAGCTGCCATTTCGCCACTTTTTAAAGTGTTGGGGACCCTCTTGTAAAAACACCTCAATTATTATGGAGAAAAAACAAAATTCTAAACACTTGAGGAGTGGTCAAAACAGTGGAGCATGTAGGACTTCGGTTTAAAATTAAATTTCTTCAAACACACTTATTGTACAAAAAAGTAAAATTAGATGTAGTAAGAGTATCATTTTACACGCATAAAAGCTAAATACTAAAGGTGGGGGAAACAGAATGTTGTAATAAAGCACCAGTAAAAACTCAGCACCTAGAGCTTGCCGATTGCATGGTCGGCGGTTCGAATCCCCGCAGCGGGGTGAGCTCCCGTCTTTCGGTCCCAGCTCCTGCCCACCCAGCAGTTCGAAAGCACTCCTAAGTGCAAGTAGATAAATAGGTACCGCTTTATAGCGGGAAGGTAAACGGCGTTTCCGTGTGCTGAGCTGGTGCTGGCTCGCCAGAGCAGCTTCATCATGCTGGCCACGTGACCTGGAAGTGTCTCCAGACAGCGCTGGCCCTCGGCCTCTTAAGTGAGATGGGCGCACAACCCTAGAGTCGGACACAACTGGCCCGTACGGGCAGGGGTACCTTTACCTTTATATTGACACGACTAAACCACTAAACAACAACAAATATTTAAAAAACCTCTACCTGAGCTAGGAGCTATCAGTTCTTAATTGCAGAACAGTTTCAAAAATTATCAGTATAAATTTGTTAACTGACTGAAGAGCCAAGGCCGTAGCTAGGGGGTGGTGAGGTGGGCTATCACCAGGGGCACAGGTGAGGGGGGGGCGCAAATTGTCTAAAATATGTCTATAAATTAAAATATTGATTATTGCCTCATAAGAAAAGGTTTTAAATAGAGGGTGAATAGAATGGAGGAGAGGCGGAAAGAAGAGCTAATTTGTCTGTGGCTAGGGTGTGCAATCTGCCAGGGGCGCAAGATCACCTAGCTACGGCTCTGTGATTCCCTAAACAAAGGCTTCTATATACAAAATATTGTTTGTTAGTAACATAGAAAGTAAATGTTCTCCAGTTAACAGAAATACAGTGGTACCTCTGGATACGAACGCTTCTGGTTGCGCACGTGTCGGGTTACGAGCTCTGCTAATCTGGAAGTAGTTGCTCCCGGATGCAAACTTTGCCCCAGGATGCGAGTGGAAATCATGTACCAGAGGCGCACGTGCGCACGCAGGAGACACACTTTCACTAATGGAGCCTCGTGTTAAGAACAGTTTCAGGATAAGAACGGACCTCCGGAACGAATTAAGTTCGTATCCAGAAGTACCACTGTATAAATAATATTAATTTGAAAACAAATAATTACAGGGGTCAGGTAGCTGCAGGGCATAAAATACCAGTACAGTGGTACCTCGTGTTAAGAACTTTATTTGTTCTGGAGGTCCGTTCTTAACCTGAAACTGTTCTTAACTGAGGTACCACTTTAGTTAATGGGGCCTCCCGCTGATGCCGTGCCGACACCACACGATTTCTGTTCTCATCCTGAAGCAAAGTTCTTAACCCAAGGTACTATTTCTGGGTTAGCGGAGTCTGTAACCTGAAGCATCTGTAACCTGAAGCGTCTGTAACCCGAGGTACCACTGTACAAGGTCAGTTCCATGGATTATCATGATGATACACAGACTAGCATTGCCTGGATAATAGCACCTGGAATGATTTGCAACTTGCTGGAACCAATAGAAAGTACAAAACATTTTGATCTTCAGTTTAATTTATGTACTGAATACATTATTACACCCTGAAACTGTTTTTCAGGGGCAACTAGGAAATAGGAAGAAGAATGGATGTGACCTTTGTGCCACAGGCTTCCATCCATAACAAAAGTCAGATTTCTGTGCTCTGTACACACACACCCTTCACCATCCAGATAAATAAGAAGCATGATCATAGTTCATGAACACATTACAGACAGGCAAAAACATTTGAGAGTGCAGTGCAGGGCTGGTGAGAAGAGAGAATGCAACATTGGGGGAGTTCCAAGTACCAGATAGGCCTGGAGGTCTGCATTTAGCCCCCAGACCTAGACAACTGATTCATTACATCTAAAACCTTTTATTACATATCCAGTAGCTTGCATTTTCATTTTTAGTTTTGTGGACTTTGTGTACTGAATACATAACGTTATGTAATATTTTGTTCTTTAGGGGCAACTACGCGGGAGTTCGTCCTTATAAAGCGGGAGCTCCATGTAGCCAGTGCCCAAAAGGAGACACTTGTCAAAAGAAACTCTGCAGTAAGTATAGAATTAAATGATGCAAACAGTCATGGAAAAGATGATGATATCAACCATCACATACAGTGAGGGGGGAAAGTATTTGATCCCCTGCTAAGTTTGCCCTCTGACGAAGAAATGACGAGTCCATAGTTTTAATGGTAGGTTTATTGTAGCTGTGAGAGACAGAATAACAACAGCAGAAACCCAGAAGACAAAAGTCATGTGCAAAGGCATGTGAGTCCTTTCCATGGGAGGTAGGCAGCAGGTCAGTCCAGTTGTGTAGTGCTGAGGAAAGGTGATCAGGGTAAAGCTAGTCTCTCCTTGTGTGGGGCCAGTTGTCCTTTACCAATTGCATGGGTCCTTGGCAGTGGTAGTGCTTCTCCAGGACAGGGCCCAGACTCCTTCTGCCATTTGGGGTCCTAAGCAGTTACAGGTCAATGCCTGTAATAAATTGAGCTTCAAAACATAAGGTAGCCAATGTGGCCCTGTCAGAACCAGTGTTATATGACTGGTTTGTCTTAGGCCTACCAATAATCAGGCTGCTGAATTCTGTAGTAGCTTCAGTTTCTGAACAGTCTTCAATAGTCTTCAAAGGCATTTGCAGAACAAGTGAATTACAGTTATCCTATTTTAAAGCCTTTCTTCATTTGTTATAACTATTCTCTCTTCCAGGAAATCCTGAACGTGAGAAAGAAAACAGCCTACGTATGTATTATATATCCGTATTATAGTTTAAATTTACTTCAAGAACAAAACTCACATTTCATAAGAATGCTTTTATCTTTTTAAAAATAGGCTATTCACGATGGTATCCACCCTTTGAATCCCGGATTATATGTGATGAATCCTGCATTGCAGTTGCAATTTTAAGACCGTTATTAATGTTTCTAGCTTTTGCAGCTGTTTATTACTTAAAACTCCGTTATCCAGGTTTAGGTTATAAAGCATAATTTTTGATAGGCGTATATAACTTGAATATAACTAACTATAATATTTATAAGAATATTTTCCTGCATTTTATATTTTAAAAGTAGATTTGGTTTGTTTCTACGATACTTCAATTTTTCTGAACTTGTAAAAAGTTACTTGTTGCATATTAATGAGTTGTAAATACTTTTAAAACTAGAATACATTAGTGTAAGTAGAATATATGGGGTGGTGTTCAACTGTGTTTTACTCAGAGTAGACTCATTTAAGTTAATGAACATGATTAAGTTAGTTTCATTAATTTTAATGGATTTATTCTGAGTAAAACTTAGCTGAATGCTATCCATGGCCATATCTAGTATGCCATGTTCAACATTAAGGGAAAATAAAGGCTAAGCATATTAAAAGAAATTTATTTATTTATTGTATTATTTATTTTGCATGATTAACAGGATGCAATGAATGAATATTGATGTGATACAATGTCACAAAGTGGTCCATCTGGCTTAACATGTTCCATATAAAGTTTTCCCCAACTTTTTACGTTCTTATCCTGTGAGCACTTTCCACTGCACTGTCCCGTGTCATTCCTTTATTTATCACAAAGGTTAGGTGATTAAAGTTGATTTGCTGGGAAGACCATCAAATCAAGTTTAATCACCTAACCTGAATTTTCTGGTATGTGATTAGATCCCACTCAAAAATAGCAACAGTTTGAAAGAGCCCTTCATTTCTCTCTTTCTGAAGTTTAGTGTGTGTGATTAGCCTAAGATTAGCCATCTATATCGCAGAGAATCGTCCACAGTTTTTACATGAATACCAGCCTTATGTCCTATGTCTGGGGAAAATTAAGGCTTCAGAGATACTACAACCTGCTCATGCATCAGGAAACTGTGCATATGACTATATCCTTTCTATGAACCCATCTTACAACTACGGTCAGAAAATGAGCCTCCATGTCCATGTGTTTACTCAGATGTGAGTTGTGCTAACTTATTCAAGATTTACTCTCAAGTAATTGTGTATAAACTGCAGCTTTACAGAGCAATCCTTACTAGGTAGATTTGCTAGTGTATCTCCTGTGTATGTTCAGCTGTATCCTAACTGCTTCTGACCAGAATGTATGTGGCCAGGGAGGCAAGGTGAACTTTCATCTTCTACCCTTCTATTTACTCCTGTAGTGAATTTAGTTAAACCTGGTGGTTTATTTTATATCAAGCTGTGTAGACGAGACCAGTGAACTCAGGGAGTTTGGAAGCACTGCAACTTTGTTCGGCCCTCTCCCTGACTTGGCATAACCACTCCCCACCTTTGCTATGGCCCTTTTTTTGCCATCTACACCAATGTTACTTACACTGGCTTAGTTTACACCAACTAGGCTTTCCCCCAGTCAGTGTAAGAAGATATTCTGGGGCTATCTCAAATGGTGTATCTGAGGGCTGGGATTGCACTGTAAGCAAAGTGAACATAGTGAATATTCAACTGAAAAGAAAAAGAAAAGACAGCAGAGTGGTTTCATTGTTAATAAGAATGCCTCCCCCCACCTGCCTGCCGCTGTCCCTCTGTCCCTATCTGCCTGGTACATCAGGGGAACTTCCACAATAAAAAAGCCAAGCCTATCTGGACAAGAGATTTTATTAACTAACATGTATCTTACAGTTCCCATCTGTGCTCTGATGCCTAATTGCAGAAAGAACTACTATCTTCCAATGCCCCAATCCCAGGAGGAGGCCATTACCTCCTTCAGTGTAACCAATTCCCTCCTCAAATTAGTCTCTAGCTGGTCTGGTGCCAGTAACATTCCTGTGTTGTTCTCTCTTGGTGGGCTTCATTGCTATTGCTGAACTCATCTCCTTCTCTCCCCTTCCCAATGGCGTTTGAAATGGCCCAGTGGAGCCGATGGGAAGCAACAGCACCACCACCATTGCTTCTGCTATCGACTTCAGTTTCTTGAGTGCTCTGCCCGTTGCTTTCAGTGCCTCCAGGACTGACCATGAGGTCTCAAAGGCAGCGTACCTGACAAAAGGAACACCGTGGTTTCATAGCTGTCAACTTTCCCCTTTTCTTGCGAGGAATCCTATTCGGAAATAGGGAATTTCCCTTAAAAAAGGGGAAACGTTGACAGCCATGCGTGGTTTAGATCCTGCATCACTGTTCAGACGCTAGGAGCAACAGACTGCCAGCCACAGGACACTTGGAACAACCACCATCTTACTCCGGAAGAGTAAACTCGGTTAGAACGGCAGTGCACGGCAGCGATGAGTTGGAGGCAAGTCTAGGAGAAATTCTCTTTGAATTGAACGGAGCTGCAGACGCGCACAGCATCAGACCAACACGCGTGGAGAGCGGGGCAGGCTAGGGCTTGATTTGAGCCAAAGCTCGCGAGAGATAAACCCTGGAAGCTGAAGAACAGCAAAAGATCAGAAAACAGAGTAAGGCTAAAATCCTGTACTGTACACGCCTGGTTAGAAATAAGCCCCGCAGAACGCAATGGGGTCGACTTCGGATGAAGCGTGCAGCAGACCTCGAGCGCCGACCGTTGAAGCAGAGCAGCCGCGCATGCGCACCCGCACGCCGGACTGGCGCTTCCGACGCGCGAGGGCGCCGCCGCTGCCGCCATGCCGAGGCTGTGGCCGTGGGTGCTGCTTGGGCTCGTCGCCCTCGAAGGCGCGCGCGGGAGGAAGAGGTTTCGGCCGCTGACTTACCCCGGAATTACCAACAAGACCTTTATCGGTCAGTACGTCGACATCCACAATAGGCTTCGCTCCGAAGTGCAGCCCCAGGCCGCCGACATGCTTTACATGGTGTGTGTGCCCGGAATGCGGCCGGGGGGGGCGGGCGGGGGAAGGCGCTCGAAGGGGAGCTCGCCGCTCGCTCCGCCGCCCTTTCCTCAGGTGCGGAGGAAGGGAAAGCGAGGCAAGCGCTGCTCCGCGTTGCCCACCGCTTTTTAAAATGCGAAAGTCAAAGGCGGGGTGGGGGGGTAACCAAGTCTGCTCTTGCGGGGCTTCATTGAACCCGTCTGAAGCGGCTGCTGTGCCTAATTCGCAGGCTGTTGCGGATTTCGGGATTTCGCTGCGGGTATGTTTTCACTACAGTAGGAAGGTACTGGCGTGCTGAGGCCCCCGAACTTCGTGAGAGCGAGCTGTGAGGTAACTCAAGGGCCGCAGCCTTCTGTTGTTCATATGCATTTGCATTTTCCAGGGCTTAGTCCTGGCACGAAAAACATCAGCGTTAAAACCTATTAGACAAATGCGCTGGCCTAGGCAGGTCCACAAAATGGAAGATAGCAGGGTCCCCATAGACGTGCTCTGCGGGGAGCTGGCTTCTGGCAGCAGGCCACTTGGCAGACCATCTCTGAGCTACAAAGATGGCTGCAAAGGTGACATGAAGGCCGGAAGCATCGACCTTGCCATGAGGGAATCCCTTGCAGACGACTACAGTGCCTGGACACAGGCAGCCTAAGTCATGTATCCATAGTAAGGGAGAGAAATGACCGCTGGGAGGAGCGGAGAGAGAAGAAACTCTGTGGTGTATCTCCAGCACAACTGGACGCCTTCATCTGCCCCAGCTGCAACAAAACATGTCTCTCCCGCATCAGACGCTGCAATCTTGCAAGAGTTTGACCTCGCCCGCAAAAGCTCACTTCTCCATAGTCTCCTGAGACAGATGGATGCCAACCAGTTAAGCCCAGACTGATGTTTGACACACTTTTAATAGCGAAGCTGAGCCAAGAATGGCACCTTCTGTGGGATAGCTATATTGGCAAACAGTAACAAATCACACCCAAGTTACACTGGGTGAAAGTCTGCCTCTGCTGCATTCAGGAAAAACATGCCTCCATACCTATGTAAATCTGCACCTTTGTACAACATTTTATGGGTGTTTAGAATTATAGAATTGTAGAGTTGGAATGGACCCAAAGGGTCAGCTACTCCAAACCCCTGCAATCTAGGAACCAGCTTATGTCCTGCAGGACCTTCAAATGCAACTACTGTACAAATATTCACCTTCCATTTATGATAAAAGAGAAAATAGGTATTATTTGCTGAGAATAGATTACACTTCAGTTGCTTTGGCAATCTGAAAACACACACAAAGGAAATAACAGAGGTAGGAGAGAGAAATACAGTAGAGGCAGCTGTAAGTGTAAAGTATATTAGTTCAGTAATATGTGTATTTAGACTTGCCTGTAACGGTAGGATATTGGAACTAGGGAGTTGTTTCAAAAGCTAAAAAGGCTATTCAAAATGTATATCTTGCCATTCCGCTAAATGGCTACAATATGGCTACAAATCTGTTCCATACAGTAAAATCACAGCAAACCAAAATTCATCAAATAGTAAAAATACAATAAAAAATGCATTAAATTTAGAATGAAAAAGTAGCAGACAACCTCCTAATTATTTTGTCCTCTGCTTGTTTATTTTAAAGCATTTATGAATCACTTTAATATTTTAAGCTCTTCCAACTGTATACAGAAATACGACATAAAAACAATATCATAAAAACAGTAATTCAGTAGTAACAGGATGCAAGATTACACTTTGTATATGATGGCAGAAGGAAAGACATTCCAGAGAGTGTAAAGGCAATGATGGAAAATGTCTGCTCTTGGGTCACCACCTTGTTAAAGTCTGTTGGGTGCGTTGCCAAGAATAATATTTCCCCAGATCATCTAAGTGAACTTACAGGTCATACACAGTACAGTGGTACCTCTGGTTAAGAACTTAATTCATTCCGGAGGTCCATTCTTAACCTGAAACTGTTCTTAACCTGAAGCACCACTTTAGCTAATGGGGCCTGCTGTGCTGCCACTGCACAATTTCTGTTCTCATCCTGAAGCAAAGTTCTTAACCCGAGGTTCTGTTTCTGGGTTAGAGGAATCTGTAACCTGAAGCGTCTGTAACCCGAGATACCACCATAATCTTTAAGGGAACTTGGCCCAAAGCTGTTCAGGATTTAACTTAAATGTTAGTAACAAGATCTTGAAAATAGCCGAGTAGTTCTCAGCTGCCACTACTGTTCTAGGGACTAGGCAGGTATCCTGGTTCTAGACAGTTTAGGGCTTTTGAAATTCTGTATCTTTTAGGCATTTCGAAACAGGTAATATCTATTTATAAACATCTATTACTTTGAAGCAAGCCACTTTCAGAACTCCTGTCAGTGGAATAATCTCTAGGGTCTGGACCAGGCTTCCTCATACTCGGCCCTCCAGATGTTTTTAGCCTACAACTCCCACAATCCCTAGCTAGCAGGACTGTGGGAGTCATAAAGCCACGGCAAAGGCTTGTAATATTGCAGGGTGCCCCCTGACCTCGGCTGACCAGCACTCTGAGCTTTACAATGTATTGGAATGTATTGACCTTAAATGGAGTTGTGTTTCCTCTGGGCAGTGATGACCCTATATGGTGATGGGTGTAATAAAAGCCTTGACCGGATGAGGTAACGTGAGACATTGGCAAACGGCCATGTGGCTGGAGAGAGACAAAGGATAATAAAAAAGCTACGGGAGGAGAGAGAAGTTCGAAAGGAGCTGCTCATACCATCCTGAAAATATTGCTGGCTCTCTGTGTCTTTATTTTATGCTAAACTGCGCCACTTGTAACGGCTGGCTCCGACACAGGACCAGTGGTCAGGGATGATGGGAATTGTAGTCTCAAACCATCTGGAGGGCCAAGTTTGAGGAAGCCTGGTCTAGACTGCTTCCTTTACTACTGCCTTTGGAGCAATGTACTCAAGGTGATTTACAGTTTAGAACAGAGCATTAAATCTAATAGTTGTGATTCAAAAAGCGGGGGGGGGGGGGAATGGAGAAGGAATAAGAAAATAAGCAGATTCAAATATTAATTCTTGCATAATGTTACATAATATTCTAATAACACTGTATAGTTAATACAAGAAGGAGTTGCCAGTTGTTTCAGGCCTTTCAACTGTCCTTAGAGAAACCTGTCTGGTCTCATCACTTTTTACATTTTGCTAGCTTGTTGAGGCTGCAGTTCTAAACCCACTTACCTGGGAGTTGGTTGGCATCCATTTGGGATATAATGCCTTCCATTGTAGGATATACAGTGGTACCTCCTGTTATGAACTTAATTCGTTCTGGAGATCCATTCATAACCAGAAACCATTCTTATCCTGAGGCATGCTTTCACGAATGGGGCTTCTGCTGTGCGTGCGCCTCTGGCGTGCGATTTCCACTTGCATCCCAGGGCAAAGTTTGCTTATGGGAGCAGCTACTTCTGGGTTAGCAGAGCTCGTAACCTAAAGAGTTTGCAAGGAGGACAGTTTGCAACCAGAGGTATTACTGTACTTCTGAGTAGATTATGCTGAAGAACAGAGTTTTTCCAGGAAGGCTGGCTGAGACCTCCTACTGTTCTTTTTAGTAATTTTTCTGCTGCTTTGTTTTATTTTTCATTGTGTTATTTTTATTGATGATTGTTTTAAGCCTCTAGTGTTAGACAATTTGGGATAAGTGGGATGTACATTTTTGAAAGAAAAAACCTTAATACTATACTTTCATCTTTAAAAGTTAAGCTCCTGAAAATTTAACTCTCATGTAGTGCAGCTCTAGTTAGCAAATCCCATTGGGGCTTTGGCTGTTAGGCCTCTCTTCAAGCAATGATAATTATCTGATCATCAGAGCTTCAGAGTGCCTTGTAAAGAGCTTTGTAGGTCCTGCTGATCAGTGGTAAGTACAAATGGTTTTTGGGTTCAGGTGCAACTCTCCCTGCCTGAACCCAAATGCCATAAATGAGCATGGCTTAGCTGGTTTTGGCTGATCAAATGGGGAGGCCTGGAGGACCTCAGTAACCCTGTCCTAAATTAATATGCATAAGTGCTTGAGTTGCTATGATACTGTTGACTAGATAATGCCAAGTTTCAGGATGAAACCAACTTAGGCTGCAATCTATACCTACTTGTCTTGGCATATGCCCCATTGAACTCAACAGGACTTACTTCTGAGGATATTATGTACAGTATAAGATTGTTCTGCTTTAAGTGCTTGATCCAAATAAATATTTGCATAATGTTTGCAGTTCTGTTGAAATGTGGATGTGGAAACCTAGCCAGATGGGTGGGGCATAATAATAATAATAAATTTATAGTCACTAGTAGGAGTTAGCTAATGAAAATGTGATTTTAAAAATGCATTATATATTTCTTGTATCCTGCAGACATGGGATCTAGCTTTAGCTAGAACTGCTAGAGCATGGGGACAAAAATGTATTTTTCAACATAACCATTTTATGAAGGAAAACGGAGCTGGCCATCCTGATCCTAAACTTCATCCAGTGGGAGAAAATATATGGTTTGGACCTGCCCGCAGAGTGCCATTTAATTCTTCTAATGCCATCTATTCATGGTACTCGGGTAAAGATTTCTATGATTACCAGGACAATTCGTGTTCACAAGTATGCAGACATTATAAACAGGTAACTTCTGTTCTCAGTTAAGATAATCTTAAAACATCAAGAAACATTTATCACTTAAGACGGCAAGTACATGAAGTGATTGTTATAATGGTGCTATATCATACTTTTTAGAGTAATCTGAAGGCTATCACATTTAGTTATAAATATCCATTTAGTTATAAATGACATTGGATATTGAATTTATAACTAATGTCATGATGTCAGGATCCCAATACCTCAGGGATCACCTCTCCCCATATGAATCAACCAGGACCCTGTGATCATCATCTGAAGCTCTTCTTCATGTGCCTCCTCCGCAAGAGGTCTGGAGGGTGGCATCATATGATCAGGCCTTTTCTGCATTGGTTCCCAATTAATGGAATGCTCTTTCCAGGGAAGCTCGGCTGGCGCCTTCTTTGCATATCTTTAGGCACCAGGCAAAAATGTTTCTCTATAACCAGGCCTTCAGCTGATTGATACTCTATGGCCTTTTAAATGTGTTTGTGGGAGTTGGGGTTTGTTCTGGTTTTGGTTTTATGGTGTATTTTGTGTTCTCATTTTGTATTTTTATCTTGTGAACCACCCTGTTATCTTCGGATGAAGGGCAGTACACAAATTTAAATCATCAACATCATCATCCAAAGAAGCACTACCTGAAGAGAAGAGGTAGAACGGGACTTTCCCATCCCTTTTGCACCTAAGCCACCTGAAAAACCTCTACCGAAGTGGGTCGAGAAATCCTATTGAATGGAGTGGACTGTGGCACAGGGGAAGAGGAGATTACTAAAAATCAGGCACCTTCCAAGAGAGAAATTCTCATTCACAGAATATTTCTCTGCCTGGTTTTCAGCACCTTGTCTACTAGAGCCCCTTTCAGTTCCCCATGTCATAGCCCACCCTACTCAGTAGGGTCCCCCAACCCCTCCAAAGAGGCTTTGAGGAAATTGCGACCTGGTGATGATTGTTGCTGGGAGAAAGACTGGTGGAAATCACCTTGTCCTGGCTCTAGTCTGCTTCCAAGTCATAGAATGGTAGAAATTAATGTAGAGATCATTTCTAAAATTTCTGAATATATTTTTGTCAACTTCAGTTTTAATGAGATTATATAATTTTAATGAAATTATATAATTTTAATGAGATTATATAAATTGCAAGAATTATAGCTTTCATCAAAGTATATAAATTGGAAGATGTATAGTTCAGGATGCTGGAAGCTCCTTGAAATATCTGTAAAAACTTGGGATCTTCCCCTTTCCAAGCCCCATGGACACCCAAGTAAGTTATTTATTTATTTATTCATTCATTCATTCATTCATTCATTCATGAAGCTTTTGTACCACTTTTCTTTTGGAATACACAAAGCAGCATACAATATTAAAACAAATAATAAAACAACATCAAGCGGCAGCAAAGGACCCTTGCTTACAGGAGATATAGGATAGCTACACGTGGAGTCACTGTGCTGTGTCAGTACCTGCCTTCGATGCAGCAATGTGGTGGCTTGGATCCGTACCTGATTTGTGTATTGGAAGGATTAGTTTGCTTTAATCACTCAGGCTTTGCACCTGCAAGGCATGAATGATGATTGAAGGTTAGCCCTGTATATCCTAAAATGCTCTCTCATCCCTTATATACCCAACCAATCACTGCACTCTGCAGGAGAGGGCTTTATGTACAGTGGTGCCTCGCAAGACAAAATTAATCCGTTCCACGAGAGTCTTCGTCTAGCGGTTTTTTTGTCTTGCGAAGCAAGCCCATTGACGGATTAGCGCTATTAGCGCTATTAGCGGTTTAGCGGCTATTAAAGGCTTAAAGGCTTAGGGGATTAGCTGCTAAAAGGCTATTAAAGGCTTAGCAGATTAGATAAAGGGGGGGGGAGCGAAAAAAAAATCTCAAGACTCGCAAGATATTTTCGTCTTGCGAAGCAAGCCCATAGGGGAATTCGTCCTGCGAAGCAACTTCAAAACGGAAAACCCTTTCGTCTAGCGGTATTTCCGTCTTGCGAGGCATTCGTCTTGCGGGGCACCACTGTATATGCCGCCTCATGAGGAGATCCACTCCATATGATGTAGGAATTGGGCCTTTAGTGTGGTGTCACCTATCCATTGGAACTTCCTTCTGCTGCATATGAGACGTGCCATTTCTATTATCTTTTCTGAATCCATGCTGCACAAATATTCAAGGTTTGGTTTGGCCAGCACTCTGTACAAGTTGGATCCACTTGTGAATGGTAATGTACATTCTTGCAAACAGAACAGAAGAAGCAAAGCTTGGTTTAAGCTTGCTGCTTTCAAGCAATACACATGGGATGGAGAGGAACGCATAATTATGCACCTGCACCGTTCGCCACTTCTGAGAAGCATATACTTTCATTTGGTCATTAATCAGCCTCCTTCTGAATAAAATGGTCCATCATTTTTTAAATCATCTTATCATTAACATTTAGTACAAGTCAGTTACCTCTGGTCACCTGAGCACCTTGTTTTGATTGGCTCAAGGCACTCCTGAGACCTCCCAGTCAGGCAGAAACCTGTTCTCTCTGCTGTAACTCAGTACCTGTGCCTATTGGCATGCCATATCTATTCTGTCTTGCTTCATCTTCAGTCTTAATCCTTTGTCTCTTAGGAACCCTCTCTCTTCAGGAAACCTAGTCTTTAAAATACCATTTCGTTCAGTCTTCCCTATGGAGGCTGCTCCACAATCCTTGGCACCCAAACTTCTCCCTGAAAACAGAAATGTCCAGTTGTAGCTATTTTCTGCCTTATATCCTCTTCACTGTACCCTTTCATCTTATCTGTGTTTTGTTGTTTTATTTGTCGTGGTTACTGCCTCTTGAGGTGGAGAGAAGAATCTTTTTCAACCTAAGGCCCACATTCTGGATGCTACATACTACACACCAGTGCTGGGTGGGACCAGAGGCAAAAATGGGCAGAGCAAAGGCTATGAATTTAACCTTCATACAATAAACCACATTCCAGCCACACAAACGCCAGAGATTTGTGAACTCCCATATCTCCGCCCTCAGTCGTGGCAAGCAAGAGACATTATCAAAGTTCACAAACACATTTCAGCCTGGCAAAAGCACTAGAGGAGGGAGCGGAGCAGGGTTTAGTGGTGTGGCCTAGGGAGAGAGGATGTGGCATGTGGAGGGCCCTTCTGTAAATCTTGATATCCTTCTGTCTTTTTGTTTTGTTTTTAGTTTTGCCCAAAGCTGTTGAGCTTTTTTTGTAAGATCTAGAAGAGGAAGTAGTTTCTGAGCTATTTTTAAGGAAATTCGCCAAAATCTACACTTCCAACATGTGTTGCCATATGTCCGGATTTTCCCAAACATTAAAGCGATTTCCACCCAGACACTGTTTCCGATGGCTGAATCCCGGCAGTGTCCGGGAAATTCTGAATGTATGACGACCCTAGCCTGTATAATAGAAGTATAATCTGTTGGTCAAGGGAATGTGGATTTAGATGCTCTGTGTATAATCTTGTGATAACTAACAATATTTTTCATGGGTGTAGCCAGGATTTTTGGTTTTTTTTGGGGGGGAGGGGGGCAGAACTGACATGATTGGTCAATTAGTTAAGTATTTCTATTGTTTTACTTGAAGGGGGAGCAGCTGTCCACCCCCACCCCCCTTGGTTAGGCCCATGATCTTTTTATCCTGTAATTTTTGTTCAAGCCACAACACAGTATTACTTATTGACTGCAATTTTGGCAGTGTAAATAAATAAATATTACTCTGTATTAACCCAAATTGGGAATTGGCTGTTTTTGCTAATTCCACCAAATAATTAAGTGAGTGGAAATACCATGTAGCAGCCTCTGTGGCAGGTAACAATCCCTAGATTGAAGATCATCAATAATACATACACCTGTGTAGGCAGATCCCGTATGTAAATTTTAGGGGACACAGATAGGCTGATAAGGTTCAGCTGGTGAAGGCTGATCCATTGCAGGATGTTGCTGTAGCCTAAGAGAAGTTCCTTTCCACCAGCGAAGGCACTTCTGCCACATCCTGACCCCAAAGACGAAAACCATTCACAGTTCTTTGTTCTGAAAACTAGAGGATTTGTACTAAATCTCTAAAGCCTAAATATCTGGACTTGGTAACTATTAACACAAATTGTACCTTTCTTTGTAAAATAAAATCTGCTTCCCCCCCCCCTCCAGGTTGTTCGGGCTTCTACTTATAAGGTTGGCTGTGCTGTTGTTTTCTGTCGTAGACTTGATCGACATAGAAATACTGAATATTTCGTTTGCAATTATGGTCCGACGTAAGTTAACAAATGTTTAAGAGAATAAGAGATAAACCCAGCCAGTGACCTAATTTTAGGTGATTTTTTCATTGACCGTGCACAAAGTGGCTGTGTAAATTTTCTAAGGCTTTGGTATTTTATTTAGCTTAAGTACTGTAAATATTTAAGGAGGGAGTCGTATGAATAGATAGCTGAGTATAAGTTTTATTGGACCTAATAGGGCTCACTTCTTCATAGACATGTATAGGATTTGGCTGTAAGTGTCCAATTTTTTTTCATAAAGGAGTCCTGGTAGATATTAAGCAAATAAGTGTTTCTGGAGTACATAGAATTAAATGTACATGTTATTTGTCTTGCACTTAATTCAAATTTAATTTTAAATCGGTGATGGCTTCTTAAAAGAATCGCACTCCAAAAGAAGAAGAAGAAGAAGAGGCTCAGAAGTTCACATTGCAGACCCCTCACATAAGCAATTACTCATAGGGGTTGAAGTTCATGTAGTCATTACTGAACTGATCAAGGTTGCAGTGCAGTGGTTGGCCTCTTTGCTGTAACTTTAAAGGTCACATTTGGCAGTCCTAAATATTCTCTTCACAGATTTATTAATTGTGTATATATCACAGTCTATATCTAATCCACAGCATAGGACTGTTCAACTATTCTAACTCAGGAAAATCCATTGTATAACCTAATTTTTTTTAGTCGATGCCTCAACGCATAGGCAGTTTATTTGTTACAACTAAATAATTAACCGTATTTTTCGCTCTATAAGACGCACCAGACCACAAGACGCACCTAGTTTTTGGAGGAGGAAAACGAAAAAAAATATTCTGAATCTCAGAAGCCAGAACAGCAAGAGGGATTGCTGCGCAGTGAAAGCAGCAATCCCTCTTGCTGTTCTGGCTTCTGGGATAGCTGCGCAGCCTGCATTCGCTCCATAAGACGCACACACATTTCCCCTTACTTTTTAGGAGGGAAAAAGTCTTATAGAGCAAAAAATACGGTATATTCAGAATAGCTTGTCCTTTAGTCTTCAGTTTAGCTTGTGAATTGAGTACCTTATTACATTCTGGAAATTATGCTCCTTAGTGACACCTACCCTTCAAGACCTTACAAAACAGGACAGCCCTGTAGTGCATGCCCAGAAGGAGACACTTGTCAAGACCATCTCTGTAGTAAGTACAGATCTGAGTAAAATGAACATTCATGAAAGGCTTTCTCACGCACATATGTATATATTTCTATTAACTTTAAAGCAATACGAGTGTATATGTATGTATATGCATGTGTCTATGTGTGTGTATGCACACACATATATTTCTGTTAAGTTCAAGTCATGGAACTTAGAGCAAGGCAGGTTTGGTTGTCAAAGCAAACAATCTGCAAGACCTGGAAGGAAACCCGATCTTTTAAATACATTGTAGTAAATGGCTGCAATTTCACAACACTGTGAAAAAGTAAAGTGCTGCACTATTCCAATGGGAAGAAAGCCTGCCTCCCAATCTAATACTGTATGTCTTAGATTCTGCTAGGAAGAACTCAAAGGGGGGGGGGATTCCCACTCCCTTCCCCCAAAAAATCCATGTATTTTTACACCTCATATCATAATGATAGAATTGTGCTACACAATTGTACAAAATCCAGCTTCAAGGTTCCAACAATTTTACATCCTTGTCTACAGTAGTGTGACAATGGTGTCAGACAATGCAGTCACAGGCATTGCACTACCACAGATTTGCTTACACAACTCATAATCTATGGAGATGCTTTCAGGCTGTATCCTGACTTCTTTGTTAATTCGTGCCTAATTAAAGTTCAAGAGTTTGGAGATGAGTTGATTTTTACCAAATACCGTACTTTTCGCCCTATAGGGCGCACTGACCCATAGGGCGCACTTATTTGGGGGGGGGGGATAAAGGAAAAAAAAATTCCCCCCCGAGCCCCGAAGAGCAAAGAAGCCATGACAGCGAGTGGGACCTCGCCATCGCTTGCGCAACCTCGCCATCGCTTGCGGGGCTGGGGGCGGGGGAAGCCTGAGCTTCCCCAGCCCCCAGAACAGGTCCGGGAGCGAAGGCGAGGTTGCGCAACCTCGCCATTGCTCCCAGAGCTTGCGGGGCTGGGGGCGGGGGAAGCCCAAGTTTCCCCAGAACGGGTCCGAGAGCGATGGCGAGGTTGCGCGCAACCTCGCCATTGCTCCCGGAGCTTGCCGGGCTGGGGGGATAGCTTCCTGAAGCCTGGAGAGGGAGAGGGGTTGGTGCGCACCGACCCCTCTCGCTCTCCAGGCTTCAGCGAAAGCCTGCATTCGCCCCATAGGACGCACACACATTTCCCCTTCATTTTTGGAGGGGAAAAAGTGTGTCCTATAGGGGGGAAAATACGGTAAATGATTGTGTCATACACTGATGATTGCACATTCTGGATGCTGAAATTCTGTAGAAATGCTATGAGTTACCTGCCGCGCTCTGACTGAAAACAAGTAAAACCTATTGATAATATATTAATATTGTGAAACAGGTTTCTCCACTAGTTATAATGCTACTTTTCTCCTTGTGCAGGAAATTCAAGTCGTGACAAAATATACATCAAGCGTATGTATTACAATTAAATTATATAGCTCAGGTTTACATTTAAAATGACATTCTTGCCTAGTAAAAATATGTTTGTTTGTTTTAAATAGGCTATTCACGATGGTATCCTCCATGGGAACACAAGCTTATATGTGATGACTCCTGTATTGTACTTGTAGTTTTAAGGCCATTACTAACACTTCTAGCATTTGTTACTGTTTACTGTTTACAGAAATGTTATCCAGATTTAATGCTGCAAACAGAAACTGTATGAGATGCATATAACACAAAACATTATCCTTAATATCTAAGACTCATATGTACATGGATGTTTATGTTTTTAAAAATAGATTTGGTTAATTACATTGTTTTATATATTTTCAATTTAATAAAATTATTAAAAAGTTTATTGTTTCATTTTAATGACTTGGGGATATTTTTAAAAGCAGAAAAATGAATACTAATATTGTGTGTGTGTCAGTGTGCAATATTATGGGTTTTACTGATCCGTAGAAACCTGTCTCTGGAATTGCCATTCTTTTATTGCTCACTTTTTCTGGAGCAGTCCAGTTCTTTTCATGTTATCCTCCGAAGTTCTTTGCAGGTTTTTTTCTTCATGTAATTGTAACAGCAGTATGTCTGTTTTGGCACACAAAACACTACAAGGGTTTTTCTGAAGACTTGTGCCTTTAAATTAAACACTTCTTTACAAATTCAGCCCACTTTATTGCTACGTTTTGTTTCTAGCTGGGATATTAAGTATAGGCTACCTGTTGATTACCCTGTGGATCAACTCACATTGTTTTCAACATAAATGAAAAGAGGAACTTGGTAACTAATCCTCACTTCATCAACCTTGGCTGGAGTACATTTTGGTTCCCAAACCCCGCAAACCTAGAAGTGATTGTTCCGGTTTACAAACTTTTTTTGGAACCCAAACGTCCAATGGGGCTTCCATGGCTTCTGATTGGCTGCAGGAGTTTCCTGCACCCAATCAGAAGCCACCATTTGGTTTGCGAACGTTTTGGAAGTTGAACGGACTTCCGGAACGGATTCCGTTTAACTTCCAAGGTATGACTGTAGAGGATTCCTACGCATGCACAGAAGTGTACCAGAAACTCCTACTGGGCAATTCAAAGTGGTTATTCAAAGGGTAATTAACAGGCTATTCATCTGCAGGGATGAACAGGAAACAATAAAACTAGCTACATTTTTAAACCATATACTTTAAATTGAAGTTACCACAGATCTTTGCTTAATGGGACTCTACTTGTAAGTAAATATCATAAGAAAAACTTGTCTATGGAAGAGTGCATTGTGTTAATTAGTGTACTGTTTTAATTCCATTTCCAGTTAATTGTGATAAAGCAATACCTTAGAACCAAAGTGTAGAAGCAACCCAGGGCTTGAACAGTAAAATCTGCAGGGTTAATCAAGTGAGCTCCTGCACGTGCAGAAGACTCTTCAGGTGCAGAAAGAAACAAAAATGTACACCTTCAACCCCTGCAACTGACAGGTAGTAGGAAGACTGCTGGTTCAAGGCGCTGAACTCAGGAGCCTTCAGCTGAGGAACACACATCGGATACAGGAACAGCTCCTCCTAGTCCTTACACAATGGCCAGTGCAAGCCCACACTGAATAAATATAGTTACCATGGGACAAAAATGTCTATAATTGGGGTAGGGTCTAAACCGGGTTGCATGCACTCCTAGTACTGACAAGATGACTGACAAGAGCTTTTTCACAACTCAGCCATTGTGTTCATCTTATTTGACTACTACAATGCTGAGTTGGGGAATATCAGTGAATTTGTGACCTCACAAATGTGAAGCCTTGGTCACAGCCTTCAATAAGCCAGCAGTAACTTCTTTGGGGTGGGGGGAAGGGAGATATAGTCTCACTCCATTGGCGTCTTAAGTCTGAGTCCTCTTTAGAACTAGGCCAAATGTTCTTCTAAATAAGTCATGTTTCTCTTTCTGTCTGGCAGGAGTGCTGGCCAAACAGCTTCCCCATCCTGTAGAAGGGCCTGAATATGGGAAAGTGCTTCTTCAAAGGAAGAATCTAATGTAGGATTTAAACAATATTTTACTTGTGTATTGTTCTGTGGGCAGAATTCACTTCATATTTTGTTTGGAGGAAGTCCTATTCAAATGAGTGAGATCTATACAGCCAGAGTGCTTTAGGGCCAGTTCACATAAGAATGGTTCTGAATTCAGCCCACAGTTTTAAAAACCAAACAGCCAATTCAGTGTTTCTCCTTTAAGTTCTACAATTCCCAAAACATTGCATGTGGGCATTTGGAGCTCCAACAGGGTCACAGGGTTTAAGAAAGTTAAAGGTGGCTTGACAAACCACCACTGTCTTGCTCAGTTGGTAGAGCATGATACCATTATTATTATTGTTGTTGTTGTTGTTGTTGTTCCTGTTAATCTCAGCGTTGTGGGTTCAAACCCCATGTTGAGCAAAAGATTCCTGCATTGCAGGTGGTTGGGCTAGATTACAGATTCTATGAAACATACCTCCATCTTCTCTGGATAAGCCCTTAATTAATTGCACCCTGTCTCAGAATTGGTCCTAGCTTGCTATACACCAGAAACATTTTTTATTCATCAGATTAAAATGCTGTATCTGGGCTTCCCTTTTTTGGTTTTGTTTCAACACGCATGTTAAAGAAACCACTTCCTGTACACTTGTTTGAGAATACTGATGCAACTCTTTCCTGCTGTTTTTAAAAAATATGTTTGAAGTACAAGTGATCAGTTTTCCAAAATATACACCTTGTATTTAATTAGTTTCACTAATCTGGAATTGAATCTTTTGCCCATGAATGTATTGTTGTGGTTGTATTACTGCCAGACACATATTTGGGACTGGTGTGCAAATGCCTAGACAGTATGTGATACCTCTGCTTTCTACACTTCATAATACTTGAACGCTAATAATTGTAAACAAACTTCCCAACAATATTAACAATGATGCCAGTGGAGGCTCTTCCACACTAGAGCTGGTGTAGCACAGCTCTGCCAAGAAGAATGCCAGACATTAACTACCCCCCCTCCAAAAAAAACCCCCAACAAATCCACACGCTCCATTGTTAGCAGACCTCTATTAATCTCAGAAAGCTACAATTGTTAAACCATTCTGTGTAGCTCTATAGGGTGAATAGAGGTCTCCCTAATATCTCTCAGACCCTTAACAAACTACAGCTGTCATGCTTCTTTGCAGGGAAGCCATGACTGTGATATGATAATGCTTTAAAGGTATAGTGCAGATGGGCCCTTAGTTGTGTCCTAGGTATCCATAAATCTGCTGCTTAAGTGTCCATTGTTTGTTTGCATGGAAGAGAATGGAGAGAAAACCTGAACAAGTTGCCATGCCTCTGTGATCCCATGGGCCACACCTACATGACTTACTAGCAGTTCTGGCAGGTCCAGTAGGCATCAACTGTCATACATTAAATTGTATTAATAGTCTAGCTGTCAAGGGGAAATGTGCAATCCCCCCAAAAATTGGGAATTTCTTATTGAGATCCATAGGCCCACTCAAAATTACCAGGGGGCTACATATCCAACTATATATTGTAAAATCTGTTGATGCTGCTTGACTTCCACTTCACATATTGTTCATATATATTTCGGGTCCAATTCAATCAATACGGAATTGCATGCCTAGAACATCACACTTTTGAAAATGCAATGGTGTCTACCATGGGTGTAGCCAGGATTTATGTTGGGGGGGGGGCAGCAAAACCGAACTATCTGTGACATGATTGGTCAGTTAAGTATTTTTATTTACTTGATTGGGGGAGGGCAGCTGCCCCCACCCCTTTGTGTACCCATGGCACCTGCTTTGTGTATTATTTTGTGTCACAAATGGATCATTACTTGTACATCTGGCATTTTCACATTCATTTAAAAAAAACATAGCTGAAACACGTGAATTTGCACATTGACCCTGGAATGAAGAGATTCATAAATTCTTCCAGTAATATGTCTCTATGTGGTTAGTCATTATTTTCTATAATAGTGAAATATTTGGTGGCTACATGGTTTTTATACTAGGACAAACAGAAAATATAAAATATCGATATGGGAAAATGCTGTATATATGTCTATGTTTTTTGAAAGAAAAATATATATTCTGCGACTGTAAAGGTTTGGGGCTTGCAGTGTTGCAGGCCTGTGGCAGTAGATCTTGGTGGCAAGGTTCTGTAGGGTGGGGAGAGAGACACGATCGCTTTGAGAATTTACTAGGTGGGGCCTGGATCAGGTAAATTCTCTCTGATCTGGGTGACAGCAGAATCCAACTGAATGGAAGTTCCAGTCAGTTGGGAGTTAACCATCAATACGAGAAACAGTTGAGTTTAGTCAGTTGAGTTGAAGGGGAGAAAGAGAGTTGATGAGGAGGGGGTGACGAATAGACCAAAGAAAAACAGAAGAAAAAACAGGCATGGGTATTTATGCCCATTGAATTATTTTTTCCCTTCTGGCGAAGATCAAGGGAAGGGAGCTGGTGACTGAGTTGGTCTGAGATGCTGATCTATGTTAAAAGTCTTACCAGAGGATGGTTACACAGGCAGGTTTTTTAAAGTTGACTAAACTGTCCAAGCAAGCCAGAAATACAACCAGAGGAGACTTGGGGTAGAGAGGCAGATTGTATCCAGAAGCAGGACTAGGATATTGGTGGTACGTATTTGGCTAGGGTGAGAGGTATAAATAATATTGCCTGAGGTAAAAGCTGCTTAGAGGCTACTGTCTATTGAGTCCTCAGAAATTGTCAACTACTGTACTGCCTTTGAGGTCCCCAATATAAGTGTCAGTATCCTGTTACATAACACAGTATCAGCAATCTTAATTTCAAGTTCATTCTGTCTATAGTGTAGGTTATATATAAATTTTATATACATGCCATTAGGAGGTTTTGAAAGCCTTCTGAGGGAAACTGGTGGCAGCAGGAAATTAAATAAGCGCAGGTACCTAAACCTGTGTTTATAGAAAGTGCTGCTGAGAGAACTATATATTCTGGACTGGATATTTTACTGTTGTGTGTAGTACTGTAATTCCCCCCCCCCCCCAAGAGTCCTGAAATCATAAACCACTTCAAAATGTGGCTTGGACTGGTGTACAAGCCAAAATGGGGGGGGGGGTGAAGAGGTTTTAAAATTATTGCACATCTTATACATGCAATTCTGGAATATGGACAGATCTGTAGACTTGGCAACTATCAATATTTTGACATTGTGAACTATTATTACTTAAATTACTATATTAATTGTAGTGATTCAATTTTTTCTGTATATGGACATTGCAATTCCAATATTCTGTTGTACAAGTAATCAGTTGTGGATTTTCTAAAGTTTACTTGCTTTTTTATATTTCATATTTGTTTTAATTATTTACTTCGTGGTGTTGTTGTTGTTGTTGTTATTTCCTGCTCTTCCCCAGCAAACAAATTAGTAAAAATAATAGAGTGGATCCGGAAAGCACATCTCCAGTGCCAAAGAGATGCTTTTATGAAGTTTATTTATTTCATTTAAAAAAATTGCATCAAGAAGCTACTGAAAAAGGATTATTGTACATGCTCACATGAGACATTTTATAATGCTTATTATGGTTCTTAAATAGTAATGGACTTATACCATACGAAGAGATGTTAGAGAAGCATATAAGGAAGTATAAGAAAAGGAACAGTTCAGATGCAAAATTGACTCATGGTCTCCACCTTCTACTGAGGCTCCTTCCGATGAGTAATTTCCTGTAGTCTTTATGCTTATAAAGCAGAACAAGTGAGATTAAAGGCAGCCTGATGTTTTCAAGCTAAATATCAAATGCACAACAAAGAGCATTTTTTAAAAAGCTAATATATTTTGGCACTCTAAGAAATCAACACAGTGACTGGAGAATGCCAGAAATCCATTTTTTCTTTGGTGTTTTGCTTTTCCTGAATCTCTCTATTTCCTGCTACTTTTATGAGTCAAATACTTTGCCAGACATTGGAAATGCACAGTTTATTGAGGAATGTGTGAGAGTGCATAACAAATTCCGATCCAACGTGAATCCACCAGCTGCCAACATGAAACGAATGGTAAGGGAATCTTCACTGTAGCTATGGAAAATGTAAACATTGCTTTATGTGTCTTGAAGATTTAAAATTACTTACTGGCAGGTGTTTTTAATTAAGGTGTTAGATGCTACAGGTGTGTGCGTAACCCTAAATTATCACATTTCCTAATGAAACGTAAGTTGTGTTTTATTAGCCTTGGCCTCTAAAGTTCTTTCGAATGCATTTCTGCATATATATTTTTGTTTTTAACTGAAAGGGGTTTCTTATGCAATTATTTCCTTTACTTGATTCCTACAAGCCAAATAGCACCAATGCTGCTTTCATAGCATTATCTGATGTAAACTATCGGAATTAAGGGGCTCAACCTGGGTAGCAAAGTCCAAATGAATACACTGGTGCCTTGCAAAACTGGTGCTTTTTCATGATAATGTTTGGATTGATTTGGGAGCTTGGAAAGCACACAGCACTAATTATGGGTAAATCCTGACAGGATAAGAATTCATTACCTTTATTAGGAACAGCTATGCATCAGAACAAAAAGTCATTGCTTTTGAGTTTTAAATAACTCTTCCACCACCACAATTATTATTTTTATTATTTTATTAATTAAGCTTATTGTTTGCCTTTTGTTGCCAATGCAACCCAAAGCAATGTACAAAAATAAATTATTCTTTAGAGAAAGGATTATGAGGAAATGATACATTGTTGATAGTGGAAGGAGGCTTGTCTTCATGCTTAACAGTGTTAAGATCGTGATTCAAAACTTTGCAATGTGCCCCTTAGATATAACTGTAGATGGCTTTAAGGCATATTGAGATAACTATTGAAAATTATAAAATCTGCATTTATTTGGATTGCTCTCTAAGACAAATTCTTACAGTTTGCTTTTAAGGTTAAAGGTAAAGGGACCCCTGACCATTAGGTCCAGTCGTGGCCGACTCTGGGGTTGCGGTGCTCATCTCGCTTTATTGGCCGAGGGAGCCGGCGTACAGCTTCCGGGTCATGTGGCCAGCATGACTAAGCCGCTTCTGGCGAACCAGAGCAGCGCACGGAAATGCTGTTTACCTTCCCGCCGGAGCGGTACCTATTTATCTACTTGCACTTTGACGTGCTTTCAAACTGCTAGGTTGGCAGGAGCAGGGACCGAGCAACGGGAGCTCACCCCATCATGGGGATTCGAACCGCCAACCTTCGGATCGGCAAGCCCTAGGCTCTGTGGTTTAAGCCACAGCGCCACCCACGTCCCTGCTACTGGACTAACCAGCACTAATTAGTGTCAATAGCCAAACTAGGATCCACTCTGTTTTTATGCTTATGCTTCTACCAGCAATTTCCCCTAATTTTCTTTAAAACTTCAGGGAGGATGATCAGGCATAGATCCAGCTTCCTTTTGAAGATCAAACTACATGTTACATTAAACGGATGTTGGATTTTTTTTTTTTGTTTGTTGTTAGTTAAATTGCTGCTGTGGGGAAAGATCAGGACAGTGTAGGGTAGCTAACCCTTTCCTACAAAAACAAAATCCTCAGCAGCTGTGAGCTACAGGAGAGAATCTGCTATTGACACAGAACATTATTTGTTATTTATCTTACCTACCCTTCCCCATAAGGTATTAGATGACTGCCAGCTTCCATGTCTATTGCCAACACAATTCCCCCACTCCTGCCTGCCCCACATAACCAACTCTGCAATATCTCACTCAGTTAGCACCTGAGGAGAGCAAGGAATCATTAAGCAGCTAGCAGGTGCTCACTGTTTCCTATATTGACCTTAATTTCAGTGTTGCCACTGCCTAGCTTGCAGGAGAGAGTGTGGGCTGAAGTATGGATGCATAAAGCCCAAACTAAATTAGAACTGTATGTAGCACTCTTATTTTTATTTCTAAGGTAAAGATTTTGTTTTAAATGAATATATAGTTCCTGTTTCAGGAAGCTTTTAATGTTTGATGTTTCATTGTGTTCCATTATATTTTGTTGGAAGCTACCCAGAGTGGCTGGGGAAACCCAGTTAGATGGGTGGGGTACAAGAAAGTTGGTGTTGGTGTTAGTTTACACTGTTGAATGAAGATGGCTAACTGTAGGTAAACTATTTTGACTTTCTGTTGAGAGTTGTGGAGATGATAAGGTAGTTTGACTGGCTGTTTAACTGCCAGTTAAATTCTTTCAAAACAAGGATAGGTTTGGGAGCAAAGTTTCTGTCTTTATATAGAGGCACAGTAGATTCAAAACTGGTGGGTTCTAACTAGCCAGTCAGTGTATATTCTTCTTCAACCCATTAGACCAGGGGTCTGCAACCCGCGGCTCCGGAGCCGCATGTGGCTCTTTTACACCTTTGCCGCGGCTCCGGGGCGGATACTAGCGAGGGGAGGAGGCGCATTGTGCGCCCCGACACTCCCCACTGTGGCGGGCGCTGTACTGGCTGTGACGTCGCATGGGGGCGGTGCGTGCGTTAGTCACGCACCGTCCCGACGTCACCTTCCCGCCTGCCCGCTACATTGTAAGGGGCATGTACGCTGGTCACTGCATTGAAAGGGGGCATGTACGCTGGTCACTGTTTTGAAGGGGAGTGAAGAACACACACACACAAAAAGGTAACTTTAACGTTTATTTCTATGAGGAGGAGTAATTCTGAGGGGTCAAACAAAGAAATAATAAAAAAAGTGACAAAAAAGTTATTTTTATAATGACGAGTTTTGCGGCTCCCAGTTTTTTTTTCTTCGGAAACGGGTCCAAGTGGCTCTTTTTGTCTTAAAGGTTGCAGACCCCTGCATTAGACCATAGTCACGACCTGATTTGCAGGGACGCGCTGAAATTTGAAATGATTGGCTGGAAAGAGACCTTGTTTCTAAATAAAAGGGTTGTTTAAGACTTCAATCATGCTTAGTCAGAGGAAACATGAAGAAGAAGACAGAATATCAGGTACAGGAAGAACTAGAAGCTGGAGGCAGGCAGGAGGGCACTGGGGCTTAGAGGTTTGGGAAGTCTAAGAAAATCCAAGAGCAGAAATCCCTGCAGACCTCCTCAGATCCAACCATTGAAGAACATACGTCCCAAGAGGCAGCCTTCAGGAGAGTTCTATAGGCAAGTCAGTCAGACGCTGAATGCCTGAGGTAGCAGAGAGTGCTGCATCAGAATTCCTGAGAAAAACCTAGAGGACTCTAGAGCCAGAGGGCTGCAAGTAAGGAGGTACTGGGCTTTGGGAAGGAAATATGAGGGCTCTGAGTCCTAGAGTCCTCCCACCTCCTTCCCAAAGCCTAGTTAGCGCTTTCCCAGCTTTGGGAAGGAGGTGGTAGGACCCTGCCAGAGACTTGTACCTCCTTCCCAAAGCCCGGCGCCCCACTTAGCCGACTTTGAGAAGGCAGTGCAGGGGTTGAGGGGTGTCACTGCATCAAGGCAGTGTGTGGCCAACGGGTTCCATGTTGAAGTACTATTGTGGCCCACTTGGTATGAAAATTTGGACCATCCTGCTCTATAGGGAAGAGATGGTGGACCTGAGTGAAGAGTGCAAGTCCTCAGTGTCTAGCTGAGTGTTACCTGGGTGTGCATGGTTTAGGGGAATTGGCTTTAAAGCTGAAGAGGGATGGAACTGAATCTCCCATCTTCCTTTTGAAACACAACAATAGCCTTATATTGTAACAATTCTGATTTAAACAAAAAACAGTAGCAAAGTGAACTTCAACATATAGTAACCATACAAGCTAATATCATCTGTTTATAACAGCAATTATTTAAAATTAAAGTGAAAATGAAGCAAATTATATTTTAAGTTGATACTGTGCTATTTGTCCTACACTTATAGCTGCTGGGAGGTAAACGTAGGGCATAAATTGGTATGTGGATATATGGTGGCAACAGTGAAGGGGTTAGAAAAATAAGTAAAAAATTAATAGCTTAAGAAAATAAAATCTAAAGGTGCAAGGTACCTTTACATAACATTAGTAGTGGAGGAGTGGGATCAGCACAATATGGTGGCGGTGGTTTGCGATCTCCACCCATGCATTCAAGTTAACACAGAAGACTTAATTTGGCATTTATTTCCATGTTTTGGGGGAGGGGTGGTGACTAAATTTGTAAGAGCCTTAATTCTTCTAAATTTTAGGATTTTAAACATTGTAAATGAAATAATCTGTCTTTTCTGTAGAGCTGGGACCACAAACTAGCAGAGACTGCCAAAGGCTGGGCAAAGAGGTGCCTATTTCAACATAATTCTGACATCAAAATACCAGGGAAGGTACACCCCAACTTCACAACAGCTGGAGAAAATATTTGGACTGGCTCCTTTCAGATTTTTAATGTGACTTCGGCCCTCACTGATTGGTACAATGAAGTCGTGCATTACAACTATGATACCAGATACTGCAGTGATGTATGTGGACATTACACTCAGGTAAGCCAATGCTTACATCTTGACAGCTGATGTTGTATGCTTTCTAACGTGCTGTGAGTCAGAAAATCTCTGCTTCGGATTTTGCCCTAATCAGTAAGCATAACAGTATCCCACAGATGCAGATACGAGTAGTAACCTACTAACAGATGTTTTAAACTGTTAATGTATTTTTAAATAGCAGTAATCTGTCCTGGAACCTTGTGAAGGGTAAGTAAGAAACTGAATTGATGATGATAACAGGGTTATTCTAAAGATAACTCGTATATGTGAAGCATTGAACATTCTGAAGCGCAGTATAAGTGCTCCATGTTATATTTTCCCATCTAAATCTCAAGGTTTTTCCACTGAAACATCAATAGTGTTATGATTATTTTCTGGTCAGAGGGAAAGTTGCACACACTTAATAGTGTGTTGCACACACTTAATTGCAGAGAAAGAAGTAGTCTAGTTTACAGTTCCGACTGAAAGGGGGAGGGAGCCCTCAATATCCCTTAATCTGCTTTGCTTTGAAAAACAAAGAAGCTGGGTAAGTTAGCTGTTACTCTAGATCAGAGGTTTTCAACCTTTTTGAGTCCACTGCTCCCTTGACCAACTACATTCTTTCTGCGGCACCCTTGTGGGGCTCAGGAGCCCAGTTATGTCACACCTAGCCTGCAGAACTGGCAGCCTCTCACCCTTTTTTTTTTGAACATGCTCCCTTTTGAACAGCCTCCTCTCGTTCAGAGTCCTCTGGGCAGCCGCAGCTGCTGCCCCTGGTCTCTGAACTGCCCTCCCTCAAAGAGAGGTGCCTCCTCACACTGCCCACAGGGGTCTGGGACTTCATGTCTGTTCCCAACTGCAAGGGCTTGTGGATTGGCTGGCTGGGCTCCCTTGCCTGCTTGCTTGCTTACTCCAAGGCCGCCTCAGCTCCTGGCAACCAGCACCTGAGACACCATTCGCCTGGGGAGCTGCTGCAACAAATAGCTGTGCAAGCCTTTGGGAGGCAGAGTTGAGAGGGGGCATCAGAGAGGGGAGGGAACGAGAAGGCCAGTGTTGCCTGCAGCACCGCTGACCAATTAAGGCACCCCAGGGTGCCATGGCACACTGCTCTAGATAAGTCTTAATACTAAATAATCTTCACAATCTACCCATTTAATTTCAGATGGTTTGGGCAACAACATACAAAGTTGGTTGTGCCGTTGTCTTCTGTCGTCAAGTAACAGGCTTTACGTCGAATGCTGCACATTTCATTTGTAACTATGGGCCTAGGTAAGTGTCAAAGAAGAATGAGTTACCGCAAGGGGTATGTGGTGGAGTTGGAGAGGGTCAGTTGAGAAGCACAGTTGGACAATTAGAGGAGCTTAATGGGATTAGGCAGAGGAGAGGAGGTTGGTTGTTCTGTTCATATAGTAAACAGAGGAAAGTCAAGTATGGTAGGATAGTAGACAGAATTGATGATGATGATTTATTTTATTTATAAAATCACAGCTTGTGCTTCTCTTGCTTGCTTTTTTAAAATTATGAATGATTTGTTCTGGTCTGAAGAATTCTAAGAAAAATACCGGTATATCTCATCCCATGTGTTAGCTTTGATATGCAGAGTACACCAAACAGCAGGAGAATAATGTGGTTGTTGTTGTTGTTGTTTAGTCGTTTAGTCGTGTCCGACTCTTCGTGACCCCATGGACCAGAGCACGCCAGGCACTTCTGTCTTCCACTGCCTCCCGCAGTTTGGTCAGACTCATGTTTGTATTTTTTTTTTTAAATATTTATTGAGAATTTAAAATTACAGAAAGAAAAAGGAAAAAGCAAGAAAAAAGAAAAGGAAAAAAGAAGAGATTAAACAATATAAGTCAATAAAAACAAAAGTCAAAAAAAAAAGACAAAACACACAATACATCAGAATAAAAAAAACCAAAAACCCCCAAAAAATTTAAAAACAAATCCAATATTCCCAAATCCTTATCTTTCATTAGCTTGTTTCATCGACCTCCTCACACCTCCCTTTTTTGTATTCTAGTTATTAATTATCTCAGCAAATCCTTTCCATCTTTCACAATATTTTGTCATTAAATTATCTTAATCTATTTTAACCTTATCTTACCATAAAAAACCCTAAAGCTTAAAACTTAAATCTTATTTATACCTAATTCTTTTTAACAAAACATATTTATACATAATTCTTTTTAACATTTCTACTAAAGCCAAATAGTTTCATTCCAACATTTTTCTAATACTCATTAATTTTACAATAATTTTCTAAATGAATTTTTAAAACTTTCTTCCAATCTTCATCCGTCGTCTCTTCTTCATGGTCTCGGGTTTTGTCAGTCCTTTCTGTTCCATCCATCTAGTCCATCAACCTGGTGACCTTCTATCCGAGGCTCTTAAGTCTTTTCCATGTCCCTTCTGCAGGTCTTCTTCATGTTTATACCTGCACTTTACTTTATCTTTTGCTGATCTTATTCTTAGTTTCCTTCCTTTCTCTCAGGGAGACTCCAACTTGACAATATCTTTATCCCTTCTCGACAAGTCAGCACATTATCCATAGTCAACACTGAAATCCAAAAGATATTTAAAGGCACGTTTCAAAGTCCCTCCAAGATTGAGAGCCCCCACAACTCCGAACTCCCCCTGGCCCAAAGCCAGATCCGAAAAGTCAAAACATCCCTGCAAAGGGGGATCTATCCAACTTCCCATCTCCAGACCAAACAGTACTCCATCTCTCCAAATCTGACTTTTTCCAGGTTCAGTCGTCAAAGACAACAACTTATGTTCCTGCAAGGCCGCAGCTCTCTCCATTTCTGGTACTTGAGGTTCAGCAACTACCTCCTCCTTTACCTTCTTCACCACTTGCTCTGTCAAAGCACATTCCTGGATTGATTCCTGAGTGGTTACTATATAAGTATTCACTGTTTGTCCAAAATTTCCAACTGCAACAGTCATCAAATCCATCTTCTCATGTAGCTGTTCCAGTAAAGCACTTGTCTTGCAAAAAGCAAGCACTAAAGCTTCTTCTGGGCACATTCTTGTTCAAGGTCAGTGTCTAGTTCCCACGATCTTTTATCTCTACAGCTGTAGAATTCCCCAGATCGACTCCAGCAACAGTTTCACAAGCTCCCTCTAGAGGAAACAATTTCTATTTGTATCCGTCTTTTTAAAAGCAGATTCTAGCAACAAAGTTCCTTTCATTTCCCAGATATTTCGTTCCTTTTAAATGCAAAAGGGAACATTGGAATCAATATGTTTCTCTTTTTTAACTATCTGTCAAAAACGTTTTGTCCACAGTCAATGAACTTCCCCAAAGTGTCTGTCTCTGACACCCCGCTCCCAGGATCAAGACGGTGGAAATTTATCTTTCTTTACTCTCTCTTCTGCAGGTTTAAACAGTCTAAAAAGATTCCCCCCTCTTCTCCTGCTTCCAAGGGGGGTTTAGTGATTTTAACTGATGGAAATTTAGTTCTTTACAAACGACTTCCCAGACTCTAGCTTGCAATGTCTTTGCTTCAATCTATTTACAAAAGCGGAACGCAGACTTCCTGTTTAGACCTTCCCGCTTCGGTGCCAAATTAAAAAGTTTCTTAATCCAATTTTCCGTTCTACTCACGAGCAGTTGTTTAAAATCCAATTGTCCACAGGAAAAAGTTAGCGCTCTCCGGCAACAGCAATGCGGCTTCACTCTGTGAAAAAAGCAGTCGATTCAAAGCACCGCGCCATTCACCCCACGTCGCTCCGGATCCCCGAAACCGGGTTTCCCCGCGAGTAGGGGAGGCGCAAAAGGTGCCAGCCGAATCCCACGTCCACAGGCTTCTCCCGCCTGTGGTTTTTAATGGGTCTCCGCCTCGCCGCGGCGGTCCAGACCCTAGTTCTCACGAAGCTGATTCCTCCTGGTCAGAGGAAATCCGCCATTGCCGGAGGCGCTAACCCGGAAGTCCTCCAGACTCATGTTTGTAGCTTCGAAGACGCTATCCAACCATCTCATCCTCTGTCATCCCCATCTCCTTGTGGCCTCCATCTTTCCCAACATCAGGGTCTTTTCCAGGGAGTCTTCTCTTCTCATGAGGTGGCCAAAGTACTGGAGCCTCAGCTTCACGATCTGTCCTTCCAGGGCTGATTTCCTTCAGAATGGGTACGTTTGATCTTCTTGCAGTCCATGGGACTCTCAAGAGTCTCCTCCAGCACCATAATTCAAAAGCATCAATTCTTCAGCGATCAGCCTTCTTTATGGTCCAGCTCTCACTTCCATACATCACTACTGGGAAAACCATAGCTTTTACTATACAGACCTTTGTTGGCAAGGTGATGTCTCTACCTTTTAAGATGCTGTCTAGGTTTGTCATTGCTTTCCTCCCAAGAAGCAGGCGTCTCTTAATTTCATGGCTGCTGTCACCATCTGCAGTGATCATGGAGCCCAAGAAAGTAAAATCTCTCACTGCCTCCATTTCTTCCCCTTCTATTTGCCAGGAGGTGATGGGACCAGTGGCCATGATCTTAGTTTTTTTGATGTTGAGCTTCAGACCATATTTTGCACTCTCCTCTTTCACCCTCAATAAAAGGTTCTTTAATTCCTCCTCACTTTCTGCCATCAAGGTTGTGTCATCTGCATTGTTGATATTTCTTCCAATCTTAATTCCGGCTTGGGATTCATCCAGCCCAGCCTTTTGCATGATGAATTCTGCATATAAGTTAAATAAACAGGGAGACAAAATACAGCCTTGTCGTACTCCTTTCCCAATTTTGAACCAATCAGTTGTTCCATATCCAGTTCTAACTGTAGCTTCTTGTCCCACATAGAGATTTCTCAGGAGACAGATGAGGTGATCAGGCACTCCCATTTCTTTAAGAACTTGCCATAGTTTGCTGTGGTCGACACAGTCAAAGGCTTTTGCATAGTCAATGAAGCAGAAGTAGATGTCTTTCAGGAACTCTAGCTTTCTCCATAATCCAGCGCATGTTTGCAATTTGGTCTCTGGTTCCTCTGCCTCTTCTAAATCCAGCTTGCACTTCTGGGAGTTCTCGGTCCACATACTGCTTGAGTCTTCCTTGTAGAATTTTAAGCATAACCTTGCTAGCGTGTGAAATGAGTGCAATTGTGCAGTAGTTGGAGCATTCTTTGGCACTGCCCTTCTTTGGGATTGGGATGTAGACTGATCTTCTCCAATCCTCTGGCCACTGCTGAGTTTTCCAAACTTGCTGACATATTGAGTGTAGCACCTTAATATGTCAGCAAGTTTGGAAAACTCAGCAGTGGCCAGAGAATAATGTGGTGGCAACTGTTTATGTTGGTTAAGGCTGCAGGGAGTCTGGACCCAGTGATCTTGAGCGCTCAGGGCATGGTACGGAACTCCTGCAACATTACAGGGAGCTTTTTGATTTATAATTAATGCAGTAAGTTTTCTTGTGAAGGAAATACTCTTGCATCTTCCAGAATCAAGAAGCTGGCAACTCTGGGTTAAGGCCAGCAAGTCCTTTCTGATCATGGTAAGAATTAAAGTTCAGTTTCAAGATGAACAGCTTATCCAGCAATAGACCTAGTCTGGCGAATGTAGACATAGTCTTCATTACACATATACACTGATTTCATCCATAATAATAATAATTTTATTATTTATACCCAGCCCGTCTGGATGGGTTTCCTCAGTCACTCTGGGTGGCTTCCAGCATATATAAAATCGTAATTAAAGGTCAAACATTTAAAAAAATCCTGATACAGGGCTGCCTTCAGATGTCTTCTAAAAGTTGGGAGGGCATCCCACAGGGAGGGTGCCACTGCCAAGAAGAGTAGTTTACTGTAAAGCTCTTTACACAGGACTGCTTTTAAATACAATGTTAATTGAAGACACCATTACCAGGATGTTGGAGGAGCAAGGCAGCATGTAACACACAAATCACATGAGTTACCAGTTTCTATCCAGGCTTAAAGTGAATATGTTAACCCCATAGAGCTCTGAATTGTTCAAGATCAGGTTATCTTAAGAACCGATGCTGCACATATGAACCATTCTAAGCCTGATCATTGGTCCATCATAAAATAGTTACTGATCCCTGGGTGGGGGATATATTTTTCAATGCTAATACAGGTAGGTGGAATAGCTGGGGACAGAAAGTTCCAGGAGAGGAAGGGTCAGTGGAAGTTGGTCCTAGACAGGATGATGGAGGCGGCCTGTCTCTACCATTTGTTGTTTAGTCGTGTCCAACTCTTTGTGACCCCATGGACCAGAGCTCTCCTGTCTTCCACTGCCTCCCGCAGTTTGGTCAAACTCAAGTTGGTAGCTTTGAGAACACTGTCCAACCATCTTGTCCTCTGTCGTCCCCTTCTCCTTGTGCCTTGTGCCTACCATACTCCTTATGAATATGGTGAGGAAAGGAGGCAAACCGTTCCTGAAGACTGGAGTTCAAGACTCTCACAAACTATTTACCATTGTAAGCAGTGGCCTGGCTCAGTGTGCTATAAATACCAGAGCTTTTGTGTAATATTGCAGATTATCACTCTCTGGCATTCCTTAAACCAGTAATGGGGGAAACCCATGCTCTTCCTGATATTGTTGGACTACAGCTTCCATCAGTGGCTATACTGGCTGGGGCTGCTGGGAGTAGAAAGAACACCTGGAGGGCCACAGCTTCCCCATTCCTACCTTAATAAGAAATGGTATGCATTCATTAAACATGGGAGGTTTGCAGTAAACAGATTCTAGTGTACAGTATTGGTATAAAAACAACACATGGTATTGTTTAGATGCCTAGGAACATTATGTTCAGGCAATGTAGGTAAGATTCTGATAGCATGTGCTTTGGTTTGAGAGTTCATTAGAGACAAATATTTCCCCAAAACATCTTAATTAAAACAAGTTGACATGGAAACAAACATATTCCATTGTACATTAAGAACATTAATATTTGTTTAGTTTGCTAATTCCCAGTCTCCAGGTTTCAGCAAATGTAAATACATAAACAAAAGGGGGAAATAGAACTCAACAGAAAATCATTAAATGTTAAAATCTTGCCCTTTCTCTTTTTGTTTCCCTAGCCTCGTACATTGATGTCCCTACCTAGTCTCAAATTAAATCTCCAAATGTATGGTTCCTATCTTAAATTGGAGAAGAGGATTTGAATTCCCAGTTAATCATTGGGATGGCTAGACCAGTATCAGCACTTTCAATATAAAACAATTCCTTTCAGCTATTCCATGACAAATGCATCACCTCTCAGTTTATGTTAATTTTTAAAATGTATGAGTTAAATGAGTGTGTAGAAGAAAGGGATCATGATACATCAGTACCTTGGGTGGAGTTGAAAGCTCGTGTGCCACTTTCAGCAGTTGTCGAATAGAAAACAGCAAGAATCCAAACTGTGGTTTAACCTATCATTAAACTCAGGCACATAGCTGGGAATTGATACTTGATGAGTGTAGTAGGTTCAGTCTTGATTTCGAAAAGGTGGCTGCATCACCAGTTTAATGCTCTGAAATGTCCCTTCTTATGTCTGGCTGAGAAACTGTCTAATTATTCCTACTCTCTATTAAGAATTTATACAGACAGCAAGCAGTTTGAATGTAACTGGAATAAGAATCTTTAAATCACATTCTGTACCCCCCCTCTTTCCACAAAGTGATCTGACAAAGCTGTTCTTTTACAGTGGCAATTTTCCAACATGGCCATACAAAAGAGGAACACCCTGCAGCGAGTGTGACGAAGAACCGTGTGTAGACAAACTATGTGGTAAGTGAAAATGAATTGGACTTGCATGGCGAAAACAAAGTGTGACGATCGATTGAACATTTGTTACAAGGTATTATATTTAGAACTTGCCATAGTAGATTCCTCTCCTAGTTCTAATGTTAAGTCCCACCACCTCTTGGAAAAATAGGGACATCCTATGTCACACCATTATAGCCAGAGATGGCTGTAAATATTCAAGGTCCTGAAGCTGGAAATGTAAAGTTTGTAGGAGAAGCTCATATGATAACAGATGACTTAAGCTCATTACTGTCTATTGGATCATGTGGAGGTGATACTTTATAAAAGTTCAGTGTGGAGCAGACAATCAGCACACATTTTCAGGCTTTTTTTCAGTGGTGGTGTGTCTGTTGTGGAACTCCACCCCTTCACAATGGACCACAAAGCAAATTTATGGTGAAGTATCTATTTGCTTGGAAGGAAGTATAATCCTGGGGAGTGCTCTTATGTCCATTTTTGTGCCTGTACAATGGTTTTTAATTGCAATTATGTAGTTGGTTGTGTGTTGCCGCCTGCCACCAATAATTGCTGTACTTGTAGCAGCTTTGCAAAGTAGTGCTGGAACTGGGCTGTTAGTGTACAGCTTTGTTCATACTGAAGTTTCTCCATGCAGAATATTCACATGGGTAAAAAGTTCCCCATTATTTTAGGTCAGAACATAGTGAGAGCTGGAACCTCTTTGCTAGTTTTCCAGCAGCAGCCAATATCCAGCCAGATACATTCCACAATGCACCCTGTAGTGAGAAATGTGGTTTCTAGAATGTGATTTGTTTTTCAGAGACAACATATGTATAACCCCCAGTCTATAAGATCTTGATAGAATTTAGGCTACACCAGATTAAATGTTGTTTCAGATACCTAGACAGCTGTGAATGCAGACTCCCTTGCAAAGCTGATGCATGCTGTAGAATTAGATACATGCAGAAAACTAATTAGTTGACTAATATTTTCAGCACACTCCAGGAACTTTTGATTTTGTAGAGGCACGGAAGATGCATTTGCTCTACACATGGAAGAACCAGGGGGGAGGGGGTCACAGATTTATTTCATAAACAGCAGGCTGCCTAGGGTCCTAGAACTTTGGCTTTTTACATAGACCCCAAGAAGTTTTGTCAGCTTTAGAATGATTCATAATTTACAAGCCTAATAATCGAGGAAGTTTCAAACTTGAACTACTCTTAATGTCTTTTTACTTTTATTTATAGGTAAAGTCCAGGAGGAGTCAATTTCTGACCAGGATGAATCAATTCGTAGCCAGAAGGAGTCAATTTGTGACCAGTACTGTATCACCATTCTAATACTGAGACCATCTTTTGCTTTAGGGACTTTAGCAGCGGTCTTCTTTGTGAAGCAACGTTATCCCACAATATTTTTTTATGAATAAACTAGCAATGGAGATAAAGAGCTGGTGGATTAAGCATAGTCAGCTGGTAGATGGCATTAACAATTAAATGTCAAGTCCAAAGTCTGCTTTAGAGCAGGCTAGTCAACAAATCCCATGAACTGTAGTCAGACATCTGCAGGACACCACACTGGCTATCCCTGCCTGTTTTGTTTAAAAATTGATAGCAGAAAACAATGCACCCTTTTAGTTCATGGTTCAAAAGTGATGTCTGTTTCTGGGGTGGGTTATTTCTTTACTTACCTGATTTTAATGCATTTGTTATGTGTTCATGTACATCAATAAAGCATAACAGGGAGGCATAATTTATGACATCTTGACCACAATATTAATAAAAAGTTGTATTATTTTAAAAATGAGCAGTGATAATGTAAATTGTTGGTAGGGTCTAAAATGTAAACAGTACTTGGGGAAAATAAGATTTAACATTTTCTCAGACTCTGCCTTCTTTCCATAAGTCACACATCACAATACCACAAATAAATGCCAAGTACAGGTGTGCAGGTAGCTGGATAGAGTGGGCATGCAAACAAGTCTTGCTTTGCTATCCTCACAACTACTGCATCCCCACCCCAAATTCCTCTGTTACAGAGGGAAGGCCTGCAAGAGATATGAATACTCTATACCATAAGGGAGACCTGATAAAACAGGACTTGTGACTGCACAGATTCAACAAAACCAAGTAGAAGCCCCCTGGCAGACTTTCCCCACAGAGGTCAGGGATTGGAAGGTGTGCAACAAGTATAAGGCTGTGGTGTGTGTTTCCATTCATTCTGGCAAATGACACCACAATATACTGTACAAAATAATATCTGGTAATATTGTGTATGCTAAAAACCTTCATACCAAAAACTTTCAATGCAAAGAACAAGCTGCCAATTTTACTTTCTGCAAACCTTGAAATCACTGAGGGGGTTTTCCAGGCCACAGACAAAGCAAAATTTGCAAGTAGTTTGATGTGCACTACGACAATGCATCTAGTCAGTTATAAATCTGCAGTTTATGAAAACTTCCTCCAGGGAAAAAAATGGAGCACTACAACCTTAAGGAAAGATCATTTCTTTTTCTTTGCATCTGCTGCAATTTTTAACTTTACTTCTTCCTCTGGAAGTGCTCCCAACTTCTTCTTCTTTGCCTTTTTAACCTTTTCTTTAATAGCTTGGATATCAATTTTTGTTTCAGCCGAAGCTACATAAAAAAGAGATAAAATATGGGTTATGTATTTGTAGGTAAACAAATTGGACCCAATGTATATTCAAAACTTTTACACACATCCATTGAACCAAGTAACATGACATCAAGTTGTGCTTAGCAAACAACTGTCCTGATTCACATGTCGTGATCGGCTAGAGTGAATTACCATGACCATGTGAATGTACTGCCTCCCAGAGAAGAGATTGCACCAACTTTGCTCCTCCTCAGGCTCTTTTAGGGCAGCACAGGATGGCAGCTAAGCAAAGATTTGGGTTTAGTGTTTCATCGGAACCTGTGATGGTGGTTAAAGGCTCTCTTCCTTAACCACAGGACTAACTTTGACTACAGTGTTGACCCTGTGTGTTGCAGCTGTGAAAAGCAATTTACATTAGCAGTCATTAAGAAAGGGATTAAAAAAATACAACTGCCAATACAATGCCATTAAATAAATATATAGTGCAACTGCATCTGAAATACTGTGAACAGTTCTGGTCCTCTCACCTCAAAATTATACTGTAGCGCTGGAAAAGGTTCAAAAATAAGCAACCAAAATGATCCAAGTAGTTTGAAGCAACTCCCCAGAACTACTTGTTACTTGGTGTTATCCTTCATTAATGTTAAAGCCATCAATAACTACTAGCCATACTGGCTATGTTTTCCCTCCCCTGGCGGTAGCAAAACTGTATGCTTCCATACACAAGCTGCTGGGAATCACAAGTGGGACAGGCAGCATGGATGCAGCACTCAGGGTGGGCTCATGGCCTTGCAGCAGGCCTCTGTGAGAACAGGATGCTAGACGAGATGAGTCTTTGGTGTGATACATCACTAACCAGAAACATAATTCTTCACTTTTCTCTTCCTCAGAAGACTTGTTACTATGTCAACATAGAAGACCAATGTTAATTTATTACACAGAAAGGCCAAAATAATTTCCCTTCATCGTGTCAATACTGAAAAGAGAACTCAATTATAAAAGGTGTTGTTTTTTACAACAAATAATAATTTGAACTCATCTTACCTTTCTTTGGTTTTACAACTGTTTTTTCCTTGGGTGGAATAAAAGCTTTGTTTCTCTCTTCTTGCCTCCGACTGATTGCTTCTGCTTGTTTTGCCTAAGTTTGAAAAGGTCATACATTTCAGACAGAGCACATACAATTAACATGCATATTTTAAAACAACTTCAAAAGACACCAGAGTGGCCATACCTTTATCTCCTCTACCCTCTTACGCTTCTTTTGACTTTCTTTCAAGAAATATTCACCACTTGCCAATTCCTTATCAATCTATAAAAATAAAAATTATGATTAGCATGTTCCATACTGAATATTTTTTAAAAAAACTATAAAATAATAATCAGAAAGCATTTTTTTAAAAAATTCATTAAATCTGTATTCTTTCCTTTCTCCCAAAAGTACATATTGAAATGAAGCTCCAGCAAATTCTACAAAATTGGCAGTGTTTAACCAAGGTTTTATGTATGAGCACACAATACACAAAGGATCATAAATGGATTAAGTACTACCATAACTTAGACTGCAGTTCTAATACCCATATACTGTACAGCACTATAAATAAAATCCACTTAACTCAATGGGACTTATTTCTGAGTGAAGCATGCAGAGTCAAGCAATCAGCAAATTTCTTTTGTATTGCAAATAATTTTATATGAATGGTCGTGTGAGTTTTAAAACTGAATGGTAGCTTAAACTGTTTTACTTAAACTGTTTAATAAAAACTAAAATGTCTTTATAAATAATAATAATATTTAATCACCAACACCAAATAAATATGCAATTGTGCAGTCATTTGTACATATGAGGAAACATTTATTAAACACTAGAACTCACTAAACCCATCAACAGTGACCATGGAAATTTCAGCAGGGGGTTTACTTAACATGTAAGCAACCCCTGCTGAAATTTCCCGTTACAAGACTATTAAGAATGCAGAAGCCCCGTTTTCCTTTCTCAACTGCCCACCCTAAAGCCAGCATAATTTTCACTCACACCTAAAGTGAAACAAAATAAATTCAAAACAGCCTGCATACATTTGCTATCGTTCTGGTAGGAAATTGTCATCTGCTTTACAGAGCAATCCAAACCCCTGATCCACCAAACTAGAGGTGGTCTTGAGTGAAGCAGAAGAGTTATGTCTGCCTCTGTCAGAAAGAAGCAGCCCTGGTTCCTAAGCTGCTTCAGCTTCCAGCAAACTATAGCAAGGGGCTTCATTTAGGCTGGTTTGCTGTGACAACCTAGAGCTGGCACAGGAAACATATAGACTTTTTCAAGCCACTGGCTGGCACAAGCAGTGGAGCTTTAGATGCTGTGAACACTGCACAGCTCTGTCAAGTGTTAGGACTGCAACACTTTTATATAGATTGTAGATAGCAATCTACTCTTCTGAATATTAATTCTTCTTTGCCACTGCCTTGAGATTTCCTTTGTTGGGACAGAAAGGCAAGCAAATTCCCTTTTAAATGTATATTTGGATTCCTTGACGTGCAATCAATTTAATTCAAACTCATCAATGTTCTGCAGTAAAATTCAAGTGAGATATAACAGACCTGACTCTCTGGTTGTGGAGGTGGGAAGGGAGTATATTCCTTCTTGACATTTTTCTTCTGTGGTTCTTTCCGTTTGTTTAAATTCTTGTGTTTGAATTTAGGCAAAAACCGTTCCCAGTTCTGCAATCGTAATTCGGGGTCTTTTGACAATTCCCTTTTAATCATCAGAGTCTTCAATCACATTAAAACAACAAGAAATTAGAACATAATATTTGCTCTGCTCCTTTTAAAAAAATACATTCAGAGACACAGGGAAAGCGAGGTTATAGTAGATAAAAACAACATAATTTAATTATAGCAGATAACATAAGGTATCAAATGTGAGAATGATCAAATTTATAAACTAAGTAATCAAGCCTAATTATGCCATGTTCTTTTCATGTTTTTTAACATGACCAATGACAAAAGAATTTTGTTATAGGAGAATGTTTAAAAGGTAACCAGCACCTCAACTGAAAGTTGTTACAGTAAGGAAAGAGTGATACTTACATAAAACATCTTATACAATAAAGAAAACTGCACTCACCTTGATGTTGTATATGGGATGAATATTCTTCATTGTATCAAGAACAACTTTCCTAACCTAGATTTTTTTTAAGAATGCAAATGGAGTAGTTTTAATGGCTAAATTTATAAACCACTGTATTTTAAAAGATAATACTAAGAACAAGCCTATTTCAATAAGCAAAGCTTATTTAATTAATCTTATATTTAATTGATTTTTTCAGAACCATTCACTAAGTTTCAGAAGAAGCAGACCGACAAACTGATCCTTTAGTTTACATAAAAGCTTGCATGCTATGGACAATTTAAGCCAGGCTTCCTCAACCTCGGCCCTCCAGATGTTTTGAGACTACAGTTCCCATCATCCGTGACCACTGGTCCTGGTAGCTAGGGATCATGGGAACTGTAGGCCAAAAACATCTGGAGGGCCGAGGCTGAGGAATCCTGGTTTAAGCAATAGTAAGATTTTTGGTACTTGTACCCTGAAGCAATACTGCACCCATGTAAGGAAATTTGTGTGTAGCAAAAACTTTGTCATCATGTTTTCCACTTGTCCTAGTGTACTTCCACTATTTGCAGCTTGCATGGATGCAAATACTTGGTGCTTAAAGCACTTTTTGTCTAATACAGGGTGAGCCTTTTAAAAAAGGCCCCATGGAACATGTGTACTCTGTATCCACAGGGCCTCTTTTAAAGGACTCACCCTGTACAAAAGGACCACAGAACTTAGCTGCATGATAAAAGTTCTATGCCAGCGACCAACAGTGTAATAACAAAGTGAATTCCTTGGACAAAAACTGAACATTTAAATAAGGTATAATTACCAGATTTTTTTGGGGAGGGGGGTTAAATGCATGGAACTTCTAAAACATTATTTCCTGTGGAAAAGAGATCTTACCTCTTTTAAGCCATTAAAAGGTCCAAGAGCGGAAACAGTATTTCCCTGAACCATGATGTAGCAGTTTGTTAGCAGTTCCAGGGCCTATGTCAGAAAAAGATATGGGAAATATTTCAAGACTCAAATCATGTAAGCAGCTTTCTTAACAAACGCTAAGGCTTCAGTCTTAAATTCACGCACAGGAAGTAAAACCCACTGCACAGACTTTGACTTATTTCTAAGTAAACATACATATGATTGATCAGTAAGTAAGTAAGACCAACCTTGAGAGTAGATCCATTGGGACCAATAAGTCTTTGTCTTCTTTTTATAAATCTTTCTCTGTTTCTGACCAAGGACCCAATTTTAATGATGTCACATGCAACGTCATCTTCAAGGATACGTACAGCCTAAATGGAGCAGCAGAGACAGTTAAACAGACACAAATATAGGCAGAAAGATATTTAATATCACTTCACTCCGAGAAACTATTCTGCAAAATGATTCTATATTCAAGTTAGACTGCCACTTCCACTGAATGACTATTCTAATAAATCCAGGATATCTATCAGATTATTAATTCACAGATTTGTGGGGGGTTTTTCCTGACAATATTAATTGACAATTTAATAGAAATGTAGCAATGGCAGACCACAATTATTTTATCACTGAACAAACCTGCTCAAATGGAACACTTCTTGCTAAAAGCTTTATTAAGTCTCTGGCTCTGATGATTATATATGGGTCAAAGGTCTTCTTTGTTGTGCTGACAGTCATGCTTCCTTCTATTAAGTCTAAAGCTGCATTGATGTGCTGTAAGACAAAGATGGAAGTAACAGGCTATATAGAAACTTTACTGTTTAACAGCCTCAGAGTTTTAAATTGAAAAACAAATTTTACAGTCAGAATATATATGAATACCAAATGAACAAAAAGAAGTTATTTCGATAATTTTCATGACATAGGAATTGTAAAGAAAATGTATTTTTTAAATTAACAGGACTTTCAGGACTGGTTTCATGCTCCAGTAGGAAGATGATTCTTGGTCTTGTTACTGCTGTTCCTTCTTGCTTTTGCAGCTTATTTACCTACTCTCTCTGAGTGAAAGAACAAAAAGAGGAGCAAAGAAGAACAGTAGTCTGCACATGGCTTATCCTCTCCCTCTGAAAAGAGGTCAGAATGGGCCCAGAGAGGCAGCCAAATGAACTTGCAACAATGAGGAGGAAGTGGACACATGCAGATAAAAAATCCCATTGAGAACATATTGGCCAAAGGACCCTCCAAACAAAATGTGCAACCAGCATTAAGGATTCCCCAATAATTATTCCTGCTAACTGCAAAAATGTCCATTAACATCACATAGATCTCATGTTACTTCAAACATCTGCTGCATGTGATTTATTTCCAATGGATCTTGCAGGCTGCTCCAACTTCTAAACAGTAGCTAGATGCTCACAGAGTAATGTAAAATGCTGTGAAAACAGTCATTTATTATTTTAATTAGCTTGAGACCAGTGCCCATTTCCATTCTTGGAAGCAGAAATAAGAACACAACCTGGGCCATCAGCAATCTAGACTCTTAAGTAGAAAGTTAACACACTCCATTTAAGAATAGAAAGTATTCTTACATGTTCCGTCAAAGTTTTCTGCACCAGTGGCCAGCATTCTTTCAGATAAGCTTCTCTGTATTTTGGGAACAGAGTGGCAAAGCTGCTTTCTTCCAGGAGACCTCTAGGATTATCTTCTCTTGCAAATGCTGGCTCTTTCCACCCATCAGGAACAGTGAGAAGTTCAGAATCGTCCACTGCTAGCAATAAAGAAACATATTAGTTTTCTCTAAATGAAAAAGTGGGAAGGGTGTAATGCAGGAGAGACCAAGGAAGGTGCCACAACTATCGCTCTAGACTTTTTCTGAACTCTGAAGTGAGAAAAACACATGAGGTGCAGTACAACAGCTGTAAAAAAAATAAATCAGGGTACAAAAATGCCCTGCAATATTCCAAACCACAACCTTAAAGAAACATATGCAACTTGGCTTCTAGGAAATCATTCCCACGCGAAACATTACTATTACAAGTTACGTAGTTCACACTCGTGTTACCCGTCTCGGCCTCGATTTAGTCCTCTACCCACCAGGCACCACTTTTCTGCATGCCAGGAAAGCTCACACCACCAGAAAATAGCGCAATCTCTATGTGTTTCCCAAGAAGGAGACGTCAGATGTCAAAGAAATAAACAACTACCTGACGTTTAGAAGACATCTGAAGGCAGCCTTGTTTAGCGAAGTTTTTAATGACTGATGTTTTAATGTTTAATCTTTTGTTGAAAGCTGCCCAGAGTGGCTGGGGAAAGCCAGCCAGATGGGCAGGGTATAAAAAATAAATATTATTATTATTGAAAAACACAAACAAGAAGTTGGCAATTTTTTAAATACTCATTCCTAATCCTTCTTCCCTCTCCCCCAAAGGAAACAAGGCACTAACAACAACAACAAAAGCCGCCAAGGCGTGCCAAGACCAAGGCGGGTTTCACGGGGGTCTATAGAAGACGAAGCGACCAAAACAGACCCAAGCCTCGAAAAGTTGCCACACGTGGCGGGAGGAACCCGCGTGAAACGCCTTCGCGTGGGGTGGGGATATGACGTCACCTTTGCTCGCTTTCTTGGCCTTGGGGGTCCTCCCCCCCGCGGCTCCCTCCCCACTCTCAGCCTCCTTGGGGGTCGCCATGGTTCCCCTCGCTCCACCCGGCAAACGCTCCACACGGGCGACCCGGAAGCGCAGCGCGAAAGAGGAAGAGCGCGATGCCTCCTGGGAGCCGCCATCTTGCCTCTAGGATTTGTCATGTAGAGATAGGAAAATACAGAACAGGCTGAAAGCTTGACGGAACCAAAAAGCGAAAAGCCGCCACAGGTTTTCTAGGACTATCGTGCCGTTGCGCCAACTCATCCCATAGCCAGGTGGTTGTTGTTTTAAAAAAAGCACTTTACTCTGCGTTGGAAGTGGAAACCTCATTCTATTTTTAGGATTGAGATGGGGCGCGCCTCTTGTTCTTTCCACCTCTATGGCCTCTTACTGCTCCCAGCCCCGCCCAGCAGCCATGCTTTCTGGGCTTTGCAGTTTTCAGCATTAGCTCCTGGACGCATATAAACCGCGGTGCACGCGGGTTTCTTTTTTGTGTGTGTTGCCGCTGCCAAGGCAACCCGCAACAGATTCAGAGCGCGATTGCAGTTTTGCTGTTTCGGAACTTTGCACGCTCGTTTTACCAAAAGAAATAGGTCTCTCCTAAAATGTATTACCTTTTAAATCTCCTTTGGTACCGACTCTCAGGATCAGACCATTGCACCAAGTCATGCATAGTGATTAGACATAGAAGCCAACTCCTAGGGCCCCCCATAAAATATTTGGGGGGCTGCCCTGCCCCCCCAAAGTTGCCATTCAAATAGTATGCGTACCCCACATCTTGTGATCGATTGTGTGGGGCAGGGTTTACCTCCCCAATATTTTATTCAAGTCGGCACCCCTGTTAGATATGCAGCATGTATGAATCTCAAAAGTAATTCATACTGAAACGGCAGTCTGAAACCCGATAGTCGTTTACAACGGAATAAATCCGTTTGAACTCAGTAGCAATCAGTTTCAGGTAAATATGCAGCGGAACAAAGTACTTTTATCCCTAACTTCAAAGCAGGCACTGAAACCTTGATGTACCCCCTCCCCGTTCCCAAAAGGAAAGGATTGTACTGATACATGTATTCATTAGTGAGAAATACAATCACTAATGTTTCTCACTAATGTTACATTTTACATACACATCTCTGTACTGCTAGCATATTTTACTTCATCAAAGCCCAAGATTTACCATGCATGTCCCACAACAATAAAAAGAATGTGATCTCTTTCCAAACATGGAAATAAATCTTACTGAGTAATAGTTTGGGCAATCATTTGAGGTCAGTTTCAGCAAGCGAGGACCTAAACTTTTAAAGAACTCCATGTTCTCAGACTAGAATTCACTGTTCATTTGGTGAAAATTTACTTAGCAAAAATGGCTTCAACTCACAACACATATCCAAGCCTTAGTTATTCAAATCCTCTGGTTACAACCAGACTTTTTAGTGTCTTTTTAGGTAGCCAACTACCTATATGACACTTCAGTACTCCTATTTGTAAAAAAGAAAGAAAGAAAAAAGAATGTGGTTATTCAAATGTTCAGGACATCTTTATTCCTCAAAAAGTTTTTTTTTGGCAGTCATGTGCACGTATGGATGTGGATATAAAAGTTTGGGGGGTGTGACTCAGGAGCTTACTCTCAGCTTCAGTTAGAATGGCTTTTCAATGTGAAGCACTTCACATCTGCAAATTTCCATTTTCATTCCACCCTTCTTTCCTTAGGCTAAGGGTGGCATACATTGAGTGAATGATCCATAGTATCCCTACAACATGCCTAAGAGAGGTATGCAAGGCTGAGAAACTCTGATTTCCGCAAAGTCACCTGGAGCAGAGATTCAAACACAGGCCTTCTCAGTCCAATGCTCCAGCAACTATACAACAATTGCTCTCTTACTGCAATTCTCAGTCTAAGAATAGAGGAAATAAAAATAATAATAAAAGGAATTCCAATTAAGACTCTGATTTCCCTATGTTCTATATATCATAAGTTCTAACCATTCAAGGCGGGAGTTGGATAAATGCAGTGATTGTATCTGTACATGAATAGACCACTCAGTATATATCAGAACAGAAATACCTAGAATCATAGAGTTGAAAGTCCAACCCCCTGCAACGCAGGAATATGCAGCCGTCTTCTAAGGGGATCAAACCGGCATCCTTGGCATTATCAGCACCATGCTCTAACCAACTGAGCTATCTGGGCAGTCTTCGTCATCTTGTTTCCTCAAGAAGGACAACATGGGGGTGGGAATGCTTCTATAAATGCTACACTAAATCACTTTCAAACAATCACAAAGCCTGCTTTCTCAGTAACCTTATGATCGAACCATAATGAAATGCCATGTGCAAATGAGCATATTATGCAAACCTCCTGAAGCTTCTCTGAGTCTCAGATGGTGAGCCCTTGGATTCCTGGTTGGGTGGGGGGAGGGATTTAGTAGGTCAGCAGCTTGAACTGAGCTAGCAACATGGCCTTCTCCTTGAAGCATTACCAGTACCAGCCACTGCAACTTTTTCCAACCTTGAAACTCAGCGGCAGCAAGACAGATAGAGTGGTGAACCTTTGAGTGCAGTTCCTTGTTCTATTGGTTTCCTTTTTGTGTGGCACTTTACTGTACCACTTATTATATACCCCCGAGAAATTTACATTTCTCTCCTTGCTAAGAGACATTATGATTATTTCACACATAGCCAGTTTTCTGGAAATAGGGTCTTTAATGTCCTAGGTGATCGGATTGCTTTCGTTCGTTACACTGTCCTGTAAAATTCAATTACTTGGAGCCTGAGAGAGATGCTTTTGTCTGGCACGCTTCGGTTGTGTGCCCTGTATAGATTATCTTCACCATTACAATTGCCTAGTGCCCAATGAATCATATAGAAGCTTTCATAGCTTTGTAATTGAGAAAAGGTTACAACTCCACTATATTAGATTCAACTATAACCTAGAGAGCTTTTAAAGAACACACATGAATATTCAATATGATCTGTGAAGTACAAAATATGCTGATCTTGCTGATAGTTTGGTGGCGAGTTCTTGTATGCATGCCAAGCAGGTATTCCGTCTCATCCCCCCCCCCCCGCATATTAAACAGGAAGAATCCTTGAAGTCTGTTGGAAAACAAGTCGGCAACATGCCCTCTTAAAAATTGCTGGGGCCCTTTGCAAAAAGATATTGTTGCACACCACACCAGTCTCTGAGCACTGCAAGATTCCAGGGGTGCCAGATGCTTACCCAGGGTTCGTGTTTCCTTCGGAATGAGGGACAGCAGTGACTGTGGTGTCTTTATGATATATGGTTTGTTCACACATATGTACGACCTGAACGATGGAGGGGCTCACAGCATTAACACCCCAAGGGGGCCTTGCTTCCCCCATAGCTGCAGCCTTGGATTCCAACAGAAATCAGGCATCACTCTGCCTCTCCAGCTTTGCAGCCTGGTGCTTCCTGCATCTAGCTTCTAGCTCAAATCCCTCAACTTTTCTTTTGGCCTTTATCTTTCTAATTGCCAGTGAGTTGAGGGAGAGGGCCCATCCCTTTGTCCTCTGGCGCTGAGCCACTTCCTTTGTTTTCTTAATGGCCCATTACCTAGACTATCACCTCATTGGGTAGCTAGCTAGGTATTCCAGGAATATATAGTTTACCCCGCCTCCGAATTCATAACAATATATTGCAAACAAATGTTCCTCAATTAATACAGGGGTGGGGGGGACATGACACACTGCATTCCCACATTCTGATGATTTACAATATTAGTAAACCACTCTTAAATTGAACATTTAAAATATTAATTCATAATAATAATTCACAATAAAATCATATCGTATATAAAAAAACAGTACCATATGGCCCCCAAGCTGTGGCAGCAACAAAGAGAATCTGTCCAGTCCTTCAGGTTTTCCTGCTGCCTCTACTGCTCTGAACTCATTACATCAAAGATTTCCCACTGATTAAAAATGTCCACAGTTAATTGGCAATCACTTCCAGAAAAGGATACCTTAACCCTTCTCTCTCACACAGAACATTCCTCTTTCAGAATGTGAGCAAAATATGAGGCTTTTCAAATATGAGCAAAAATAAACCAAAAGCAAATGAAGTGTGATTTTAGAGCTATTGCTTTTATTCATAGGAATGAATTAAAGCTTACTCTGAGAAGCTTCACTGAACACAGTTCGACTTTAGTAAAATATACATTTATAGGATTGCACTGAGTCTCATACTACTGCCAGATTCTTGACAGAGTGTGACAGTCCTATAATAATGTTAAAAAGGTAAAGCGACCCCTGACCATTAGGTCCAGTCGTGGCCGACTCTGGGGTTGCGGCGCTCATCTCTCTTTATTGGCCGAGGGAGCCAGCGTACAGCTACCGGGTCATGTGGCCAGCATGACTAAGCCGCTTCTGGCGAACCAGAGCAGCACACGGAAACGCCGTTTACCTTTCCGCTGGAGCAGTACCTATTTATCTTCTTGCACTTTGATGTGCTTTTGAACTGCTAGGTGGGCAGGAGCAGGGACCAACCAACAGGAGCTCACCCCATCGCGGGATTCGAACCTTCTGATTGGCAAGTCCTAGGCTCTGTGGTTTAACCCACAGCACCACCCGCGTCCCTATAATAATGTTAGGCTGTATTTTATTACATGTTAAATAACAACAACAACAACAACAACAACAACAACAACAACACATTTATAATCTGGAGATGTTGAGAACAATAATCTGGGCATTCTATAATTAAAGAGGGTTAGTGCAATAAATCCTCAGCAACCCAGGGAACATGTGAGAAGATGTAGGATGCAAAGGGAGAGTTTAATGGGTCAGGAAGGATTTGGGACTGTTTCATTTGCAGTTCCTTCTTCTTGCATGACCTTGTCCTGAAACCACAGAATGCTGTGAAAAGATAGGGCAGAGTCTGTATTGAGAAATTAAACAGCCGGTTTAGGAAAACAAACACTGATAACAGTCTTCTTTTCCAACACCGACTATTTAATTTCCCAATGCAAACTGAATATTGTAGGCAAATGTATAGTGTGTGCAGGCAAAGCTCTGCTAACATCTCTTGGAACAACTGTCTTTTGGAAAGCCCCCCCACCCCCCCACACACATATAAAGTTGATGCAGATGAGAATTGATTCTAACAGTCTTGTATGTGCAAAGTGGAAGAGACAAAGGGTGGAAGAAGAGAGGAATGTCTTGTAACAAGAGAGGGTTGTAACAAGAGAGGGCTTTTTTTTTATCCCTACCACTAGGTGGGAGTCGTTTCCATTTATTTGAAGCTGGGTTAGTATTTGTTCTTTTCCTTTTATTATGACTTCTGTACTTTTTGCAGTTTGATGATTTTTGTTTGGCTTGCAAGAGAGTCAAGAGGAGAAGATGACTGCTGGTGAAACCTGCCACTAATCTAAAAGAGTTAAGTAAAATAATCAGCTAGACAGAAATTCCGAAACCCTCTAATAAATGCTAAACTCCGGGTGTCTATAGCATCCTCCTTTGATAGTAATTAAATTTCCCTATTGCCGTAAGATTTACCCAATCAATGAAAAAGTTTACTGACTGAAATTAAAAACACATACACACATATTTGTTTGTGCATGCACACCCACATACACACAAAACTCAAACACTGGGTAGACATAAAATCATTTACACAACTAGTAATGTTTAACTTTAAAATGCACACTCAGAAAACGACAATAAACACCACAGATGCATTTATCAACTCCTCTCCCAAGCCAAATATGAACTCTTGCCTCTCATTTTTTAAGGATATTTGAGTCACAGAAATCACTTCGTATTTGTTTCAGACCAGATTCCAGAGAAGCACAGCACTTGGGAGTGCCTGAAATGGTGCTTTCAAATGTACCAAAGCAGCAGAAAGGGTACAGGGACACAGAGGGAACTTGATGTGTCAGTGTTGCTGTTTTGCCGAACATCGTATCTTCCATACCCCACAAACTATCTAGCTCCATTGATAACCAAAAATGCCGCCACACAAAGACAATTTGAAAGCCAGCATGTGGAAATCCCCCAAAATCTGGTGCTCTCTACAGTGCTTCTCCCCTTGACTTTTATCTCTGTTTTATCCCCCCTCCCCTTTTACACTCTAAATGTCCAGAAGCTTTTCAAATAGATTGGTTTAAATGTATACTATGTACTTCTGTATTATTTCCATCACCTTCCTAAGCCCCAAATACTTTGCTTGCCTTCCAGTGCTCCAGAAAATTAGCCACAATGATTCTAAGATACTTTGTGTGGTAATAATTCCAAAAGACAACAGCAGCATATTTCCCCCATCCAGCCATTAAATAAAAATTGAATCACATGTTTATTATTTCTACACAGGGGCTAATGATTGTTCAGACTTTAATAACTTAAGAGGTAAGCAAGTCACTCTTTCTAAATTGTTATTACTCCCTAGTACATGTTTTGCACCTTGATCGATAGCACAGAATTGACTGGCCATTATTATCTTCTAATCATGTAATTTATAGATTTGAAATATGTTCAAATTGCCCTAACTATGCTTGACTGTTATTGTTTAAAGTAGATGAAGGGAGGAAGTAATAACATCTGCCACCTTTTTCTGCTCTGTTCTTCTGTATTCTGTTTCTGTGCAGCAGGCGGAAGTTCAACAAGTGTGGCTTTCCGCAAGATAGCCAAGCGGAGATGGAAAGCCCACCTGTTGCATTTCTCCCTGCCATCCACCTGTTATGACACAGCAGTCTGCCAAAGGTTGCCATCAAAGGAAGACACCCCTACCTGAATAATTCATAGCTACTACACAAAGAGTGAAAGCATCGCTGACTTGTTTCCTTTATTACAACATTATGGCAGAATAAATAGCTCCCATCGACAGTGAAAGCGAATTCCATAACTCCAGCACCAATACTCCTTACACATCTTCGCTATTCAAGAGGCAGGAAATAACTTGCATAAAATATTATACTTTGTACTATACAAACTGCTAGTTTCACCACTCATTGAATACATTTGGCAGCTGGTACTTATTTTCTGACTTCAATGAGCCAAGAAAACAACAGCTGTTCATTAAGCAGAGGACATTTTAGAAGTATGTATATTATATTCTGTAAGTAGCTAAAGGGGCATCTCTCTGAAGGATTTCAGGGAACAGATTAGATTTATCAGGTTGCTTTTACATTAGGTCGTGATAGTTAATTCGGTTAGTTCAAGATCAGTATTACCCAATTATTTTGTAAATATGGCCACTTATTTCGTATAAAGTTATGATTTCCCCCTTGCTATTCTTGAGAGGAGGAGATGATTTTTCACACAGTGGTCTGGTTCACGTGCTACGCTATCTCAAACCATGGCACTGCAAACATGCCAACTCTTGGAGAGGAGATTGTACCCTTGTCTTAAGAAGTGGTGGCAGTGGCAGACTTTGAGTTTTCACAGTCCAGCAGCGCCAAATATCAGCAACCTGTGCCTCTCACCTTCCATTGTTGCCCTCTCAGTGCCCAGTGCAGGCAAACTGGTTGTGCTCCCTCTGGTAGAGGTCAACACCAGCACTTTAAGGCCAGAAATGGACCAAGAGGAAAGCACAAAGGACAAAGCACTGACAATGATTTCAACACCCAGTACCAGTTAGTCTCTTCTGAGTCATAACTGTAAAGAAGTTTCCAGACCGTTTTAAAAGGCCTTCTCACACATAGTGCACTTGTCTAAATGTGCACAATATCTGTACATCAACAATGTACACAGATCCTTTTCCTTGCATGGTTCCTATTCCCATTAATGCAAGTTGTGCACCACCAACTGAACATTTCCTTTAAAACCACAGAAGCAGACATTAAAATAAGTAGCCTTGCCAAATCATTAGTTACCAGACAGTGAAGGCATCTTCCCAAAAGCTCTGCGGAATGCAGCCCCAGAATGTTCACAAGCTTATGAATAGATCCGCTCCTGATAAAACAACGTAGTCGACAACACAGCTGTTGTCAGTGGACAGAGTTGTAACCTGAGATTCCAAGGAAGGAGAATAATCAACAGGTGGTGTTTACAGCTTGTTCAGTAGTCACTTGAACTACTGATGGCTTTTCAATGCAAGGAAGCTCCATGGCAGTCTCCAATCCAAGTTCCGCAAAGCATTTAAAGTAAAGGCTTAAAGTTAAGTTGATGAGTACTGCTTGTTAAATCAATGGGATATCTCACGTACTTAGTGAAAGGAGATATTGGTGTTTAGAAAAGACTAGAGTTTTCCATGTGTGAAGTCCCGGGATTCAGCCTGTTTTGTGCAAAGTAGCAAGGCTCTGGAATATCATTGCCTATTACCCTGAATTTTGTTGGTCATCACAGCTATGTGATCAATGGAGCTCTCTGTCTTGGTTTTCTCTGTTTTTCCAATCTTAAATTCAGTTCTTCACCTTTCTGCAGCAATTTGTCTCTCCTTTTAAATCCTCATGAAAATTCACGAGCATTTTAGTGTGAATTTCTCCTGATGAACACACCTTTGTATGCAATTTTGCCTAATGCACATTTTTGCAAAGAATGTCAGTTCATCCAAAGAATTCTAGGAGCTGTAGTTTGCCCCTACAGAGTTACAACTCCCAGCCCCCTTTACAGTTCCCAAGATTCTTTGAGGAAAGTTGTGTACCTTAAATATGCATTGGATGAGCGTTAAATGTACGGTGTGTGGATCTGCCTTTTGTTCTTAGGGAGGGAGAAATTGCCCCTGTTAAAGAAATGATACTGATCAGGAGGATACAAAATATGTTTAGCTGTACAATATTTAGGGCTTCTACAAATGACATTTTTATTCAGTATTTATCCTGATTTGTTTGCACTTAGCTGACATGGTGGTTTGACTATGTCTGATCTTTATTCAGCCGGTTATATGACAATGAACATTCATCCTGATTTGCTTATGGAGTGTTTACACACCTTCCATTTAACCATTTATTCATCCCATGCTTTTCAATGCATTTCCTTGTCACTTTCCAAACTGCAAAAAGTCAGGTGTTTGTTTTGTTTTTTAAAAAAGTGTATTTGTTGCACCAGGACAACAGAACAGTCTAATCAATTTTAATTGCTCTAACCTAAATTTATAGTATGTGTCATAAAATAGTGACAGTCTGTAGGCACCCTTAGAGTGAATGGCTGCAATGAGGGCACAGTTCTATACCTTTATGCCCAAATGCTGCTAACACAGTGGTTTCACTTCACCCCCAGAGGCACACTCCATTGTGTCTCAAGACAGACTGATGCCAACAAATGCCCAAGTAGAAGAGGGAGCCAAATTCTCTCTTCTCTACAGCTATTGAAGGTACAGAATTCTCATTTCCTTTGCATCCGACAATATTGTAACATGATAAAGGGCAAAAGTTCATGCATTTGTAGAATGCATAGCAAGAGGACGGCAAAGCAGAAGTACCAGCGACATCTACTTTCGGAAAATAAAATCAAACATTCAGTCCACACTTGCACAAACAGCAGATTCTTTTTTAAAGAAAAAAACAGCACAGCACAAAAATTATTTTGTTTTCAAGGCCTCAAGCTGGCTTTATTTCAAACTTCTTAACTCCCACTGTTTGCAGCATATGTGGCAAAGGGATGTGGTTATTTTCTGAGAACTATTTGGCAGCAGCGTTAAATCCAAGAGGATGAGAGAAAACGGAAAAACAAACTATTTGCAGACATTTTTAAAGGTAGCTCAGGGAACTCTTATCTGCTATAGTTGGCACAAACAGCCTTTCTAATCAGCTTTGGGACATTTCTATGAGGTACCAGCTAGTTTCCTAGGTGAGAGATAATTGCCCTCTCATTGGTCTCATTGGCTGTGGCTTCTAGAAAGCCCAAATTCATGTGGTGTTAATCACATGGTTTGCCCTTGAAAAAGGCACAACTCTTCTTGAAGAAATAATTAGCTTAGGGGGCCCATTCCAGATTAGAATGAGGGACCGGAACTTTAGCCTTTTGATTCCTACAGTGGTCTTATTCTGTATAAAGAAGATTTCACCTGCAATCTGGAAGTGTTGTGGAAGCTCCCATTTCAACCTGGAAAAGGCCAACTCACACGAGAGTTGAGCCACTGCCAGACTTTCCGTAAACGGCAGAAGGGATTCACTTGCATACCAGAAATTTAGGCTTGTGCAATTAAAGCGGATTTAAGTGCTCTGGTGCAGCAAACCCACTGTAACAAACACACAAAGACCTTTTGCAGTTAGGAAAGTGACAGGGGAATGCACTAAATGCATCCTGTCTCTCATTATGCAAGCAGTCACCCAGGTAACTTTCAACAGTTGACATGGAGAAGGGCCATAGCTCATGGCAAGAACTTCTGCCTTGCATGCAGAAGGTTCCAGGTTCAATCCCTGGCATCTCCAGGTAGGGCTGTGAGAGATGGTTTTTGCTATATACATTCTCCATGAGCCAGGAAATCTCTGGCGAAGCCTTTGACTTTTCACACAGCCTTATTTCTGCCCGATTTATAGCCGATTGTCTGTATTGTCACCAATCTGCTGCCTGCACACCAGAGTGCAAGTGACATATTCAGCCTGCGCTGTCTTCCCTCACTGTGAGAAGCAAAGTTACAAGGAACCAGGCAGAGGGCCTTCTTGGTAGTGGCGCCCATCCTGTCGAATGCCCTCCCATCAGATGTCAAGGCAATAAACAACTATCTGATGTTTAGAAGACATCTGAAGGCAGCCCTGTTTGGGGAAGTTTTTAATGACTGATACTTTAATGAATTTTTAATCTTTTGTTGGAAGCTGCCCAGAGTGGCTGGGGAAACCCAGCCAGATGGGCGGGGTATAAATCATGATGATGATGATGATGATGATGAAAGTTAAAACTACAATAGCATAGACAAAAAATAATTAAAACTTGTCAGGGAACTGCCATCGGCTCAGGGGCGAGAGGGGAAAAGCCGAATGGATTACAGAGAGCCCCCAAAGATTGTGGGAAGCAGCACTTCCTCAGCGGAGGAAGGTAGCCACGCCTCTAGTGGAGAGGAGATGCAGGGCTCGGAGGATGCAAGGCGGTGCCAGGACACCTTGCCTGAGCAAAGCGGGGAGGAGAGAGGTCCCCCGTTACCCAAGCCTTCCTTGCGCAGTAGGCTTCCGCGCAGAGAGGGGAGGCGCAGACTGGGCATCAAGAAACTACTCTGCTGGGGAAGGTTTAAGGACCGCCCACTCTCAGATTCTGCCAGTGAATAAGCAAGACACGGAATAGAGGCGCTCTGCTTTCCAAAGGTTTTTATCACCGATAAGAAAGCTTTAAAACAGACTATTGCAGCATATTGCCTGATTGCTCTCGAGCAACCAACCTATACCTCTAACAAAACTTATACAAGCTTTCTAAACATATAGGCTCGCTTTGGCAGCATGAGTAGTACACATAATAATGTATTCAGCAGGTGCTGAAAAGAATACAGTGAATGATATCAACAGGCAGGGAGTTCCAAAATTCATGTTACACAGCAGTGTTTTATGAATGGCTGCAGTCTGAGGTTCCCATTGTTTCAAGACGTATGTGAACAACCCATTCTAGCATAATTTTCCAATGTGTTCATAAATGTTCATGTGATCTTCTCCAGAATCATCACTGCAGCAGACCCTGTTATGCCATAATTGATCACATTTATATTCCCTTTTGTCAGTCTGCAAATGTTTGGGTTTCCCCCCTCCTTCAACATTACGATCCCTGAAGGATCAGACTGTTGAGCACAGCTGCACATTCCTACCCTCTCCATAGGAGCAGCTAATACTAATCGGTTTAGGAAAGACCTCGTATATTTTTGGACAGGATATAAATACAGAACTTCCTGTGTGGCAGTTCATCTTCTTGGTTGGGGAAGTCCGCTGTGTAAATTGGCTGTTTCCCCCTTTCCAGTTCTTAATTGCAATCTCCTGTTAACTCATGGTATTTCAGACATGTGCTTTGCAGATGAAGAGTTGTCAGCTAGGACAACAATGTGCCTATGCAGGCATTGTCTCTCTCTCTCACACACACACCCCGCCCTTCACACAGAAAAGCAGGAAGTTTCCTATGATCATAATTGTTCAGCGGTTGTAAATGTTAAACCTCGGTGCTTAAAGAGCCTCAGAACTTTGTCATGGGCAAATAAATTTCAAAAAGCTATGGCCTATGCAATTCTCAGCACTGGTGAAATGCCCACTTGCTGGTGTGCATAGAACAACTAGGAATATTCGAGCAATGAAGGATCTGTCATGCCAGTAAAGCAGTAAGTGGCATTTGATGAACTTAGGGGTCCTTTTCCAGTCCCACAAGTCTAAGACTCTATGAACAGATTTGGGGGGAGGGGAATATAGTACATTTTAATAGGAAGAAAATAATCACACTACACCTTTTATTTAATAGGCTTTCTGTGAACTAAACAAGTAATGACTCTTTTATATCATTAAGTCATTTCCCACAATTAAACAAGATATTAATGGTATTGCTCTATCAACACATCCAATTAAAATGTACTGTATAAATATAATTTCTCTTACCCCATGTATAGAATACATCTTTGGGGAGGCGGGATATAAAAAAAATATAACAGGCAGACAATATGTTCCAGACAGGTTTTTTTTTAAAGTATTATTCCTATGGTATTTTCATTTAAAAGTGTAATCTGTTTCTTTTAGCATCTTCCCTTTGATAAGCCAAAGGGCTCATAAATGTTTTAATACCATTTTCTATGGGCATTTACTTGGCTGGATATGCTTGCTCCCAATGCAACATTTGATGTTTTCAAATGTAGGCCACACTTCTCTGCTAAGAAAAGAAGAAAGGCCACACGGCTTCAAAGCAATCCAGAAATTGGTTCATTGGCACTTACCATGATGGTGCCTTCTCCGGTTGGTGGAAGGAGCCGGCCATTGCTGGGTTAATGCCTCCAACTAGCCTAAGACAAGAAACTTATGTGGTTTGCACATGCTCCTCCTCCTCTCTGCCAGGAGACCTCAGTGTAATTTCTTGGCCCAGCTTTGGAAGACATACCCTCCAAGCGTCCCTATTTTCCAGGGACAGTCCTGGAATTACGAAATCCATACCGGCTTATGATTTGATCCTGGAATGTCCCTATTTCCTCTGCTGTTGCTGCTGCCACCATGCTCAGGAAGGAGGATGAGCTGGTGCAATGGTAATCCCACAATTTATGCACATTTGACTTGCGTGTGACGCGGGTGGCGCTGTGGTCTAAACCACAGAGCCTAGGGCTTGCCGATCAGAAGGTCGGCGGTTCGAATCCTCGCGACAGGGTAAGCTCCCGTTGCTCGGTCCTTGCTCCTGCCAACCTAGCAGTTTGAAAGCACGTCAAAGTGCAAGTAGATATGTGTAAAGGGAAGGTTAACGGCGTTTCCGTGCACTGCTCTGGTTCGCCAGAAGCAGCTTAGTCATGCTGGCCACATGACCCGGAAGCTGTATGCCGGCTGCCTCGGCCAATAAAGTGAGATGAGTGCCGCAACCCCAGAGTCGGCCACGACTGGACCCAATGGTCAGGAATCCCTTTACCTTTATCTTTAACTTGCGTGCATTCAGCTTTACACGCTTGACAATTTATTTTTTTTAAGGAGTCTGGAGAGGGTGCGAGTGTCATTGCACCCTGTGTGTTTTGACTATACACAGTTTGGCTTTGGACACAATCCCCAGAATGTAACCCCTGTGTACATTGCAGGCTTACTGTACTGTATGCTGAGGGCATACAATAGTAGAAAGCTGACGTCTTCCCGCCTTGATTGTATACTTCCCAGAAGCATCTCTCTAGCCATTGTTGGAAATGTGATGCTAGGTCAAATGGCTCTTTTGTCTGATCAAAGAGGGCTATTTTTCCTGTTAAACTCATTTGGCGGTTGTAGCTATCATCACGTTTAAATGACACTGCAAAAAGAAAAATGCAGGGACTCAAACTGCAGCGAAGCCTATATAGAAGGAGTCAGCAGGAGGTGAAGGTAATGACTCCATAGAACTCAGCACTGCCTCCTATTCTGCCAAGCCCAAACAAACTGGTGGCTATTTTTACGTTTGGAATTTACTCCAGCCATGAGCACATAACCTCCACATATTTCCAGATGGGATTCTTGTCCTTTAACAGCCGCATTTGATACTTCTAAAATGGCTTGCTGACTGATCTGCTAGAATGGCATTGTGCCAGCTCATCAGCTTTCCCTCCTCTTTCAATCGCTATGCAGAGATAAATTTAGATGGGCAGCCTACAACACTAGGGCCATATCTTCCTTCAGGAAGTGCGAGAGCACCAGCTCTAAAACCTGAATGCCTCATGTGCCACTTTATACTTGACATCTGCGAATGCTCGAAGTATGTGACAAAAGGAATAGCTCAACGAAAGCGGAAAGGAAGCTTTGCTGTTTATATAACGGTGGCTAGCTGCCCATGCTGGCGATACTCAGTATCTTGAGCCTGGGAAGCCCCATAAAGAATTGCTGAGGGGATAATACAGCATTTAAGATAAGGGCACTGGCTGCAGTTATTCACTTCTGAGGCAATGCTACAGCATAGCACAACAGTGAGAGCACTACACCAGGGGTTGTCAACATGCGTGGGCCTGTGAGGACATTCATAAACCAGAGAACCTGTGGTGGCACCACACACACATTTGCAGCCAAACACACCACAACCTATTCTACTGACTGCAATACAATGATACAGTGGTACCTCGGGTTACAGACGCTTCAGGTTACAGACTCCGCTAACCCACAAACAGTACCTCGGGTTAAGAACTTTGCTTCAGGATGAGAACAGAAATCGTGTTTCGGCGGCGCGGCAGCAGCAGGAGGCCCCATTAGCTAAAGTGGTGCTTCAGGTTAAGAACAGTTTCAGGTTAAGAATGGACCTCCAGAACGAATTAAGTACTTAACCCGAGGTACCACTGTACTCTGGTTCTCAAACGGCTTAGTTGTCAAACAAATCAGCTCCCAAACGCTGCAAACCCAGAAGTAAGTCTTCTGATTTGCAAACGTTTTTCAGATGCCAAAAGTCCGACGCCAATCAGAAGCCACAACTTGGTTTTCAAATGGTTTCGGGAGTCAAATTGACTCCCAGAACAGATTAAGTTCGAGAACCAAGGTACCACTGTAGAATGCTTCTTTCAAGCCCAAATTCAGGGCCCCAAGTTTATCTGCCAGCTAAGCAAGAAGTATCTACAAAAAGTGACTATATCTCTTCTGTATTTGCTACTGTAACAAAAACCAGCCATTTAGAAGACAAAATTGCCTCTTATAGTTTTAAATGTACTTACAAACAAACACTTTAAGGGCCAAGCGAAACATGCTAAGGATGTCACTGGACGTCAAAACAACCTAAAGGGCATCTAACTTTTGGAAAACAGAAGAACCAAATGCACAATGACAGAAGAACC